TTTTCCTTTACTCTTCAATGAAACATCTTTCTCACTGTTTTCATTTGATATGATTTCATTTGTCGTTGTCGTTGAAAAAATAACCGATCAGACATATGATAAAACGTTTAATTATAGAAATTTTTTTTATCTATTTATCAACGCAATGTTATTTCGTCATATTCATTTGATGATGATGATAATCATTTTGTTTTGTTTTGTTTTAGCTAAAAACAATTCTTTATTTTATCAATTTGATTTGAATGTATTCTCATTTGTTTATCATCATAAAAATGGCAATCGCAAGCCTATGAGAAGAAGAAAAAAAAACATAATTTTATTAAACGATTGGCAAGCCCTTCATTAGTTAGTTTTTTTTTGTTTGCTTCATGTTTTTATCGTTGTAAATATTCGCTCTCGCTTATTTCTACAATATACCCGGATTGTTCACATACGAACACACACGGATCTCTAATTGCTTAATCTGATGAATGTCTGTTGAAAATAAAAAGTTGAAACAACACACACACATACACGAACAAATATATAAGAAAAAACAGGTTGTCCGTTCGGGTCGGTTATTTGTTATTATGGCAAATCATTTTAATCGAAAAGAAACAACATTTTCTTTTTTTTTCCAGCCAGTGATGCCCGGGACGCCCCGGATAAGTCAAGATATTTTGTTGTTATTGTCGATATCATCATCATCATCATCATCAGCATGGTCTGAGTTTAGATGTGTTATTTCTTTTTCGTTTTTTAGTTATTTCATTTTCTCCATAATTTTTTTTCTTCTTCTTCATTTTGGTTGTTGATCAGTCGGTCGGTCGGTCGATCTGTTGGTCCATTTTGGATTGAGAGAAAAAAATGTGTGAGAGTGTGTGTGTGTTTGGGAAAAAAGTAAACCAAGTGATGAGAAATGAGAACGGGAAATATTTTTGTTTTTTTTTCATTGGTCGTTTTTACTATGTATGGTATGTTTATGTCCGGATATTCATCATTTCGTTGATGGAATGAATGGAAAACATTAAGCAAAAGGGAAAAAAATATGTTCGGACACATACACAAAATATACTTCACCCACTCTTTATATGATATTCAAAATGGTAAAGTAAAACTAAAACTAAAATTGTTAATTTTTTCCGAAAAAAATCATCATCATCATTTCCCCAGCTTTCATCATCATAAAAAGATCAATAACGAGAAAAAGAGAGTTTGAATCCTAAATGGATGAAAATGAATGAAGAGAAAAAAAGATTTCAACTAGTAATATCTGGCTATAGTAATTAAATAAAATTTTCAATGATCTTTTTTTGCTCATCATTACCATCTGAAATCTTTCTTTCTTTTTAATTTTTCGATGCCAGAAAAATGGATCAGTTTTTTTCAATTGAAAAAAAAACATTGAATCATTTGCTTCATTTTGAAGAATTCTCATTCTTTTTCCTTGCATTATGGTCAAATGATAATGATTAAATGTCATGGATTAGTATCATTGATGATCAATGCCAAAATAAAATCAAACAAAAATCTTACGTCATAGACGGCTTTTCCAAAAAAGAAAATTCAAAAATATTTTGCATCTCTTCTTTTTATGCATATCGGGATAATCATTCTCTCTCTCTCTCTCTCTATTGAATTTTCTTTTTTTTTAAAATTCGATTTCAATTTAGATTCAAAATAATAAAAAAAACATAAAAATTCATTTCTACATTTTAGCTTTTATAATAGGAAAAAAAGAGATAATGAAAATTTGTTGCAAAAATATTTTTCGCTATTTTCTGCAATGAATTTGAATCTTTTGAAAAAATATACGATTTGGAACGAGCAGTTTTTTTATTTGTTTCGCATCAATTTGATTCATTCATATTAACTATTTTGTATCGATGTTGTTATTGTCGTCTTCGTTGACGATGTGTTGATAATGATGATTATTAGCCATGGCGAAATCTAATGATGTTGATGATGATGATGGAAAAAAATGATGTGAAGGACGACAACCGTTACATTATAACTATGAATAGCAAACAAATATAAGAAAAAATTAAATGTGGCATGATTTGCGCGCCAAATTTTCATTTTTTACTATTATTTTTACACTCCTCTCTAATGATGATGATCGTGCCTCTTGACAATCGTCTTTTTTCTTCTCAATTTGTTTGATTCGAAAAAATCTTTTGGAGCATTTTGTGTTGATAATGCGAAATGTTCATTTCTCATTCTGCTAGGGCTACAATCATCATCATCATATTAGTGTAGTTTCATGCTTTACACGATCGCTTAATTTCTTGAAACTTTTTTGTTTCTTTCATGAAATTTTAAGATTGGTTGAAAGTAATTTTAATTTTGTTTCAAATTCAATTATTTTTCTTCATTAGAATCGGTTCGCAATAAATAATTTGTTTTCTGTTAATTACGATTTCAATGTTCAATTTTTTCTGATCTACAATTTGAAATGACATTGGAACAAATTTCGTTGTCATTGCCATTATATTTAAATCATTATCATCTATCAAACTATTCTAATAAATTTAATTCGAGAACATTAACCAATTATGCTACTAATTGATTAACCCTGTCTTCATTCGTTTATTCTAAAACAAATTTCATCGAATTAGTTCATCCTTGATAAAAGATAATTTGTTTTCAATTTCAATTCAATAGAATTTCAAATCTTTCTATTTCGAATTTTCAAAATTACAATAACCTTCATTTGATGTTAATATAATGTTGTTATTCCAAGAATTTTCCCGCTACTAAATTCTATGAATTTTTTTCCTAAGAAAATTTACCATTTTTTTATTCGTATTTATTGCTGGAAATATTTCCCAAACATACAAACACACACACAAGTTGACTGATGATAAGATATTTTGACGCTCAAATAAAAAAAAGGGTTAAAAGAACACACACACACGTGTTTTCAATAAATTAAAACACGTAAAAATGTGCAATTATTCTTTTCGAAAATCAACTAATCCAGTCAATTTAAAAGATCATCTTGAAAGGTATAGAAATTCTATTCAAAATTTATTGAAAAGAAATTGTTTTCTTTTTGTTGATGTTGTTATTGTTGAAAATATTTCATCATCATTCACACATGTTTCATTCGATTGCATCAGCGGTTCTGTTTCGAAAATAAATTTATAATCATGTTTACTCATCTACGATTATATAGACAATATTTGCTCAAAATCTGGTTGATTTTGTGCTAGAATCTTTATTATTGTTGTCTCGTCTATTATATATACTCTCTACTAATAATAAATAAATAATAATAATAAAAAGAAAGAGAAACGAATATCGTTCATACACACTTAAACAAATGTATATAAAATTGAGCAGGCTAAAAAATTGAGGCTAATGAAATTATATATAGTGTGTATACCATAAAAAATACTAATGTTTGGATCTACTAACACGCATGGATAAATGTAATGTTTACATTTTTTTACCGTTATTTTTTACTTTGGTTTATTCGATATTATGATCCAGAATTATCATCATTTTCATAACGAATTTATTTGATGATATAACAATAATGAAACTTGAAGAATTATTATCAATAAAGATGTGATTATTTGTTGTTTGAAAAGAAAATTACCAAATTTTAAATTCCAAAATATAATAAAGATAAATAAATAAATTGAATACATTCAACCATTCATTCTTCACCTATTTGTTATTTAAAGGAAAAAAAAGATGAGAAATGATTTTAAAAATTTATTTCAACAACAATAACAAACCATCGAATTGAAGAGCAACAACGACAACGAAAGACAACATCATCATAATTTTCCTCTTCATCATTTTTTTTCTAAAAAAGACATGTTTTCTTTTCGACAAAAAAAAAAATAATTCATTGACCTTGGACTTCTTTTTTGTTTTGTCTTGTCTTGTCTTACTGTGTTGTCTTCATTTTTTCGTTATAATACTAACAATCAAGCGAATCTATTTTTGAAAAAAAATACAATACATAACATTGAAAATTAGAACAAAATATTAAAAATTTATAAAGAAAATGAATTTTTGTTTTGTTTTTTGGTTTTTATCGACAAAAAAATAACGACAACGACGAACATTATCTTGAGGATAAAATTGACCGTCATCATTTGTTGTTGTTGTCACCAACATTATCATTGTTTTCTGGATTTAGCCATTTCGTCATTATCATATTGCAATAAAATTGGCAAAGATATATTGCCGTTAATTTGAACAAAAAAAAAACAACAACAACATATTGTGTGTGTGTGTGTGTGTGTGTAGACGATTTTTGTTACAATCCAGAAAAATCGCTTTTATCAATTTATTTTTTCATCATCATTAAATATCGACGACAATGATCAACAATCATTACCATTATGATATTGGCAGTTATAATCCTTGATTCGAAGATTAAACATCAAGTTTGATTTAATGATATTATTGATTTGAAAACATACTTACATGTGTTTTTTTCACGGAATCCAACAATTGTTTATCGAACATCGATCTTTTTCAATAATCATTATTTATTTCTGCCATCCATAAAACTAGTCGCTCATGTGACATTTATAATTCTTGATAAATAACTTGAATATTCAATTTGATAAGCAAATTAATTTTAAAAAAAATTATCCACCGGTTTTTCCCGTCAAATTAATTATCGTTTTCCACAGAATTTCGTTATAATTACTGAAGATTTTTTCCCTTTCGTTGGTCTTTTATGTTTATTGACTTTTTCTCAAATTCAATATTGTCAGTGTTACTGTTCTCAATATTATTATCATATCGAAAATAATTTGAAAAAAACCTTTTAATATTTTGGCACAAAACAAGTTGCAATTTGCTGAGGAATTTCTACTTATCATCGAATCATTGATCTTAACTGTGATTATAAAATTGAATATTTAAATACTTTTTGACTTTGTAATTCCATGGAAAAACTATTTCTCGGAATTATTCTCGATTGTAAATATTAGAAATGGACAAAAATTGAAAATTTAACTTACTTGAACTTATGACTTGTCAATTTTAATGAAAATTTTTGAAAAAAAATGTCTGAAATGATTGAAGCGGCATCACAATCATCATCGTTATCAACATCAACAAATTCTTTGAATAATCGATTCTGGATAACTGTTGACGATTCTAAAAATTTTTCATCATTATTTTGTTCAACAAAATTATCAATCGAAAGAAAAGATGAAATTAATAAGAACAAAATTAATCGATCATTGACATCAAATATTGAACAACAACAACAAATTGAACGTCGTGTACATTGGAATCCATTTCTTGTGCAATTACTTCGATCATCCTCACCGTTGAATAATCTCAGGTGTGTGTTGTACGTGTGTGTGTCTGTGTGCATATATTTTCCTATCTGTTTGTTTGTGAATACTTTCAGTGCATTATGATTTTAATTAATTTTAAAATTTTAAATCCCAAAAAAAACTACAACAAAACATTTTATTCATTATAGATATGCAGTGACATTTAAATAATTTGAATTTTTTTCCATACAAAACATATGATTGATTTATTGGTGACTAATTATAACTTTGATCATGGTTTGATCATATCGATCAATTTTTTTAGCGGTTAAGGTTTTTTATAACCATTTTCACTCTCTTACAATTTACGCACATTCAATTTTTATTTTGTTGTTTTTTTTTCTTTAGATGATTTTCGTAATTTTTTATTTTGTGCAATATTATAATACATTTGAATTTCATATGTTTGATGTACTAAATTTTAAAGAATTTTTATTTATTTATTCTCGTAAATTCTAAATTATGAAATAATTAATATCATGGTAAAAAATTTTTACCGCGTAACATATGATAATACCAGACCTTAAGAAAAAGAATTTCATAATTTGATAATAATGATTTGTTTTCTTATATAATCCTTATAACTCACTTTACATCAACGATTTTAAGGACTATTTTTAAATGAAAATTTTTTCAGTTTTTTTCTTCCTTCATTCATTCATGTTGTGTTGTTAGCGTTTATTTTTTCCTTGTTCAAATCGATCAATTTTTTTTTGGTTAATGATTGAATATTTAATTACTACGTCATTTGAATTTGAAGAAAATAGTTCAGTTGTGTACGTTTTTATAGATGAAAAAAATGATGCAGTAATTGATGATTCGGGCTATTTTTTTCTTTTAAATTTCATCGATAACATTAGTACAGTTGAATTTCGAGGGGGTAAAACGAGAGATAGGTAAAAACCTGTGCATGGGTATTTATTTCTAAGAATTCAAATTTGTTGTTAATGTCGATGGTAGAAAAAGATTTTTATTTCTTGTTTTAGTTCTTATTTTCCAATTTCAATTTCGAAAATTTTCGCACAGTATTTAAGACTGTTGTTCTGACTGACAAATTCATCATTATCGTTTGTTTAGTTTATCTTGAATGCTGCAGAATCCAATTTGCAAGAATTATCGTTACCAATTATTAAGTTAATTTTCCAAAAAAAAACATATATTGTGGCACAAAATATTTTGTTAGTTGCCGATTTTTTTTCAATTTTTTTTGTTTTGCTTCAATCTTATTGAATATTATTTTCTTTTTCCTCTTATACGATGGATAGCATTCTTATCAAACAAATGGCTAAATTATTCTATTCACACGGCAAATTTTGTGCCTCACATCCATGGGAAGTGATGGTCATATTTTTATCATTGGCTATCTGTATTGGAACGATGGGTCCGTTTGTGATGATTGAACAACATAATCATAATCATCATCAACAGCAGCAGCATCATCAACAACAACAAACGATACTTGATAAATCAATGAGATTTTATGGTCCACAACAACAAAGATCATGTCAAAATCATCGTGAAGATACGACATTTTTTCATAGACATTCGAAAAAATTAGACGATAATGATTCATTTCAATTCGATGATTGCTCAAATTCACATCAGGTATGTTCATTTGTTAATTTATAGTCATCAATAATAATTTAAATTAAATTCTCAACATTTTTTTCTGCAAAAAAAATATTCTAGTCAAAACCAACAAATGTAGAATATAATAGTCGAACGCAACAGCAGCCTTATCAATCACAGCCAAACAATTTAGATAGTACAGAAATATTAATATTAACAATATCACGTTGTCTGGCTTTATTATATATTTATCACCAATTCCGTAATTTATACAATCAATCAAAATATTTGGTCGGTATTGCCGTTTTATTTACCGTATTTTCCAGTATAATGTTCATGTCGGGTGTTTTGAATTTTTTTGATGGTAATTTTGCCGTTTTAAATAAGGCGATGCCCTTCTTTATATTGTTATCTGATCTAAGTAAATCATGTTCATTAGCAAGATTTGCTCTTTCATCATCGAATAGAGTAAGTAGTCTATGATTATCGATTGATAATTTTAATCAATCATTATCAACAATTTTCATTCAATTAATGAATAGGAAGAAATACATGAAAATATCGCTAGAGGAATGGCAACTCTTGGCCCTTCGCTTACATTAGACACAATGGTTGAAACGTTGGCCATCGGTATGGGTACCATTTCGGGACTGCCTCGTCTGGCAGAAATTAGTTACATAGCCTGTTTAACTGTAATTGTTAATTATATCGTATTTATGACATTCTTTCCCGCCACATTATCCTTGGTTCTTGAAGTAAGTAACAAAAAATGATTGAAATCATGTTATTAAAACTTGTGTGAATTCTTATTTATTTTTTGTAATACAAAATCAGTTGGCCCATGATGGTGCAAATAAACCAGCCTGGCAGTTCAGCTCATTGGCCAAAGTTTTACAATTGGAAACTGAACATACACCTAATCCAGTGATTCAGCGAGTGAAATTGATGATGTCAGCTGGCCTTATGTTGGTACATATGCTTAGCCGATGGCCATTGGTTAATGATGAAAATGATGGCGGTGTATTGAATTCCTTCAAAACATCATCAGCCGTTTCATCAGCAAGTGATAAATTAGCCGATGATGAAAGGATCAATTCATTTGCGACCGGATTAATGAATGCTGTTGGTACCGAGCAAATTCTCATGATTGGCCTAATGTTTGCTTTGACCATAAAATATTTTTGGTTCGAAAATCTTGATATTCATTCCCGACTTTCCTCCAATGATATTCACGATTCAAACTCCAGTTATGTGTCGTCAAAGTCATCTTACAAAAATTCCGAGCTTAAAGAAGACAGCAGTGAAACTAGTTCAAATATTAGCGAAAGCTGTAGTAATACGACATCTACCACACCATCATCAACAAGACCAACGACGCCAATTACGATATCTACTGGGGATGAATCTGATAATTCTTCGCAACACACTACCAAATCAAATAATACGACCAATTCCTCGACCACAGAAAATTCGGATACTGAAAGTGTCCTAGGTCAATGTCGTCATAAATGTAAGTTTCAGGTCTAAAAAGACATTTGTGAGATATAAAATTGATTTATTTATTCACCAATTTTAGTATCATTCTCTTCAAATGGAAGACGAACTTCCGCCAAAAATATATGTGTTGATGATCAACTCGCAAGCAGTGGTCATGGCACGGATATTGAAAATGATTCGACACAAATTCCACATAATAATAATAAATCCGATTCGCCAGCATTTTTCATTGGTGATGATTATTGTGGCGATTCTTCTGATTGTTATTCATCCGATTCAAATGTTCCAGAATATACAGATTCCAGTACACAAACAGATTTGGTTCCAAATATTGTCGCACCTATCATTTCAACTGAATCAAACACATTGCCAATCGTTGATGATGATACATTTAGAGATATGAATGAATTGTTATTAATTCTTGGTCAAGAAGATGGTTATTCAAAACTTTCAAATAGGGAACTTGAATTTCTCGTTACTAACAAAAAAGTTCCCGCTTATAAACTTGAATCATTGTTAAATAATCCTGAACGAGGAGTATCTGTTCGAAGAAAAGTGATCGAAAATTTGGCCGGTTCACAAGGCGTCTTAACTAATGTTCCTTTTCATGATTATAATTATAATCTTGTTTTAGGAGCTTGTTGTGAAAACGTTATTGGTTACATGCCGATTCCACTTGGGGTTGCTGGCCCATTATTATTGAATGGCCGACAATATTATGTGCCGATGGCAACAACGGAAGGATGTTTAGTTGCCAGTACAAATCGAGGCTGTAGTGCAATAGCAGCCGCTGGCGGTTGTCGTGCTAAAGTCTATTTCGATGGGATGACTCGTGGTCCACTTCTCTATTTCCGTAGTGCTATGGATGCCGCCGCTGCACAAGAATGGATTAATAGAACGGAAAATTTTTACACCATCAAAAAAGCTTTTGATTCAACATCACGTTTCGCTCGTTTACAAAGCATCAAATGTTCACTTGCTGGACGATATCTTTTTCTAAGATTTGTGGCGTCAACTGGTGATGCCATGGGTATGAATATGTTATCAAAAGGCACCGAATTAGCGTTAGAAGAATTGGCCAAACATGTTAACGGATTAGAATTAAAATGTTTGAGCGGCAATTTCTGTACTGACAAAAAACCATCAGCAGTCAATTGGATTGATGGCCGAGGTAAATCGGTTGTCTGTGAAGCAAGAATTCCCAAAAGCGTTGTACAAAAAGTTCTCAAAATAGATGTGAAAAAAATCGCACATCTTGGTAATTCTAAAAATCTGATCGGATCTGCTCTTGCTGGATCAATTGGTGGTAATAACGCGCAAGCAGCTAATATTGTCGCTGCTATTTACATAGCTACTGGACAGGTTAGTTATAATGAGAACATCATCATTAAATATCAATCTGATATCCATTCATTATTATAGGATCCAGCACAAGTGGTCGGAAGTGCCAATTGTATGACATTATTAGAAGTAGAAGATAATGGAGATTTGTACATATCCTGCACGATGCCTTCTATTGAAATCGGTACCATTGGAGGTGGTACGGTTCTCGGACCACAAGGAGCATGTCTTGAGGTATGTAAAATTATTGCGAAATCTTTTAATTATGATTAATTTGTATAATTGTTTTTAATTTCATCAAAATGAAGCTTCTTGGATTGAAAAATAAAAATCTAGCACCGGGTGAAAATACTAGACAATTGGCACAAATAGTTTGCGCGACCGTACTGGCTGGTGAATTATCATTAATATCCGCATTAGCTGCTGGCCATTTAGTTCGTTCGCATATGAAACATAATCGTTCAACAATAAACATTCAAGCATCGGCGGCTGCCGCCACACTCGAAACATTGTGTCCGAGGTCATCGGTTCCCGCATTTGTGGGTTCCAACGGCGTAACGTCACAATCCACATCCAATTTTACGTTAACAGTACCTAGGACAGGAATTTAATCCTAAAGAAAAGATAACAAATAAAAACTGGTCCTGATGATATCATTTGTTGGTTTTTATTATTCTTAATTATTATTATTATTATTATTGATTCATTCTCGTCATCTTTATACTTTTTTTGGATTAATCGATTGATGAATCATATTTTATTATTCTATCGATCGATCCAGTCGATAAATCTCTTACTATCTCATCATCATTATTCATTCATTCATTCATTTTGATTGTTTATTCTCATCATTGATCTTCACACATTATTATTCATCATCATCATCATCATTATCAACATCGATAGAATTTTTTTTCTGGCAAATGAATAAAAACTCATCATCCTTTTTCCTCCTCATTATTTTTTCTTTAAACTTAAATGGACACACACACACTCATACATTTATACATAAAAAAACAAAATCTTAAACAATGATGAATGATATTCTCTTCAAACTATATCTGGCCTTATTATTTATGTTTTCCTTTTCTTCTTCTTATTATTATTGATGATGGTGATGATGATTTACCGGTTATATTCATTTTGATTGTAATAACAATAAGAACAAACACGTGAAACCGTGATTCAAACAACGATTGGAATTTAATCTTTCGTATGTTTTCTTATATGCAGCTTGTCATCTTATACTGGATGTCATCGATCAAGTTTTCTCCTCATCCCTATTTTTCTTTCTTTCTCACTCTATCCTGTTGATTTAATTATTAATAAGTGATGTTTCTTTTCTCTCCCAAATCTGTACAATCAAATGCAACGATGATGTCATCTAAACATTTTTTGATAGGCAATTTTTGAAATGAATAAAAACAGTGGATTTTTCTTATTTCAATTTTTTTTAGATTAAAAAACAAATCATTTCAATCACCAAAGCCGTTTGATTGCTTGTGGTAAAATATGGTCAAAGTCTTTGATAAATTGATCTAAATGTTGTTCGGAAACATTTGGCACCAATTTGGTCCATTTATTAATGCAGGCAATGTCATTTTTCTTAGATGTTTTTCGTCGAAAATAACAATCCGATTCACGAATGATCATATCGGCACCAATTAGATTGTTCGTAGATTTTATAATCATTCCCATTCGTGTTTTGCGCAATAACGAATAACCAATGCTCCAATTGAATAGATCTGCACAAGTGAATATTTTAACATCTTCGTTTCGTAATTGACGTAAAAGAATTATCAACAATATGAGATCATTCTTTTTTAATCGTAATATAGCTATGATTTGTGGATCAGCTAGTTTTATATTTTTGCTATTTTCTTCGTCGATTTCGGAATTACTGTTATCATTGTCATCGGGTCCGTAAAAAAATGAATATTCAAAGATAATACGATTGATTTCATCAAAATTGGGATTGATTGCAAACGATCTAGTCAGTTCGATCTCTATTGATGAATTATTGGCAATGAAATTCGTTTTCAATGCTGGATTCTCTTGGCATAGCTGCTCTATCCTAGACATGCAACAAGTTTTGTATAAATCGTAATGTTTGAATGGTGATACTAGATGAACGACACGTTGTGTTAGTCGTGATCTGACCCGTTTTTCTAAAAGTTCAAGATAATCAAGTCGTCGAGTAATGCCGATGACCAAAATCGATTGGCCATGTTGAGTTAAATCCAATAGATTGTAAAGAAGAGTCTGTTGTTTTCGACAGAACACATCAAAATTATCCAATACAATAATCGAACGAAAATTTTGATAATTTTCAGTCAAATTTCGAAATTGAGTCATAATCTTTGGTATAGAATTGTTAACTCTTTCCGATAGTTCCAAATTGTCGATCATCAAGTCTCTCTCGTCCAAATCATCTGCTGAGTCAAAATCGCTGTCTTGCTGTCGTTTATCAAGAAACCGATTTAAACGTCGTCCGATCGAACGTATTGTTACTAAATCATCTTTGCCGTGGATGGCGCCATCGAATTTGAATAAGGCAACTTTTAGATGATTAAAATTATTGGCACTGAAATTGTCCGTATTGTTCATACGATTCGATGATGATGTTAATAGCGGAAACGATGCGAGACAAGTTTCAATCAATTTTGTTTTGCCCACACCCGCATCACCACAAACGATTAACGAGCTAGCTTCCGATGTTTTCAAAAGATTTTCGATCATTTTGTTAACATAAACGATTTCATCATTATAGAAATTGAAGAGACCATTTGGACCATGATCTATACAATGTGAAGGCATCTTTTTTGTCACATCATCGTTAATAAGATTTTCATCGTTTGGTTTCTCAACAACAATAAACGATAGTTTCTTTTTCTTTTTAATATTCAAAGTCTTTTTTTTCTTATCACAACTGTTATATTTTTTCGTTGCATTTTTACTTTTTTTAGCAATTTTATTTTCACTTGATAAGCTAACGATTTCATTTTTTTCGTTCCACGTTTTTGTGATTCGTTTCTGTCGATTGGTATTATTTGTAGTGATGGTAGTCAATGTCTCGTCCACTTTATGTCCACTTGTCAAAATACACCGAGTTTGACGACGAGTTTCAACCATGTCGCCTCTTTTTGGAACATAGAAATGAATGGAACAAAAAAGAAAAGAAAAATGTTAGCCAATTTGTTAAACAAGTCTTAGCAAATAGATGTTTTGTTTGGAAAATGAAAAAAAAAGCATCACTTTGAATGACAACAATCATCATTCATCATCATAAAAAAATGATCAATATCGGCATACCACAGTGCTTCATCAACAAGTCCTATCCACTTGTTGATGATCTGATTGATGTTGTTGTTATTGTCAATGGGAATGAAACCAGTCTTAAAAAAGTTCTTTGATCTTGCTATATTTTATATATCTGTGTGTGCAAATATGTGAGTGGATACCTATAATCATTAAAATTATATCTTAACAACATATTTTAAAAAGGGTTAAAAACCTCGAACATTCTGAGCAACTTTTTAAGAAAAAATCCTCTTCATCGTCATTGATCTTGAAAAAATTATTATTTGTTTTATCGACCAACAAGAGGAATCATCTCATTTGAAAATGTGGTTTCAAACAATATTATTATTAGCCATCATTATTCATGGATCTCTTCAACATGGCAGAATGTTGGAACCGCCGGCAAGAAATTCTATGTGGAGAGCTGGTTTCAATACCAAACCCGATTATGATGATAGTGAACTATTCTGCGGTGGAATAGTGGTATGATTGACTTTTAACTATCTTACATTACTATATTAATTAATGAATAATAGGATCAATGGAAAAGAAACAAAGGCAAATGTGGAATCTGTGGTGATTCATTTTCGATACGACCACCAAGACCATATGAAACCGGTGGAATTTATGCTAGAAATATTACCGTACGAAACTATAGACCTGGTTCGGAAATCGATGTCATCTTAGATTTGGTGGCCAATCACATGGGGACATTTGAATTTAGCATCTGCCCTAGAAATGATTTTGCACATGAAACAGAGGATTGTTTTATTCCATTAAAAGTAAATGGATCGGACAGATATAAAATTCGTTCACATCGAAACGGAATATTTACTATGCCTGTAACATTACCGCGTGATATTAATTGTCAATATTGTGTTTTTAGATGGCATTGGAAATCGGGTATGTATAGCAATATCATAATACTTACATTAAAAATGGTGATGAATTTAAAAATGTCTAAAACATGTTTTACAATGATGAAATTCTTGCCATCAACGCTCATTCCAAAACACGTTGGTCCTTTCATTGACATTGTTATTAATTTCAAAAAAATTAAATTCCGCGTTTTTCAAATATCTATTTTATACAGCCAATAACTGGGGGATGTGTGCGGATGGTCGTCAAGCGATTGGTTGTGGACCACAGGAAACGTATCGAAATTGTGCGGATATAGCCGTTGGTTATGAATATGGAATTCGTGGTCTTAATTATGAGCCACCTCCTTCGGTTGTAAACGGATTCGATCGAATGATAATGAACAATGAGATACCTAAAGATAATTTCATTACTCATCATCGAGTTCATTGGCCAGGTAATCAACATCATCATAATCACCATTCTCATCATCATCATGTTCATCATCATCCTATTGAAGAAGAATCTACAACAATAGATGATTCTGATTTTACAATCAGAACAACTGAATTACCAATAAAAATAGAAGAATAATCAAACATTAATCACTGCGTTGTGAATTTTAGTTTATTTTTTAAACAAAATTTTAATTTCAATTGTTTTTTTAAATAAAATCTAAAGAATACGAATATTTTACACACAAAATTATTGAAACGAACATTTAGAAGCAGGTACACAGACAACAAAAGCAACAGTTAAACCACCATTGGCCACGAGTCACTTCACCATCGTCATTAATTGCTCGAAACATACTACAAAGACTTCGCTGTTTTGGTATGTAAATATGATGATAATTTTGTTCCAAACGAAATTTATTTGGTGGTCGATGTCGGGTAAGAATCTCTTTCTTTAATTCAATTGTTGGCCATGGTGGTTGTTGTGGTTCCTCTTGATTCGCTGCTTTTAGTTTAAATAGAATATTGATGTCATTCGCTTGTTTTTGTCCATCATTATTATCAAACGTTGATGGTATTCCCTGTTTACAATCTTCAGTTTTTGCCTTTCGAAATTTTTCCAAATGACAATAACGCTGAATATTAGTTTTTAAAAGTGCATTATTCGGTGAAGTGTTTCCATTTTTCGAATTAACCATACCGTTTTTAATATTAAAAACTTTACCATCAACTTCAAATGAATCAACTAAATTCAAATTTATATTCCAAAATTGATTGAATTAAAATTTTTAATTTTATTAGAATTTTTAATTTTATCATTATTATATCGAACTTTTTTTCATTCAATCTTTTCACAAATTTCAAAACAAAAAATTGAATAAAAGTAATACAGAGGAATTGGGGTAAAACGATACTTTCTATCCAGAAATAAAGAGATAGAGAAAGAGAATATGAGAAAAAATCACGAATTATACAATATATTAGGTGCTAGAATTTATTGGATTTTTTTTCTTATGTTATGTCAACAATTGAATATATTGTGTATGTGTCAAATATTATTTTTTTTTTATTGCCAAGATTGAAACAAACACAACATTTATATATATAAAGAGAGCCAAAAAAAGAGACAGTTCGATAAAGATAAAGAGGTAAAATTATTCAGGAAATTTTCAAATTGACTTTTTTTTAAATAATCAATTTGAATGAGATATGATCAGGAATTATTAACCAATGTGTGTTGTGATTTAAAAACAAGATAAAGATAAATTCCTTTGGAAAACTACAGCAGAAAAAACACACACAATATATTCATACACAAACACACACACACACATGAAAAACGTTTTTAAAAACATTATTGTAGAATATTCTCTGTAAAATTATCGATTCGTATAACCTTAAAATTCTTATCTCTTTTTTTTCGTTGGTTTCATAAATGAGATCTATAAATTTATGTGTATGTTTGTGTGAAAAACGAAGAAAAGGAATTTTGTAAGAGAAAGTGAGAAAATTGAATTGAATTCGGAAATGTTGAAAATTTTTTGTTTGTAATGATTTTCAAGTGAGAAAAAAATATTCAAACAGTAAAACAATCATGAATCTTTGTCTGTATGAATAAAATGAGCTAATCGTAATATGAAACATCATCTATTAGTTCAGATGTTCAATTGTGAATATTTTGTTCAAGTTTACCATTTGACTTTGTGGTATTTAATGAGTATTAGTGCGAATTTATTAAGATGATGATGATGATGATGATGAAAAGGTTACACAATGATCCATTTAATGATTCGGGCCTATTGTTTCGTTATTTCGCTGTGAAACCGCCGGGATTTTAAAATAATATTATTATAGAAAAATAAAACGTTTAAAACTAGTGATGATGAACGAAAAGTGTATGATTGAAGAATAAAAGTAGATCATTTTTCTTTCAACTAGAATCATTTACATATCAACATCTTGATCTGGTTCATCTGGACGTTCCTCTTCACTGCTATGTTCTTCATCATCTTGACCAGAGTTTTTTACCGATCCATTGTTCAATGCTGTTACTTGCAAATATTCTGGTTCAGGTTTACTCTCATCATATGTTATATTCAAACCAATTTTATAATCATATTTAGCAACATAACGAACAAATTTTTCGGGTGGTGTTTCACAATTAACTGAAATCGATCGTAATGTTGTATGTGAAACAGTTGTTGAAGGCATCCGGAATTCCACATGAACAAAATCATAAAATGTTTCCGGTATTCGATCAAACGATGATAATGGTAAACGTACCAACATTAATTGTTGCGTATAAGCTCCTATTTGATTGATTTTTTTTAAAGTTTAACATTATAGTAACTATATCTTATTGATTATTCAGATTTACCTTGTCCGTCTTTCGGCAATTTCGGGATACGCCATACTATTGAATGATATGCATGCTCATATTTTGCCAGACCAGCTGTCACTTCAATTAATTGAGGTTCAGGATTTGTTGCAGTACCTAAAATGCGATCCAATCCCTATTCATTGAATAATATTTTAACATCAGTATGATTTCTTCAATATATTATTACCTTAAGCTTCCCCGAACGTCTATTAGTGGAATGAACAGCTCCATAGCGGAAATGTTTTTCTACCCTAAAAAAATATACCCAACATTCGGGTATATGAAAACGGATGGCAATATCTTCACATGGTATTTGACCGTGTTTTCTTGATATACACCCGGGTACAAGAACGTCACATTTGAGCTCCATTTTAGATGGTGTTATGTTCATATAAGCGCTGACCTGTAATGGAAGTTCACGATTTTTTGGTGGACGAATACGAAATCGCATCATTTCGAATTGACATGCATCCGGTGGTATCAAACGAATTAGTTGTTCAGTTTCAAAATATTGATCTTGTACACATGAATGAAACTCTTGTCGTTCTACGCGAATCCATTCTTCAGTGACTACTGGTAAAATATCATGACGGCCGACAACTTCTTTGCCTTGTCTTCTTAGATCATTGATTCCAACTTCGATAACTGGCATCCCTATATACATTTGTCAGCAGAAAAAAAACTTGATCACTTTCATTCATTAATCAATCACAATGACTTACCGTTTAAAAAAGCAAGGAAAAATACCCGAACACGAGCCAATTGTTTTTCAATGATTCCAATCTTATTCTGTTCAACATAACATTCATCTTGTACACAACATTGAATCTCTTCAGTGCGATAAGTTAGGGCACGATCTCGATGTACAGTCATGCGGAACATTGATTCTTCGACAACTGTTATTAATTCTTTAATATCATTATATTCTAGTGAACCTAGTTTAAGTAATTCACTGATTTGTGGCGAATGTTCGACGGGCATTCCAAGTTTGGCGAAATCACCCATTGATTGGATCTGACCTTGCATGACTTTGGCAATTTGTCCGGGCCGAACGCCGACACGCTCACGATAAAATATGTATTGTACTTTGACAGTGAATATTTTCCCATATTGATCATATTGTTGAGGAGAAATTTCCGATAACGAATATGATGCTTGTAAGGGTAACTCCTGAAATGGTTGAGCATCACCTTTTTTATTGAACAATTGTAATACACAAGTTTCAGGTATGTAACGGACAAATATTTTCTTCCAATAACGATTTGCAGTCAATTTTTTCTTAGCCGGATGTCTCAACATCATTTCCCATCCTTCACCAAGATATGGTGGTGGATAATCTTCAAGCGGCTGGGATGTATCCTCATCATAAAGAGGAGTTTGTGGTGATGCTGGTGAATCGGTTCCAGTAGCTGTACGTTGTTGTTTCGAAGCGGCTTCGCCAAATGCAGTTGGCCATTCTGGTTCTTCAGTTGTGGCCGTATCGGCAGTTTCCGAACCTTGACGATTTTCCGAACTGGCAAAAAATCGTTCGAACTCTTCATCAATAAAACTTTTTGCAGTCTTTTTTGGTTTCATTGCAGATGAACTACGATAACCGGTCAATATTAAATCTTCTTCACATACTTCTCCTTCCTCTTGTTCGGCATCTTTTTGAGCAAAACGCTTAGGAGATTTCGGTGGAGGTGGTAATAATGGAAGCGCTACAAAAATTAAGATATAAAAAAATCGAATTCAATGACAAAGATGTTCTTACCCAAATTTGAATTTGCTTCCGATCGCTGTGTATCATTGTTTTTAGCCCGAATGACAATTCGAAAACTTTCCTCAGGTTCATCATCATCATCATCATCGAATGAATCGGAATCTTCGAAAGAATCTTTTTTCTTTTTTGGTTTCTTGGCCACTTTATATGGTGTATTTTCAGGCTGTTTGGGCACGAATGGTTCGAATGTATCAAAACCTCCACTGCCATCTTGATCAGCATTAGATTTTGCCGTTTTATATGGTGATGCAAATGGATCATCATCAATACGGACAATTTTTTCTTTATTATCCGTAGCTTCGAAACGTGATTCAAATGCTTCAAATGCTTTTGAATCAAAGCCACTTGTATCAAATGGATCATTAGATTCATGAATGGACTCTTCGATATCCGCGGTTTGTTCTTGAAAATCCATATTGTTGTCAACTAGTTCACGTAATGAATTAGGCTGCAAATTTTCGATTGCTACTTCAGCAATATCAACTGATAATTTTCGTTCTGTTGCTTCTTTATCCGTTTTTTCTATCTGGGATTCAGATTTATCTTGTTCATCGTTGAAAGCATTATTTATGATTCCTTGGGCATTAACATTTGGTTGTCCAACATAATTCAAGTCAAGGCTATCACTTCTGTCCATGATATTGTCAAGGCCAATGATCTTTGCATGGTTTATCTATAAATCGATAAAATCAAAATCAATAAGGTTATTGCATAGATTAATCTAACTTACCGCTTTGCATTTATATTCTATTGTCGCTGCTTCCACTGTTGTTGAGTCAGGAACAATTTCATCATCGTTGTCACCTTCTTCAAGATAAGAAGTGATTGGTGAATCAACAAAAACAGTTGTAAATGGATCAAATTGGGACGAACTACGTATAGCATGCTCATCTGTATAGTGTTCACCTGTTTTTTTGATGATTACATCATCATCATAATCATCTTCATCATCGTCTTGGCTATGTCTGCCTGCAGTCTTTGAAACTCTACGCAATAAAATCTCAGATGATGTTATCGGCTGAAACTTTCCATGTTCTTCGTCTTTTTCTATTTTATCATCGATCCCTATCAATTACAGAGAACATACATTGATATTGCATCATTATTGTTTATTTTGTTTTTAACTTACCCGGATAGGCATCAAAGGCACTGCGAATGTCATTCGCAACAATATTACTTGGTGATATATCAGAAAGGTCGGATAGATCGGATGAATATGGTTCGATTTTCAAAGGCGCCGCTAATAGATCTGTTGGGCTTATCGGTGAATCATCAGCATTAGTTAATGATGATTGAACTTCACGATTGGCTGACGCTAATAATTCGATTTCATTCATTGATGAATGAAATAATTCTTTGGCTTTTGATGAAGCTATTTTCGGAATTTTTTCATCGTCATTTGTCGATGAAGATTCTCGTTGTTGATTTTGTTCGATTGAAGACCTTTTGGAAGAGAAATTGGGATCATCATCATTGATTGTTTGAAATGGATCAAATACGGTGCCATTATTTGTGTCAAAATTGGTTATTGTTTTGACTGTAGTTGTTTTATTTACAGGTTCCTCATTATCATTAATCACTTTACTGTTGATTTTGTTTTGTTCATCTTCAGTGAAAACATCTTCATCGAACTTTGTCGATGTTTTATTAATACTTTGGAAGAAATCGGCTGACATGTCGGCAATGGCACTGGCAAAATTTTGCGCTGTATTTGATGTTTCATCATTGTTGTCAAATATTGTGGTATTTTCATTCTCTGGTGACAGGATTTCGAATGGATTGGTCGAGTTACGTCTTTTTGGTGTTCTGGCTCCAACTATTTCGCAAAAAAAATAATTATTATCAATAAGAAATGTTTAAAATCGAAAATAACCTGAATATGGTGTTTGTGTGCCGGACGCAGAGTATGGCGTATAACTTTCCTCAAGGTCGGCTAAAAATGGATTGGACATTTTGATATTGATTTAGTGTTTTAATCTTTGATAATCAAATCTTTTTGAATAGTTGATTCAATATAACTAGTATCAAATGGATCAATTTCATTGACATCAATATCTTTAATTAATGTTGGTTTCAGAATTGATTCACCACTTCTAATTGCTTCGACGTCAATAAATGACGTATCGAACGGATCAATCGATGGTTCTTCAATATCCAATAATGAAGATTCTTTTCCTGTGTCTACTAATGGTATTCCCGGTGCTAAATTTGTGAATCCAAAATCCTCAATTAATTCACGGGCAATTTTTTTAGTTCCTTCGTCAATTAATGGCTGAACTTTGTCAGTGCTCTGTTGTTCAGCTGTCTCTTCTGCTTATAAAAATACAAGAACACAATAATCCAATTAATTATTTACACCGATTGCAAACATTCACATACCTGTTTTAGGATATTTGAATATCGGATCGGATGGATTATAATCGGCTGTTTCGTCAAAAGCTGCCCAAGCTCCCGAAGTTTTCGGCGCTGTTTCGTCGAATTGATCCGAAAAGGTTGGATCTTCGAATTTGCTGATTTCTTTCACAGCAGATTCGGTTTGTAATTTTTCCAATACTGTTTGTGTTTTAGATGTTACAGCATCTGCTTTTGCCGTTAATGAAAGAAAAAATTTCCACTCTTCACAATCTTTTTTACTTTCCTCTTTTTCACGAAGTTTTTCCCTTTCCTCTTTTCTATATTCTTCTTCTTTAGCTTTTAATTCTTCAAGAGATAATTGTGGTATAGATTGTTGTTCTGATTCCGGTAATGGAAATGGTTCACCCGTTATATTAATTGAATCAAAGTTGGCAAAATTTGTATTTGTTGAATCAAATTTAATCGATTGATCGTTATTGTCGGATGCTAATGTCGATGGATGTGGTGGTATTCCAGGCACATAATTATCGAAATCATCATCATCATCATTTTTACGTTTGGTATTCCCAACGACTTTATTGATTTTTTTCTTCAGATAGTTCATATCTCAACAAAACGACAATCTATATTCGCTACTAAAACGATATCGTAATTATTCATTCCTATTGATCTACAAAGATAATGAATGAAAATATTTCGATAAATAAATTCAGCACACGGAAAAAAAACTTAAAATTCGTACAATTGGCTGAATGTTTTTTCAATTCAATTTGATTATATTAATTTCAATTGATTACACTTTTCGAATAAGCCGAAATAAACGATTTTTTTTGAATGACAAAAGACGGAAAACATTAAATTCAGATTGAAATAATAAATGCCAAATTGGAATATTGAAAAAAAGTTTCGAATGTCAAATGTAATTTTGTTAATAACTAATGAACAAAAAAAGTTGTTGTTCATGCGGATAATCCACTTTTTAAAATTAGAAAACAAAAAAAAAAGACCTTTTTCACAAAAAACTATTGATAAATAGATCACTGAAATCGAAATTCATTCACTCAATTGGGATAAAATTAATCGATACAGAGATAAAAAAAATAACAGGATAACAGTGATGAACATTGTTGATGCTCCTTATTTTTTTCTTTTTCGTTTATTTGTTAGTTAATCGTTGATGACGATGTTGCCGTTGTTTTTTCTTCACGTAGTGGTTAATACAGTTCTTCAAGAAAAAAAACTATGTTCCAGAATCATGGAAGATTCGTCGTAGTAGTAGTTGTAAAGTAGATCGTTACAGAAATGATCCAAATTTTATTGTTTTTTATTAAATATCTCTAAATTCACAACGATTCTATATAGCCATGTTTTTGAGAATGTCATTCATTTTTTGTTAAAAGAATATTGCTACCGGTTTAGTTTGATTCTCTCTTTTATCTGTTATACAGACCAAACATAATTCTATACAATTGATTCATTATGGGCGCAACATTATTTCAACATTTTTTTCCTGATTCTTTGAATTTTCCTTTTGGTTTTTATCAATGTTTGCCACTGCTTACATATCCATAGAATTCCATACATACATGCATACAGGAATCAACTCAAATATGTTGATAATCGTACTGAATTGCAACAAACATTGGTTATTTGACGTCATTCGATATAAACAAGATGGAAAAAAAACTATATATATCAAAAATATTTAATTTCATAAATTTTCTACTCTCTTGTGATTTTGATTTTTTGTTTCATATTTCCCCACAATCTTGTTTGATATATAGATATTTTTTTGCCCAACAAAATTCCCAATTCGACCAGGTGATTCATAATAATAATAATGATCTGGATTCTGTATGGCCATTTAGATTCATTTTTCAATTATAATCATTTACATGTTTTCTATTTCAATTAGGATAATTTATTATTCTTATTATTATTTACATGAAAAAAATTATTTTAATTAAATCTTATCATTCATAAATGAATATTTAAACACTATAATTATGAATTCAATTATTATTTGAATTTCATGGATTAGCATATAATGAATTAGCCAAAAATTCCATTTTGAACACTATTTTAAGATGTCTACAACAGTAATGAAAAACTACGAAAAAACAAGATTCAATCAATCAATCAATGAAATCGATTTGTTTGCATAAAAAGAAAACAACTTTCTAATTAATTTCAAGTCTACAGTGTTTTTTTTTATTTCATTATTATTCAGTTTTTGGTAATCATTAAATTCCGTTTGAGAAATGTATCTTTATTGACAATTAAATTATTGATGATATATTACACTCACGAACACACACACGCAAATACAAAAACTTCATTCATTTTATATAGAATTAAAGTTTTAAACCGAAAACTTTTCGGTTATTGTTTTGTTAGCAAATTGTTTTCAATTTTGCACATCAAATATTTGGACAACATAATTTTTTTCAAATCTCTAAGACACTATATAGCGACAAATCAAGCCAAAAGAAAACCAATAATAAAAATAAAACTTAGAAACATTTTTTTTCTGGTTCAAACAAACAAAAAAGATATCAAATGAATAATCAACTATGTTAGAATTTCATTTCATTTTGAAAAAAAAAATTTGATGATGTAATCGGACGAAGGACCAAGGACAATAAAACTAAATTCAAAATAAAATAAAAAACAACCAATAATCGTCTGCTATCTTGATGTAAATCTTTTTTTTGTTGCAAAAATTGCTGCTACATTATCAATAACTACGCCATCGTTGTTGTTGTAGGATATTCATTTATCTATCATAACAAATAAATCGAATGTGACAAGCATTTTTAATGTAAATGTAAATAAGTTAACCGGTTGTTTTCTCTGGATTCTTGAAAATTGTTATGGATCATTTCATGATTCGTTATCTTGGTGTTTTCTTTTAAATTAAATTTTCGAATAATAATAATCGTTATTTATTAATAAAATAATTATCATTAAGAAATCCGGTTGTTGAATCATTTAATTAGCATTAACATTTTAATAAAAGAGAAAATTTTAATGAAAGAAATAAATATGTTTCAAAATTTTAAAGTATGATGGTAAAATTTTAATGAATTCAATTTCCTAATCTGAATAAAAATTCAATGAAGCAACACGATCTTTGTGGTGTGTTTATTAGTAACTAAATATTAGATGCGGCCAAGGATGTCGTCTATATTGCCATCATTGGATAAATCGTGGTTTTTGAATTAAATTGTATTGAATTCAACAAAGGTGTCACATCTAATGATCCTGATCTTGATTACAACGTTAATTTCAAAACGAAATTAAAATTTCATAAAATATTGAACAATAACAGGAAAATAATTGGATCGATTTTTTTTGAAATAAACAAATTTCAAAATTATTTAAATAAAAAATTCAAAACGAAAAATTTCACAATGTTTTCTCAGGATTTTTGCAAATTATTTCTAAATATCGAAAATTTAATCTTAAATTCAGCCCAAGAGGAATTCAATCAAATTTTTCCCGAACAAATATTAGTTTGATCGATAAATCATTGAATCAAAATGATCATTCGATAAAATGGCGAATGTCAAGGGAAAGGATATACTTCATGATGATGATGATGATTATATTTAAAAGAATGTCAATGATGTCAGGAGAAATTTTCTCGAACATTTATCATTATGATTCAATCCATGTTAACATTATTGAAACGAAAAGGAAATGTGCATAGATAAAATGAAAAAAAACAAACTTTTTACTATTAGAAAAATTTTTTTGTGCTTTTTGTACAGCTAAAAACACAGCAAACATTCATGACTTTTGATCGAGGTTATTTATTATCGATAAAATCATCTTCTTCATTATGAGTTAACGATAATCGAGTGAAAAAATAACAATTAGATCAACATTTTATGTAGAAGATGAAAAAAATTTACAAATTTTCTTTTCCATGCATGAATCCCGATCTAAATGTTATGATTAACTACAAAAACAACAGCAGCAAAAATATAAAAATTTCTGATTAACCTTCGAATTCAATAAGGAAATCATATCGTAAATCGGAAAAAAAAATTTCATTTTACAGAGAAAAAAAACTACTAATAATTTGTCAAATGACCTTTCAATATGATTTCTCAAATTAGATTTTGAATTTTTTTTTCTTTCGTTCATCTCGCATCATCATATTTGAAAACAAATGAATCAAATATATCATTTTCAAAAAAAAATTGCAAAATGTTTCATTAAGTAGAAAATAAAATTAATCAATCATTCAACAATTGAATGACTTTATTTGGTTTTGAATCAAATTTTTTCAAAAAATTCATTAATTTTTTGAAAACAAAAATCTGTTCCAGTACATTCGAATTTGGATCATCATGATAGTCTAATAAATGACAATCTTATCGTTTTCGAAAAATCTTTTCACACTGATTGTAAATTATATATATTTTTTTATGCGAAAACTTTTAACAAAATTTACATCCACTAATCTAATCTAAATTTTTGTTTCATTCGATAATTCATTAAATCAATGCAGATGAAAATGTCGAGAGTACACTTTTTTTTGTTGATTATGATCGTCTGATCCAGTGAGATCAATCGACAGCGACATTGATCCAATATGGATAATTTTTTTTACATAACGATGACCTATTATAATTTTTTTTATAATCAGATCAGGTGATAATTATGATGATGATGATGAAACTATAACAAAATAAATGGTCATCAAATGTCACAAGAGTTTGCTTTCAATCTTTCATTAATGCTTCTGGATCATGATTTGGATCGAGGCTTGTTATCGTGTTATATCATTTGCTTTTATTTTTCATTTCGATTTTATTTTTCTCATTAATTTTCTTTTTTTTTCACTTTCCTCTTCAAAGATGATTTTGATTATCGTCATATCGTTCAATAAACAACGTTATTTTTTTCATCTTAATTCTTCATAGGAAATGTGATGTATTTATCACAAAATAATGTTTTAGATTGCATTTACTGATCGGATATATAAATAAGACATTCGGCTCGATCAAAATTCAATCATTCATTGGAGTTCTTCAGTTTTGTTTGATCCAAAAAAATAACCACATAAAATATGTATAAAAAAGTAAATTTTATTTGAATTTTTATTTGAATATTTTTCTTAAAACATTTCATTTTTTCCATGTTTCACAGGTCTGTATAGCAGTCACTTTAATGGCTGTTGCCGTTAACGCCTATGGTGGCGGTGGTGGATACAGTATGGGAGGCGGCGGTGGCGGTTATGGAGGCGGCCGCGGTGGCGGTGGAGGTTATGGAGGTGGCGGTGGAGGATATGGAGGTGGTGGCGGTGGCGGCTATGGTGGTGGTGGCCAATCAGCTTCATTGGCCGTTTACAGTAACCACAATGTCAATTTCCGACCAGTTTCCAGCCGTAACTACAATAAACCAACCAATGTCTATGTTGATGGCACAAGTGCTCCAGTCAATTTCGTTTTCCGATCCTCATCCGGTCCAGTGTACGTTCAACAACAACATCAATCAAGTGGTGGTTCATTCTCTGAAAACACATCGCAAGATGCCCCACATCGATTGGTTCAAACCGTTAATAAACCAATCATCCAAGAAGTTCGAGAAATCATCAGTCCAATGAGAATTATTCGACAAGAAATTCAACCAGTCCAAGAAAATGTTCAAACTTTGATTTCTCGTGATGATGGAGCTGGTGGTGGTGCCGGCGGTGGTGGTGGTGGTGGTATGGGAGGTGGTATGGGCGGCGGCATGGGTGGTGGTATGGGTGGCGGCATGGGTGGTGGTATGGGTGGTGGTTGTGGTGGTATGGGATGCGGTGGTGGTGGCGGCGGTGGCAGTGTCAGCTACAGTGGTCCATACGGTGGTGGCGGTGGTGGTGGAGGAGGAGGTTATGGCGGTGGCCGACGTGGTGGTTACTAAGAAAAACTGCCTTAAATTTATTTATTTTTCCAAAATAACACCGGAAACCATCCCAAACCTCAAAATAGACTAGATAGTGTGAAACCCGAATACCATTAACACCGAAAATATCATCACTAAATCATGCATGATGATTTCATCAATTATTTAACATTCAATTCATAAATTCGTATGTAAACATTACATTATCCATTTCATTATTAAAATATATCATGTAAAAAAATAATAATGATATTCATATTGTCATTTGACATTTTAATTTGTAATAAAACAAGAAAAAATTCACCTTTATCTAAGCGTTTTCTGTTCGACTATATAGTAAATAATCAATGCAAATCCATATGTAATTGATGATTAAAAAGATGAATGAGATTTGTTTGGAAAAGAAAACACTTCCGTAGCGAGAAGTAAATGTATTAACATTTAAATTTTACTAATATGGATCATATCATAATCATGGTTTATGGGTCACTTGATTTTTAATCTTGCATTATAAAGTTATTCCAATGTTGACTATATTTCTTTCAACAAAAAAAAATCATCTTGAAATCATGTATTTCCATCGAATTAAAAAAAACTCATTTCTTTCAAGGTAACTTAACAAATTATTATTGACATTGTTTGATGATGATGACCATCATTACCTACATACGTTAAAAACGATTTTCACATCGGATATTTCAATCAAGATTTAAATGAATAAATTTTGAAGAAAAAAAAATTTTCTATTCGTAAAAAAAAGTTCAAAATCCTTAACCATGCATGCTTGCTAGTGAAATTGTAAAATACCATGCAATATGAAACAATTCATTAGAAATTATTTTAGTTGATGATGGTCTACCTGTTTTATTTGACAGTGAAAATTATATTTATCATTGAAAATTTGACATTTTTTTACAAAAAAAAATTATAATTATTCTTACTCAAAGATTAATTGAACAGTTTTCCATCCTTATAATTATCATCATTAAAATGATAATTAATCAATGGATCTTTATTTACATTAAAAAAAACACAGGATTGGAAAAGATTTGACGAATTCTTGTTGTATAGACATGGATTCAACCAAAGTAACATGAAAATGAATTACTGAAATTATTTCCATTTGATCGATCTAATAAATCAAATTCATGTAATAATATAAAGATACAAAGTGCATTATTGATTGATTGATTCGATTTGAAACGCAAACAACAACATCGAAAAACAAAATAACAAAATTGACCAAAGTGGTGTGATCAAATACATATATATACGCATCATCAAATGTAAAAAAATAAAAATAAATAATGTATGCGAATACATGTTTTTCTTTCATTCAATCACAATCTTTCTTTTCCTTTTCTTTTCTTTTTTTTTTGTTGTAAAAGATGCTTTTTCATTCATTCATCTAAAAACACCTTTCATTCCAATAACGAATATTCAATCCGCTATCCTTGGATTTTTTTCAATTTGAAAAAAAAGAAAGAAAAAAAAACATCATTTCTAACTATTCGCCCTGTCGTCTTCGTTTTTTAATGTTTGCTAATGAAAAAAAAATAAACTACTATCCATTTGTTATGGTGGGCTATCACGAATTTTTATTTTCGGTTTAAATAATACTGATGATTATGGTTACCACCACCTTTGTAGAATAGAGACGAAACTTTGATATTGATGATGTTGTTGTTGTTGATGATGATGATGATAAGAATACGTGTTTAGCAATGTGGCATTCATGTTTTCCTTTATTATTATTATTATTAATTTAAAGAAATTCATTATTCAGTATCTCAGTAACTGTAAACAACAACGAAAAATTTGAGTGAAAAAAAAACGATGATGAGCAAATGAAAAAAAAAACATTATTGAATTTCAATTTTCATTATAATGACCAAAGACAACATTGAAAATTATTTGTCCACTGATCAATCATTTTTATTGTGTTATAATATAATCATCAAATTAAAAAGTAAAAATAAAAGGAAAATTCATTGTTCGATTGTTCAACTAATAATTGATAATTAATTGATTGATTGATTTGTAAAAAAAAATAAAATTTGTTTGTTTAGGGGGTGTTGTAATAAGGGAAAAAAACAATTATTGTTTTTGCTCAATGTCCTGTTCAATGTTTTATTACTGTTGATGAAATTTAAAATTGAAATGATCATCAAAACAACCGAAATGAATTGGACATTCTAATAGATTTTGTTTCACCCGTTAAATATCATCAACGTTTGCGAGAAACAAACAAAAAAAAAACGGCAAAAATGTGAAATTGTTTTCGATGATCATTTAGAGATGATCATCGATTTATCAACAATATCAAATGGATCTATTTGATTATAAACAAACTAAAATATTTAGACTGATAATTCTGTTCATATTTACAACATTCATTGTTAATATCATTCAATTCGTTTCATCATCATCATCATCATCATCATCGATATTTACAACAACAACGGTCGAGATGCCAACACTTATAATAAAAACATCAACAAAATTATCCAATATAAATGAATGTGAAACAAATGAACAGTGCAAACAATTTGATATACATAAATCATGTGATCAATCTATTAGAAAATGTTATTGTGGTCGTTATTATTATGAAGATCCATTTAATAAAAGTTGTATAGAAAAATATCGTCGTTTACCAACATATAAGAAACAGGAAAGAAAATATATGAATAAATATCGTACCAGTCAGATGAGAGATGATGATAATGATTTAGAAACAATATATCAACATGGTACAAATTTTCGACGTGATTTAATTCAATATACTATATTGGGTTGTTTCTTTATTGGTCAAATTGTATTGACTTGTCATTATTTAATTCATAAACGTATGAAAATATTACGACAACAGATTGAGATGAACAAACAACAACAACAACAACAACAACAGGAACCAAATGGATCAACCGAACGTACACAATCATCATCGGCAACAGATGATGTTTCCGTTGAAGTTTGTTAAGCCTGAATCTGACACTATCTTATTTATTTGGACTTTCTTTACATTCCATTCATGCATTATCATTTATTTGGGAAATTTTGAGAACAAATAAAAAAAATTCCCTCGCTGAAAAAAATTCGAAACAAAAATTCCATCCATTTAGCGCTGACATCTAGTGATCTGAATTCAATTCAATTCCATATTTTCATTCATGCAAATAAAAAACAAAACAATCGAATAAATTCAACTTTTTAAACTTTATACCTGGACAAAATGTTAATAATAAAATTAATGATTTTTTTTATTCATCTTTTTTCATGTTAAATATTATATAATTACAATACGAAAAAAAGGAAAAATTTTTCATACATTGTTTATGAACGGATATCGATCGATTTACAACAACAACAACAAAAATAACGAAAACAAAATAAAGTTGATAAGCGCGAGACAAATCAAACCAAGATGGCGCTTCAAGGCGTGTTTTTTTGACTAATATGCTAAAGCGATTGTCCATTTCGAACATTTATATTAACCACTACCACTACATATGTATATAGACGAACATGATGTCGAATGCCCTCTATTAAGCTTTACGTTAAGCGGCCAACTCCTCATTTTTGCATTATATACAACAATACATAGAAGCAAACAAAACAAATGGAATGTCTATGTATGTGTGTATTGTATATTTGGCCCAAAAGATACGTTTGCATATATACCAATATTGAAAAAAAAATTTTTGCGAGCGCACTCTTGTGTTTATAATACGGGAATTATTGCTATTATATTCATTCATCATCAGTATAATTTTTAAAAACAATTATTTCTGTTTTTGATTTGCCACATTTTCATCTTCGACTCAGGAAATTTTATCCCGAAAAAAACACTAAAAATCTGTTTGGTAAGTATTCATGTCATTTTATTTTTCAATTAATTTTCTTAATAAATCTATGATCAAAGATTTGTCAAACGAATTTTGATGTTTGTATGTGTGTTAGATGTCGATAGTAATGGCCTCTGTTAGGTTATGTTCCGAGTTATTCTTTCATAGCTTGTCCGCATTGTGGCGGTTGTGATTATATCATTTTTTTTGTTCGGTTGTTTATTTTGTTTTATCGATTCTGATGGTGATCATGATCATGATCATCATTCATAATAAAATAATTACAGAATTAGTTTTTCTATCAAGTTGTTAATGGATTTTCAATCCACAATTAGTGATACAATGTTGTTACTGTCTTATAGCACTCAACTATATTTTTGTATGTGAACAATTAAACATTTATAATAATCGAATTTTATCGTTTTTTCTTATTTTTCTAGGTTATTCTGTATCGCGTGCGAAATAGCTATATTTTGAAAGCCTTTTCTAATTGTTTGCATGTAATTAACTTGGAGAAATAAAACAATTTTTAAAAGATTGGTAATTAATATAAAAAACAAAATGACTGATGCTGTTGTTGCCAATGAAACGGATTCCATTTCCGACATTCAAGATTATCTTCAAACCTTTAATAAAGAAGTTGATGATGGTGAACAGAATACGGCGACAACAGCTGCAGCTGTTGCTGATGCTGCTGATCAATCGAATTCAACAAATCAAGTGATTTATACAATTGATGGCAAAGAGCTCGCCGGCAATATTGTTTTAGCTGGTCAAGATGGTCAATCGGAACAATCCGGTAATTTTCAAACATTTATGGTCATGAATGATCAACAATATATGCTGATCATGGAAGATGAATCGGGTGCTGGCGGTGAACAACAAGCGTTGGTTGTCACTGCTGATAATGATGAACAGCAACCAACGAATGGCCCAACTGAAACGGCTTCTTCAAATCAACGACAAGAATTGACAACAAATGTGGCGGAAACGCCAGCTAAACGTACACGTGGAATGTTTCGCAAAAGTCAGCGTATCAAAGAAGAATTAATGGATGATGATAGTCATAATGATATCTCTGTATATGATTTTAATGATCAACCTAATCGAAATGCTGCATCACATGGAGCATCAGCTGGCAGTTCATCAAAAAATCAAACGACAGCAGATGACGATGATCCGGATTTTAAAACTCCATCGAAACGTGGAAGACCGGTAAAATCATCCGAATCATCACGAAAAGCAAAATCAGGTTCCGGCTCATTAGTGTTGAATACGACCAGTGGAAGCAGCAGTTCTAATGTTCATGTTTGCACCTATTGTACTTACACCAGTACAAAACGTTATCTTTTATCACGTCATTTAAAATCACATAGTGAAGATCGACCACATAAATGTGGCATTTGTGAACGTGGTTTTAAGGTTTGTTAATTGTTATCAACTATAAATAAATTTATTAATATGATTCATTGTTTTTGGAAACAGACATTGGCTTCATTACAGAATCATGTCAATACTCATACTGGTGTTCGTCCTCATCAATGTAAATTTTGCGATGCTGCATTCACTACTTCAGGTGAATTGGTCCGTCATATTCGTTATCGTCATACACATGAAAAGCCTCATCGTTGTAGTGAATGCGATTATGCATCAGTCGAATTGTCCAAGTTAAAACGTCATATGCGTTGCCACACAGGGGAAAGACCATATCAATGTCCACATTGCACATATGCATCGCCGGACACCTATAAATTGAAACGTCATCTTCGTATCCATACAGGTAATAATTTTAAATCCTGATTGTGATTTTTTAATTCATTAATTAAAAATGTTAATAGGCGAAAAACCATATTTATGTGATGTATGCCATCAGAGATTTACTCAAAGTAATTCATTGAAAGCACATAAATTGATACATACCGGAAATAAGCCGATATTTAAAGTATGTTTTTTCTCGTTGTTTCGTGTTTCTTATTTGAAACAAATTTTTGTTTTTTTTTTCAGTGCGAATTTTGTCCAACCACTTGTGGACGAAAGACCGATTTACGTATTCATGTTCAAAAACTTCACACAAGTGATAAAATGTTAACCTGTAAACGATGCGATCAATCATTCCCGGATCGTTATCAATTTAAATTGCATCTAAAAACTCATGAAGGTGAAAAATGTTTCAAATGCGATCTTTGTAGTTATGCATCCGTGTCTGCACGTCATCTTGAGTCGCACATGTTGATTCATACAGACCAAAAACCTGTGAGTATTAATCGTTTAAATTTAATGAACAATTATCAATTTTATTTTTTTATCAATAGTATATCTGTGAGGTTTGCCAAACGTCCTTCAGGCAAAAACAATTATTGAAGCGGCATAAAAATCTTTATCATAATCCAAGCTATGTGCCGCCGGTGCCGAAAGAAAAGACACATGAATGTGCACAATGTTCTAAAGCTTTCCGTCATAAAGGAAATCTTATTCGTCATATGAGCCTTCATGATCCTGATGCTAAAAATAATTTGGCTAAAGATTCTGATATGATGGGCAACTCGCAGCTAATCGATGATGAATATTATGAAGATGAAGATGATTATGAATTAGGTGATGATCCGACCCAAGTTTCAATTGTAACAACTGATACAAGTGGTGCCATCTTAGATTCATCAGCTGCCACTGATGGCTCAATACAAATTACATTAGATCAACAGCTTATCGATTCCAGTAATGATCAAGTTATGCTGTTGTTGGTATCACAAGAATCTGGCGATACATCTAATGGACAATCAACAGCGGATACTGCTACGACAGCAACTGTAACGGCAACAGCTTCGACACCACGAATTATTTCACGTTCAGCTCGTGTAACCAGAAGTTCGGCTAAAGCGAATGGTATGTTATTTGTATAAAAAACTTGTCACCGTTTTCATTATATTTTTAGATGTTCAAGTTGTCTATGAAGATTCAAAATCTATGCTGAATAGTGATAATTCAGCTAATTCGGAACCGACATCACAAATATCATTCGATAATGATACAATAAACTATGAAGAACAATTGCAGAAACAAAAAGATCTCGAAGCTTGTTTCGGTTTCAAGGTTAGTTTTAGTCAAATTTTCGAAATGTTCAATCATCATTTATTAAAACTCTTTTTTTTAAATCTTTAGGATGAAGACGATGAAGATGAAATCATTTTGTCGATGCCTGCTGTTCATGGACAGTAACCGAAATTCTTTTCTCTGGAAAGTAACGAAAAAAAACAATATGTAAAATTGAGATGAATCAATTGATTATAATCCTTATATAATGGTGTTGATTTATATGTCTTATTCATTCATATCTCAAAATTTATTTTTTTCATCATTTGCTATGGTATTTTCCAATCACATCGAATACATTTTTTTGTCAAATATTGTAAAAGCTAATACTTATTTTAATTCCTATATAAATGATATCTTTATCTATACATTTTTGAATTTCTCATATGCTTTAATATGGAATTTATTTCAATAAAACATCAAAATCATTCAACAACAACAATGTTATTGTTAGCAACCAAAATAATTAAAAAAAATAGATATTGAGCACGTAATTCACATACATTATTTTACATCCGTACATAATTCATTATTTCAAAGAAAACAAGAATGAAATAAATTTTTTTTCTTTAATTCATATCAATAAGAAAAGAATCTTTTCCTCAATAGTTTTGTTGATTATGATTATGATGCGATTTTTTTTTGAAAAATACTGAAAATCAAACAAAAATAGCGTTGGATCAAATAAGGGGAAAAAATTATGGTTTGAAAATGGAATTTACTCATATTATGTCAATCATAATTATATAACCAGAAAATATAAACGAATATACATCGTATTCGTATCATCACTATATTGAATTAACATTTCATTTGAATGAAGTAACATTTTCCTTTTCTTTTTTTTTTGATGTCGTTGTCATAACTCACACAAATGTTGTTCCCAAATATTGTTTGAAGATCTGACAGTTATTATCAAAAATAATTGATATATGAACTGAATTGTTTCTCAAAAACATTTTTACTTGCCATACAAATGTAATTGTGGTTGGAAAAAAAGAATCATATTGATTAAATTACTAGCGGCTTTCGGGTAACCATTAAACATTATGCTTTTGTTGTTGATGATGATGATCCATATTATGATTTTTGTCATTCAAAATGTTGGATCCATTGATACTGGAAAGATGACAGAAAAAATGAACCTTAAGGCAAAATTATATCATAATACACACACTGACAGAAACAGGAAAAATACTCGAACAATTCATCATCATCCATGATATAAATGGATCACCAACACACACACACATTTTCCAACAAAGAATGGAAAGAAAACCATGTCTTTTGTCATAATTTTTTTGAAGATAAAAATATATCAATAATTGGTTCATTCCATAAGTGATAATATAATAACTAATAACCAAATAGAAAAAAACGCGAGCGAAAAAAAACCACATATCAATGATTAATGGGATGATATATAAACATGTCTGTATGTATGAAAAAGATTTGATCTGTCAAAATGTCATATTTATGAAAATGCCAAATATCTTTGTTGTATTCCATTTGATTTTAAACAACAATGAATGCTGTATACCAATTTTTTTTCGTTTGGTTGATGATGTCTTAATTTTGTTTTGGGTGTTATATAAAACAATTTGACATGAAACAACCAACTATATAATTTATCCAACACAAAAACACTATTGGGGATATGTTATTATTATCATTATTAGATTTTGATGTTTTCAAAAAAAAGGAATATTCTTTGGAAACAAAACGTTGTTTTTTGGAAATAGAATCGGGAATTCTTCTCCGGTAAAAATAGTGGAAAATTTTTTCGAAAATATTATTGTTCAATTTCGTTGTTGTTGTTTTATGGTCAAAAAATTCTAAACAAAATTTCAGGAAAAAAAACAAATCAAAATGAGACATACACACGTTTTTGGGTCGCGTACATATGTCAATCCAATCGGGAATTGAAATTCGTTCATCCTTAAATTATCATCCATCACTTCATTTTCCATTTCTATTCGATTTTTGTTTTGTTTCTTTGAAATGATGTGACGATTATTCGACATTTTGTTTCAATGATTTTGAAATTTTTATTTGAATTTTTTTGTGTACAAGTTTTGTTTTTCTTTTTTTCTTATTCATTAACTAACTAACAAATAGAATGAATTTTTATTTTTATTTATTTATTTATTTTTTTTGAAAAGAAATGAAAATTTGAAAATCTCAAATGGAAGATGAATGAATATCCAGAATAATAATGATGATGATGATACAAGATTTTCCCTAACAACTTTTTTTTTGTTCTAATTCTGTATAGAGTGAATAAAATGAATTGATACAAATGGAAATAAAAAGGAATTTGAATAAAATCAATGGTAAACAGAAAAAAAACAAAAAAAAACATATCCAAGTTTACTTTACATTTTGGAAACAAACAAACTATAAAAAAATATCAAATCTCTATGTAATTTCAACAATTTTTTTCTTCATTGATTATCTTTTCATTTCAATTTGAATTAAATTGAAAATTCATTTGTTTATTTGATTTTCAAAATAAAAAAAAAACAAATTGATAGGGCGGTTCAAATGAAAAGAATATGATTCGAATTTGTGAATTTCAATGATAAATTCTACAAAAGTACACAAACAAAACAAAGTAAATGGAAAATTCTACATTGTTTCACTATAATGGATATTGAAAAACAATCATTCATTGATCAGATCTAAAAATTATCTATATATTTTTTTCTAATTCATAGTGTACATGTTTATTCTGGAATTCTTTTTTTTCGATTCTATATAATAGAAATACACAATGATAATGATGATGATATTGGAGAGAAGAAACAAAAATTGAAGAATCAAGAAAGAAAGAAACCTTTTGAAACAACAATAAATACAAAAAAAACAGGCGGTTCTTGTTCATTCTGAATCCGGATTCGTTTTCTTTGTTGTTGTTGTTATAACTAAATAACTATTGTCTATTTTTTTCCTTGCTGTTGTTTCTACATCCAATCCAAAATGGGTGTGTGTTGGTGATTATGGTATTTGTGGAGTTTGTTCAGTTGATGGTGGTTTAGGTTTTTTTGTTGTTGTTATTTTTGTTTTGCAAGATAAAACAATTGATGATGATGATGATGACGTAAGAAAAATAATCGAAATTTTCAATCGGAAATTGAATCTATAATAAAATAACAAATGCTGAATAAGAAAATCAAAAAATCAAAACAAAAATAATGATAAAAAAAAATTCAATGAATCATTTCTTTTGAAGGAGAAAACAAAATTCCTTTGGATTTTCATTTATTTTCATTTCCAGTTTATATTTTCTCATTGAACCATGAAACAAGAATTAGAAATCGATTTTTATATATTGCATTTGTAATTCTGTTCGAGAAACAAAAAAAATAGTAATAATAATACGCACGATTGAAGAATATAAAAAAAATCATCTTTTGTAATGATGATGATGGTGATATGGAATGGTGATTATCCTGAAAAGAAATAGAAAGAAAATGAATCTAGCTTTATAAATATTAAACAAAACAAAATATTATCTGCTGGTTTGTGTATTTGTATTCGAAACAAAAAAAATCCGAATTCTGATTACAACAAAGATTTGTGTATCAATTCCATATTGTTGTTTTTAACTAGATTTTTTTTTTTTTGATAGCTTCAAAATGATAATCAAATTGATCTGATAAAGTTATTAAACCGAATGGATTGTAGATTTGAATATATTCTAATTTATCTCATCCAACATTACATAATGCAATAGAGCTATTGTTTTATTCTTAAAATTCTTTAAAATTTTTAGTTTTTTGTTTTGTTGTTATTGTTAAAAAAAATGAAAATAAAGGTCCCCACCCATAGACACGGACAAATTTTACGTATAGGATAGTGATTTGAAGGCGGAACTATCGTGAATATATATATGAAAAAAAAAATACTGACTATTTTCATTTTTATTATATCACAAATGATATCGCTTTTGTTATTTGTTATGCGCAACAACACACAAACACACACATTGAAAAGAATGGGAATTGTTGTTCAAAGATAACAAAAGCCACCCACAATATCATTTTTCATTGCATGTGTTACATATAACAATTTTTTTGTCATTTTTTTGTTGTTGTTGTGTGAATGAAAATGAGTGTGCGCAAGAATTTTTTTTTATTTATTTGGATATTTGATGATGAATCAAGAATCCGAAAGTGATTTAATGATTTTGATCTGGTAGATATACTAGAAAATTCATTTGGATTCTGAATCTTGTTGTTGGCAAATATAAAACCTGATTTGATATTTTTTTTGTGTTTGTATTTTATCGTTTGAATTTTAATTTTAACAAAGATTTTGTTAAAATAGGTAAGTTTTGATATTTTTTTTGTCAAAAATTATTCATTTTTAATTGATAAATGAAAAAATGAAGAGATTTTCATTAATACGCAATAATATGAATAATTAATAATTTGAAAAGATTTTCGAATGAAATTGAATGTTGTCGATAAGGGAATATTCATTTGTTAATCTCATTTAAATGTCATTTGATATTCAATATCGTTGTTGAGATAAGAGAAATTTTGTTTTGTTTTGCTTGAAATAACATTGTAACTTTCGGTTGTTTCAATATTTTTTGTTGTTGTTGTTCGCATTGATTAATTTTTGATTCTTATTTTTTAAAAATTATAATTAATTAAATAATCTTTTTTTTTGTAACAGAAATATTCATTGTAAAAGTATCATTTTTTTCCAATTATATACCATGAATAATAACTTACATAATCATGATAATAAATGAAATGAATGTATGAAACATAAAAATTAGTATCCATCTGGATATTCATATCGTTGAATAATAAATGATGATGATGATGATGATGGAAAACCCATTGCTACATTAATCAAACATGTTGTTATGTCTGAATTTTTTTTTGTTGTTTTGTTTTATTTTCGTTGTCTAATTCAAATAATGTCTACAATTAGATTAGAAAATTGTCTAGTCTTGATGTTGTTTATTTTTCAATCTCAATTTCCGAATGTAGAATGAGTAAAACAAATTACAACTAAAACAAAAACAAAAACAAAACATATGTGTGTGTCGAAAAAAAGAGAGCAAATTTTGATAAGAATAAAATGGACATACTTATTTCATCGTTGAATCAAAATGATTGTGAAACAAACAAAAAAAACACGAATCATATCGAACAACCGAAAGAAAAAACATTTTACTGAAACATTTTTTGATTTGTAACGAATCTTGTTGATTGATGATGATGATGGTGATGGTCGATTCAATTTCGAAACCAAATGTGAAACAAACAAACCAGAAAATAAAACAGTATCGATATCGAAAGAATAAAAACAACAACAGTGTGTGAAATAACAAATGCAAACGAAATAGAATAAGAAATTTGAATCATCAAACTTTTTCCATTGAAGTCAATGGATATTGAATCGAAGAAAATGATTTTGGAATGAGAAAAAGAAAACTTTTTCCTCTCCCTCTCTAATATTTTCGATGGGTCCCAATATTTGTTTTCATTTTGACATTAGTTTTAAGCATCCTATACCTCAAAACATGTTTGTTGATGCATTATTTTTACTGAAATATAATGGATGAAAATTGAAATCACAAATGATTGTGATGAAAATCAAATAAATCGTTGTTGTTGTTGTTGTTATCGAAAAAAAGTAGAAAAAAATGATTTTTCAAAACAAAAACAAAAAAATTGAATCGAAATTATTCGCTTTTAGTCGCGGGCTAACTGAACTGATTACGCCTGACCAATTCGGGCCATATGACACACAAACGTTGTGAGTGCATGTATACGAAAAACCGCATCTAACCAAGTGTATGTTTTTCACCGATCACCGATGATGATGATGGTAATTCGTTGTTGTTGTAGTTATTATTATCGCTGCGGTTATGATTTCGTTTTTTTTTGTTTGTTTGTTAACAACAACAAATGATCCTTTTTTTATTTTTGACTTGAAAACTCAAATATTCCATTGAATCAAATTGTTCGAATTTTTCTTTCCGTTTTATAATTCGAATGTTTGTGTGTGTGTATGTTCTTCTCTATTTCGACCGGAATTGGCTTCTGTTTGTTATTATAGATTGTTTTTCATGATGTTGAAATTCGTTTTTTTACAAATATTACCATCAACCATCGTTGAGTTTTGATGAAATATTACCGACAAAAAAAACAACAATAATTACCATAAAATAATCATTAATAATCAATGAAAATATATTATTTTCTTTTCATTTTTTTCTTATTTCTCTTCCTCACAATCCTCTCCCTTCATTTTTTTTCTTTGTTCCCAATAATCAATTATAATCGACCGATTGACATTGNAAAAAAAAATTGAATCGAAATTATTCGCTTTTAGTCGCGGGCTAACTGAACTGATTACGCCTGACCAATTCGGGCCATATGACACACAAACGTTGTGAGTGCATGTATACACAAGAAAAAAACCGCATCTAACCAAGTGTATGTTTTCACCGATCACCGATGATGATGATGGTAATTCGTTGTTGTTTTAGTTATTATTATCGTTGCGGTTATGATTTCGTTTTTTTGTTTGTTTGTTAGCAACAACAAATGATCCTTTTTTTTATTTTTGACTTGAAAACTCAAATATTCAATTGAATCGAATTGTTCGAATTTTTCTTTCCGTTTTATAATTCGAATGTTTGTATGTGTATGTTTTTCTCTATTTCGACCGGAATCGGCTTCTGTTTGTTATTATAGATCGTTTTTCATGATGTTGAAATTCGTTTTTTTTACAAATATTACCATCAACCATCGTTGAGTTTTGATGAAATATCACCGACAAAAAAAAAACAATAATTTCCATAAAATAATCATTAATAATCAATGCTAATATATTATTTTCTTTTCATTTTTTTCTTATTTCTCTCCCTCACAATCCTCTCCCTTCATTTTTTTTTCTTTGTTCCCAATAATCAATTATAATCGACCGATTGACATTGTCGAAAAAAAAAGAAAAAATTCAAAAATAAATAATGTCATCGAAGCGAAGAAAATCAGCACCACCAAATAAACTATCATGTTCACCAATACAATCCGATACAATATCTATGGATAATGATGATCAACAACAACAGGAACAGGAAAACATTGATCATGAATTGAATAATTTTATTTGTATGGATTCAAATGATAATGTAGAAGATATTGAATATCTGAATCCTGAAGAAGAAGAAGAAGATGATGAAAAAGCAACAGCAACAACAACAACACCGATTTCATTAAAATCAGAAATGAATAAAATAGATATTCCAACACCATCATCAACAACAGCAACATCATCATCATTTGTTAATCGTTGTAAAGTATTTGAAGAATTGATTGAAAATTGTAAACTAAATTGTATAAAAGAATCATTAATACAATCGAATGAAATTAGCAGTAATGGACAAATGGATAAGAATACAATATTAATGGCTGAAAAACGTTTGAATCAAATTATTGATCAATTATCACGTTTACGTCAACGTTTTATTCGTAATGAATCATCAAACATAATTGAAGATGAGGTATGTATTATTCCTGAAAAAAAATTATAAATGTTTGCATGTGTGAAACCGCGGCAAATTTTTTTTCATTCTTTCTTTCTTTTTTACATAAAACTTTTTTCACATGTTCTTAAGAAATTGATTAATTAACAACTTATTTTAATCAATGAACACAACAACAACACTTCTCGGAAAACTTTTATGCCTTGTTTTACGGTGACAAAATTACAGTTACTGTTAAAAAGAGAGACTTTGTAACTTTTGAATTCTTTTGACACACACTCACATCATTCAGTGAGAGAAAAACTCATCAATCTTCAGCCAGCCAAAAAAAAGATGTGTTGTATTGCGTTTTTAATTAGCCAGGTTTTTCCCCTGTCATCCACTCTATTCTAGTAATTTATTCTAAAGAATTTTTCTTTTTTTTTACACCCGAAACCAAAAGAAACTATTATAAACTAATAAGAAACTTGGATGGCAAACAGCCACAATATTTCAAATATGCATTTATGCTAGCGTATTATGTAACCAGAGAGAAAAAAAAACTTCGAAATTAAAACAAACGAACAAAAAAAATTGATTTGATCAATCTTTTTGTTACTGTTGTTTCTATTAGATTGTCAAGCCATTGAGATTTTCAATCTAGATTTTGATCAATTGAATGGAGAATGAACAAAAATAAAAAGAAGATTAATCACACTCTGTGTGATTCTTTTGGTTATATTGGATCACTATTCTATTGGATGTATTGTGTGTACGTGTATTAGTTGACACGTGTCACACACAACAATAACAATAACAACAAATTCGGAAAAAAATGAAACATCGGAATAAAGTAATTCTTTTGCTCTCTCTCTCCTCGTTGGTTTCTGAAAAAAATAATAATATAATGAAGTTAAGTTTATAGATATTCAATCAGAAAATAAAACATCTTTTCATCATTAATACCATTTTTACAATATTTTTTATATTGAATTTCTCAATGTTTTATTTGAAGAATATTCTTTCATTGATTGAATGAACAAATGAACAAATTGGATTATTGTTACAAACATAAATCTACATAGCAATATTGCCGTCTTTTTTGTTTCTATCTATTAATTTTAAAAAGATCGATTGGATAAAAAACAACAACAACAACAACTTTAGAATGTTGTTTTTAAAACAACAACATCCAGTAAAAAAAAAATGGTCCCAAAAGATATTTACCATGATGATTTCTCTGCATGTCTTTGTCTTTGTTGTTGCTTTTTCATATATAAAACATATATTGTATTAAATGAAAATACGAGTTTTTTTTGCAGAATAATTTGTTAATAACTTAATGCAAATGACTTTTAGTTAATTCTATATGATATATGAGAATATTACATGTTGCCAAACTCGTGCATATCACTTATTCATTAATTATTCTATACTTTTTTTTACTATATGCAAATGATTGTTACGAAAAAAAACAGAATAACATTGGTGATGACAAGCTAATTTGATAGAAATATAAACCCTTTTTTTTATTCATTCATTAGATTTCTAGATGAATCTCTATTGAAATTAAAGATTTAGTAATAATAGGCATTGAATGGAATTCTTTTTCTTTTTCTCTTCAAAACAGAGATTTAGATTTTGAAAAAAATAATTTCACATTGATGTTTATTCTGCTGATGAAATGAATTTTTTAGTCATTTTTTTCATCAATAAAAAAGTAAATGTGATTATCATTGAAAAAAATAGATTTTCATCATCATCATCAATATTAAAAGCTTTTGATTAGCAAAAAAAATCATAATGATAAAACATTACACAGAAAAAAAAACAACCAAGAATGATATGATTCCAAAAATTCTTCATATTATTATTACGAAAATAATATTAAAAAGTTTTTGTTGTTGTTGTTATTATTGTCGTCGTCATCATCAACATTTCTGTTTGCTGCTATTTTTCCAAATTCTAATACTTTTATTACATCCGATCCGGTTGACGTTCACGTTTTAGTTTTTTTTTTTGCAAAACACACATAGAAAAATAATAACATAATGTGAATGTGACACGCGTTACCATTATCAAATTACTGAAACTAACAACAACTGAAGATGATTACCATCATCATCATCATCATAACAACGGTGTGTGTGTGTGTAATATAATGTTTTTCCGTAGGAAAGTACCAAAGAAAAAAATCTATAGTGGATCCATATAGTGAAATGATATTTTTTTGAGTATCTCGTGTATGGTGTGTGTCAATTACGAATGTTTTTTTTTTCTTTCTCTCTTTGTTTTTTATGTGATTTGCCGCATATACCAGTTTTCCCCCGTTTCTTTTTCAATTTTGACTGGTATCAGTGATTGAGATCACACAAGTTCCAATTTTTTTTTTGCTGCGACCACAACTTAATAGCTTAATTTATTAACATTGAATTGAATTGAATGAATGAAACGTGTCTGTGCCCATTTCGATTGTTGTTTTCTTTTTTCTCTTTTTCTCAATCTTCATTTTTTGTTTTCTTTCTATTCTATTTGTTTTCAATTTTCTAGTTTCTAAAAACTCTAGATGTTTCCGCTTCCGGAACATCATCATCATCATCATCGTCGTCGTCGTCGTCTGTATCATCGATTTTAGATCATAACAATATTCAATCACAACATCCAAATTCCGATTTATTATCAATACATTCAACACAATCGACATCATCATTTTCTCATCATCCATTGATAGTATCAACAACACCCGAGGAATTAAATTTTAATAATTTACAACAAGAATCCGAACCATTGTTGGATTCAACTATTAACATATCAAATGAAACAGATATTCTTCAACGAATCTATCGACATCTGAATATGCAATATCTAAATTCAAATAAAGATAATGCTAAACAAACAAAAATCAAACCAATTTTATCGCCATCGATTGATCACAATAACAATAATAATAATAACAATGAAACAACAATGTTTCAATTATGGGAAAAATATCAACAGCAAAATCAATCGGATTTGATTTTGAATCCAGATGTTTTACATTTGAAAACGGCCATTCAACAACAACAACAACAATATCTACAGGATAATATTCTTGCTTCATCAAAAAATTCGTTAAATCATTCAACACAAAAAACCAATACTGATTCATTATATGAATCTTTATCAGCCAATGTTCAAACCCTTAATTCACGTCAATCACCAACTAATACGAATATGAATCGATTAATTGAATCTTCAAATGTCCATTTTCGAAATACTTCATCGAATAATAATAATAATCATCATCAACATCATCATATTCATTCTGATTCTAATGCTGTACAACAGTATTTATCACAAAACAATCTTTTACATCGAATAGGTACAGATAATCCACCAACGACATCGAATCTGGGAAATTATCTTCATGATCGGTCAAGTAATTTGTTTCTAAGCAATTTACTTTTATCATCACATCAACATTTTCAATCAAATTCAGATTCTCATAGTCAAATTAAATTAGCAGCACAAGCGGCAGCTGCAGCAATGGCTGTAAGAAATTCAACAGCAGAAACAGCAATTAATCCCGAAATGTTTGATCTCGAAAAAATGTCTCATTCAATTTTAAATCATTATAATGCTTCTGTATTAATGCCAAGTTTATTGAATAATTTTCCTGAGCGAAAATCTAATTCTAAAAATGAAATATTTAACAATAATAACTCTAATCATCATCATCATCAAAATTTTACTGAATCTCCAATTGATCAACAAGAAACGAACAAAGAATCATCATTGTTGATGAATCAATTACAAAAATCGGATAAAAGCAACGATAAAACAATGATAAAAAAATCAAAATTAAAAGATTCATCAACTTTTTCGACAAATAACCGTTTCATTTCGAAACATTGTTCTGACAAAAAAAATAATTGTTATCCCGAACAAAACAATATTGTAGAAACTAATGTTGTCCCCGAATCGATCGTGATTACTCGAATGAACAATAATAAAAATCGATCAGGATCTAGTAAAAAATCTAGTACAGAAAATCGAAACAATGTTGAAGTTCCATTTATGCCAAGAAATCCACATGAACGTGGTCATATAAAACGACCAATGAATGCATTCATGGTTTGGGCGAAAGATGAACGACGAAAAATATTAAAAGCCTGTCCCGATATGCATAATAGTAATATTTCAAAAATATTAGGTGCCCGTTGGAAAGCAATGACAAGTGTTGAGAAACAACCATTCTATGAAGAACAATCAAGATTATCACGTGTGCATATGCAACAACATCCAGATTATCGATACCGTCCACGACCAAAACGTACCTGTATTGTTGATGGCAAAAAATTACGCATATCTGAATATAAACAATTGATGAGATCCCGGCGGCAAGAAATGCGTACATTATGGTAAGTTATATTTTTTTAATTACCGTAAAATCAAAACAAAATATCAATCATCTATGATCAATCCAATTGATAACACAATGATCATCAATATTATATCAATTACATACGTTTATGTGATTATCCTTCAAATCGAATAATATATTAAATAGGTATCGTGATGGTATTCCTGTCAATCAGAATATAATGACCAATTCTTCAAATGATCTGGATAGTTGTTTGACAACAAGTAATAATGAATTGACAACAAAAACTGACATTTCTATGACATCACCATCATCATCTAGTTCATCATCATTATCATCACCAATATCTTCGATTTCTTCTCCGACATCATCTTCACCTTTGATCAATTCACCAAAAAGTAGAAACAATTCAGTAATCATTGATTTTAATCATTCAACAACAAATATGGCATCCAATCCCCGATATAAAAAACATTATAAGCATCATCAACAACGAATGATAATTAAATCGCCACAACAACATGCTAGCAAAGATGATGTTTCCGAAGACGACTTTGACAATGATGATGAAGATTTAATCGAATAAAATCACCATACCGAATTCGAATTATTACCAAAAGGTCCAAAAACAAATTTGACATTTATACAAAAAAGAACAACCAATCATAAATGATTGATTCATTTTGATCACCAATTTTGTTTCTGATGATCAATTTTGATTACAAACCACAAACACACACACACGCGTTCACAATGAATCAAATACTTGCATCCTCCTCTTCCTTTCAAAAAAACCCCAATATTTTTCATTCTAAAATTAGATTTAAATTGTTAAATTTCAATCTCTCGCTTTCGAATCATAATCATCATCATTTGTCAAACATCCCCAAAAAGAAATGGATTGGGAATTTTTTTTTTAATTTTGTTTGCTTTGCTATTCTCTCAATACATTGTTAAATTTTTTTCCACCTATATATTTATCAAACAAACTTATTTTTATTGATCTAGAAATCCATTAACATGGTCTCTATTCAAAGATTTTTGACATTCTTTTGTTCATTAATGTGTGTTTGTGTGTGTGTGCATATTCGTGTGCGTATGAAAAAAAAATTCGAGTTAAAAGGTTTTTTTTATTGTTGAAACATTACATTCTTTTCAGTTTCAGGATCAAATCATATTGTCATTTTATTCAGCCAATATCTATATACAAAATCATTATTATTAACAGTATACACTTATTCATCCATTTACTAAACACTACATTCATCTATGTCAATTTTTTTTTTGGTTGTTGTTGTTTGTAACAAACTGGCCAACAAACAAAAAATGTTTCATAATATTTGATACTTTTTTTCTCAACAATGAAAACTTTTCATTTTACATTATGATCGATTTAATTTATTCATTCATTTACCCATTCATTTATTATTTTTGTTTTGTTTCTGAGAGTACGATTTTGAAATAATGTTTTATAATAAACAAACAAACAAATGTTTGACATGAAAAAAAATTATTCATTTCTTCTGCATCATCTAAACAATTCAACCACATTCAATCACATTGAATGACATTGTCAATCAAAATGTCGAATAAAAATATTTATTTCTATTATATAACATCGGATTCATATTGCTGTAACGTAAATGGATTTCTTTCTTTTTTGCACTAAAACAGTAACAAAAAGAAACGAAAAGAAAGAATATACCTAATTAATTTGGAAAAATAGAATCAAATCATCATCATAATCATAAAAACTAAATGAATTATAAATTGTAATTATTTTTTGGTATGATCATTATAATGAATCCAGAATAAAATGATCTCTGTTTAATGTTTCAATTATATTATTACTACACACACACATATAATTAATTTCTATGATTCTTCTTACTACTATTTTTTTCAATTCACTTTTTTTCTAAATTTTCCATGTTTTTTTCAAACTTTATCCACTATATATTCGCATCTTTTTTCTTCCTTTTTTCCCCTGTCTCAAATCATTTACCTAATAAGCGATACTGGAAAAATGTTCATCAATTATTTAAACTGTTCTACAACCTATTATTTTTAATCATTTCATTCATTTATTACTACAAAAACAAATGAAAAAAAAAATAAAATAAAATCCAAATCCGATTTATCTGATGAATTCTGTTATTTCATCAGTTCAATTTTTTTTCGTTTTTTCTTTCATCAACCACATATACCTTTATATAAATATCAATTCTTAAATAATACTGTGTAATAAAATGACAATTTTTTTCGCCGATGTAAATTTTTTAAATTTGAATTGAATTTTGGTTTTGAAAGAATGTAAAAATGGATGTTTCTCATATGAAGATATGATTGCGTGATTGACCAAAGTTAACAGGAACAAAAATTTATGTTCTTAATGAGCTGATAAAAAAACTTTTCTTTTTTGTTTTCTCTTTTTACGACTAAATGATGATGATGATTATGATTGTCATTGTAACTCTTTTATGAAAATAATAATAGTGATAATAATGACGATGTAATGCTTAATTATCTTGCTGTGTAATGTGTTTTTTTGAAGTTTATATGACTTTCCTGCGACAGGTACCATCACAAACCATAATCAAATTTGTTGGGCGATATTTTTCTTGAATTATGTGATCATGCACGAAATCCATTTGGAGAATTTTTTGTCTGTTTGTTTGTTTGTTTGCCAGAAATATACTTCATAGTGGAAAAAAATATCATTGACCTGGGAATTTGAAACCAACAAAAAACAAATTGAATTTTATTTCATATTTTTTCAATAATTTTACTTTATTTGTCTTGTCTGATAAAAACCATTTTATAAATAAAATCAAACATACATTTTACATTCACCTGAATTGATATCTATTTCAGAATATTGAAACTCTTTGAATGGGAATTGGTCATAAATGTAGAAATAGAGATAAACAGAGAGAGATAGAAAAATGAAAGTTTCAAAATCAGTGGAAAAAAAGAGAAAATCCATTATTGAAACAAATAAAAATTTAAATTTTTTCAGAAAAACAAAATGTTTGTCCATTGCATTACGTCGTGTTTGCGTTTCTTTCTATGCGTATGTGTTGATGTAATATACATAAGCCATTCGGATGGTCAAAAACAAAAAATTTACATTTTCAAAAATTTTGAAATCAAATTAAATTAAAGTAAGCAGAGATGTTCGGTTGTATATTCTCAGCACTGGCACACGTTCATATCGTTGTATTCTCTCCAAAATTTTTACAACAACAAAAAAAAATCTGAACAACCAAAACAAGAACAATTTGCATTTTGATATGAAATGGACATGATTTTTATTTTTAAACAGAATGTTTTTTAAAAAGCAGAATAATAATAATAATAAAATTTCCGATGAAATCAAAAATTTTTATCATTCAAGATTCTATCTGAAAAAAATAGTCAATTGGAAATATTCTCAGCAACAAAAACAGCAAATAAATAAATAATCAGAAAACTGATTCTGGTTGGTCGTTCTCATTCGTTTTCAATTCAAAAGTTTTTTTTCAAAGGTTCTGATGAAATTCTTATTCAAACGGAATTAAGTAAGTTTGTGTATGATGTGATTACATATGTATAAATAGTAGAAGATTCTGCATTTGAAATAAAACCACAGACTACTATAACCACAAAATGATTGTTGCTAACCGTCGAATTATTATATTTGTTTATTATATATTTGGTCAACCATTAATCATCACAACGTATACATTGAATTACTGAAGAATTTTTGATGAACAAAATCATCTTTTTATATTCTTCGCCAACCATATGATATCCACAAACACAAACAATAATTAACTTTATCATCATCATCATCATTTTTATTTGTCCAATGGTGAAATCTTTTTATTCTATCTATTATTTAATAACATTTTGTGACAACAATCTGCTTAGACAATTGAACTTTCCATTTTTTTACAACAACAACAACAACAACAACGAAATCAGAAAAAAGAAACTAAGATTTTCATGAATAATGAATATTCCATCGGGACAAAAGTTTCTATAAAGAATGATGATAAAAAAAATTAGAAAAAAAAGATAATGATGAACAATATTTACTAAGATGAGTCAACTGTGTTCAAACATTCGAAATAGACATGAATTCTGATTTCTTCAGAACTTTATCTTCATTCTAAAAATAAAATCGATTCAAAATATTGGAATTGATATGAATCAAATTGACCTTCTTCCATTGATTGATCATTGATTATATCCAAAAAAACAACAATATATAGGAAACGAGTAAAAATAGAAATAATGCATCAATTCTTGTATGATTATGAAAACCAAAATATGATGATGATTATTCAATAATAAATGATTATGATTTTTGCTTTTGTTTTTTTTTGTTTTGAACATAAACCGATCTTGCCGAAAACACAAACACATATCATGCTGTGGATATAAATAAATCATCAATTTTATTCCAACTTTTTTTTACTACTACTACCACTTCGACTGTATTACATTGAATCGAATTGAATTGAAAAATAATATCGTTGATAGTAAAATGTCCGGTCGGAAATTATTATGGAAAAAAATATACAGAACTGTTCGGTTTTTTATTTTCTATATCCACAATATATACGGATTTTGTTGTTTGTCATCGTTCAAATGTATGATATTGAATCACAAACATACAATATCGATTTGGCAATGGACACTTCATTGAATATTCTATTTGTTGGTCGGCTAGTATTGGATTTGCTTTTTTATTATTTATTTTTTTGCTTTAACAATCTTATTTATTTTGTCATAACTAAATAAGATATCGCTTTCTCTCTTTCACTTACAAAAAGTGTCCCATCGACAATAATCATATGGATGATACTGCAGATGATGTTTGTGATAATGATGATTCTAGTGAATAATGGCAATCATATCGATTGAATCTGCAATATTTATCATTATTTTTGATGATTTCAATCATTAATACGATCATCACTTATTGACTATGGATTTTTGTTTTTTTTTCTGGATAACAAACAAACAAACAAACAGAAAAAATGTGATAATCGAGAACTGATATTATTATTTAATTTTCATATATAATAATAATGATTCGGTGGGATATCAGCATCGACCATTGGTCAAATGAAAAAATAAACAAAACAAAACTCTGAATTCAATGTAATATGTTAATCAAAACCATTATGGTTACAACAAAATATTGACAAAAAATAACTAAGATAATCTTAGATCATAAATCAATAGTTGGAAATTATATTTTATTCGAACCAATCTCTGCTTTTCTTTATTTGCAGTTTCAATCGTTCTGGTAAGATTCAACATTTAATAATATTAATCCATAAAATAATAGATTCGCATAGTTTAGATAGATAAAAACAACGTACATTTTCAATAAAATCAAAATAAAAAAGAAAAACAATCGCTAAATAGAATACAATTCAAATGGAATCTTTTTGTATAATTTTGACAAACATAACAATAATAATTAACTAATCAAAAGTATCGTGACAATAATTGAGAAAAGAAAGAGAACATCGAGGAAGTTAATAGAGAAGAATAATTGATGTGAAAAATTATTATCAAAACAATATGGTCGTGTGAGCAATGAGGGAATTAAGATTAAGATCAAGAATTTTCGTTATTGATAAATGTTGTCTGTTGTAGACCTTCTGTAATAACAAATATGATGTTGATGATATTCAATATGATAAATATTAGTAAGAATTATCTGATAAAGATTTGCTCTTTATTGCGCAATAGAAATTCCGTAAAACTATTGATTGCTGTAATAGAATCCAATGATGAATCCAATGTTTGATTTGTTTTGTTTGACCATAATAAATTTGGTCCGAAAACAATGGCCAAATTCGATGCAGTCATTTTGTTGAATTCTGAATGGTCCATTACTTTGACTAAAAATTCAATGATATATTTGAGTAGCTGTATGGAATCAAATGATAGAATTAGTCAAATGTTGAAAAACTAATTATAACCTACTTGATAATTTGGTTCTGGTAGACGATTAAGGACTAGATTCTTTGCAAAGGATAATTTTTCTTGACGTTGTTCGGGTGAAGGTCCACCAGATATCTGTTGAAAATTAATTATATCTTCATACAATTGAAACGTTAAAAGTGGTTCTGGTAATTCGCGCAAAAATGATTTCACAATAACGGCAGCAACATGAACAGTTGATTCGAGCGACATCTCGGTGTTAGCAATCAAACTTTCGAAATTGACATTTTCACCCAAATTGAATGATTGTTGAACATTTTTTACGATATTAACTTTGGCCGAACGTCGAAATACACCTTCCACATCCAATGATGAATCTTGTTCCAAAAATTTGACACATGTTCTAATTGTTCGCGGTATCGGATCACCCCCATTCTGCTCAATTAGACTTTGTGATGGCAAAAATTAATTTACTTTATACTTTCAGAAAATTGGTTAACACTTACACATCAAGTGCTACACGAAATTGTTGAGTGTTCGGATATGATACACAAGAACGGTTCAATGAATTGTTACTGGCACTACTTTTAAATCGTCCAAACACACGAGATTTAAGCTGTTTTTTATCATGACTGGTTGATTTACCATCATCATCAAAAAGAAAGAAATTCGAAATAAATTAGGAGAGAGAAAAAAATAGGGATTGTTTAAACTTACTCGAAAACTGATTGAGGGATATGTATCCGTTCTAGATGTAGATGAGCACGTAATTCATCGAGATGATTTATGTAATGGAGTTTTCGGCCAAATTTAGCCGATAAAAATGGGCGAAACAATTGTAATACAATGCGAATGAATGATGTTGGATGAACGATAAATAATTCTTTTAGATTCTTTTTATATTTACGATCAAAAGCTCGATATGCTTGCCATAGCCAACCAAATGATGGTTTATTATCGCTTGTTAATCCTTGATGAAAATAGACAAGTGCATAATCATTTTCAACATATCGATCCAATGTACGTAAAAGATATCTAGTAATAGAAATTTTTAAATATTTAAATTTAATTTTTTTCCAAAACAAAAATAGACAAACAATAACAATTGATAGGATGAGAAATAAAAATTTTAGTTAATTACGTCTAAAAATATCATTAATCGAATCATAATCAAAACTTGTTATCAAAATTAATATTAATTATAATTATCATCATTACATTATAATTAGTAATTAGATCAATGATCATGATTCAGGTAGCGTTATCTTTGTTTAAGGTGTTTCTCTCTTTTTCTTCCAAACATATCTCATAGATCATCATCATCATTAAATTATCAAATTACAATAGCAACAAACGAATTGAATTGAATGAAAAATGAAACATTCAGAAAAAAGCAAGATGAAATCAGTGAATTCAAGATTCGAGAGTAGAAAAACAAAACAAAAAGTGAAATGTAATGATCATCATCATCTTCACAGGTAAAGGATTTCGGTTGCGTGCTAGTTCAAGACAATCATATAATATCTTCAGTGTATCATCATAATCATCATCATGATCAATGAGGCGTTAAAAGTAGATCAAATTGAACTTATCATGATTTTTTAAACAGCAACAACAACGAATATAAAGAAAATAAAATTGTCAACAATTTCTACATTGAACATATGGTTATGTTCATATATCTTAACTGTATACCTGAAAAAAATAGGACGACATTTCTTTCTTGAAAATAATAATAATATATCCATATATTAAATGAGAAAAGATTCATTCATTCATTCATTTGTTTGATCACAGTAAAAACCAAAATAAAAAAAAACTGAATATAGCGTTCATCTTCAATGACCATGTTGATAATAATGATGATGATCATCATCATCATCATCATCTTAACGATGAACAACAAGAAAATGTCATCCAAATCCTATATATTCATGTTACATTCATAACTTATCATATTGCATAACTAACAAGTTTAAAAAAAGACAACAACAACAACAACTTAACAAAAATGAATTTTTTTTCGACATTCAAATTAGCATTCACCAACAATGCTAGATAATTGTTATATTTTATATCAGCATAGGTCACGAGATTATTTTCCATATATTTTGTTTCGTTAGAAAAACCAAAGAGAGAGAGAAAGAGAGGAAAAAAGATTAAACAAATGTTTACTATATTTATAGTTTGTTAAGGTATACAACAAAAAAAAAACAATCAAAATTTTAAATGATTCTCTATAGTAGATAGGTAGAAAAAAGAATCTACAATACACACATACACATATGTATCTGATATGATGATTGTAGTCTAAAAATAAAAACAGTTCATTATAATGATGATGATTGGTTAGTTGGTTGGTTGGTTATATAATCATGATAATGGCAATAAAATTAGTCAATATTAAATATAATGGCGACAATGTAACAATGAACAACAACAAAAAGAAGATTATGATATTTTTTTTTTGACCAGAAAATGGAAATAAAATCTACTACTAACCTAGAATTGATGATGATAATAATCATGTTCATGAATGATTACAATGATGATATACATTCATTCAAACGTCAACATTTATTGATGAACAAACGAGGGGAAGAAGAAGAAAAAAAAACCTCGACTATGATATTTATTTTGTTTTGTTTGGCTGTTTTGTTCGACAAAAAACAAAATTGATCATTCCATCAACAAAAACAAAACAAACAAGGTAATGAAAATGATCGATTTATGTACCGAAAATCAAAAAACCAAGGCAATATGAAAAAAAGATCAATTTCAAATATAATTCTATTGTTTATTATATTTTCGCTACTGTCAAATAAAAATAAACAGTATTTTTTTTTTGGTTGAAAATGATCTCCATTTAACAAAGGGTGAGATTGTTATATAACAACCCAAAAAAACAGAAGCCCAATAATAATCATGATGATTATGATTTGAATAATAACTTATTATTATCAACAATTCTTTTGGGTCAACAACAACAACATCTTTTTATTATTTGTTCAAATCATAAAAATTAAGCCCTTGATGATTTTGACTCAAATTGTGAACACAATCCATCAATATCATAATTATGTGTATTGTTCACATTTGATGATCATCATTTTGAAAGAATGGAGAAAAAAAGATGATAACAAACACATTAAAAACACAAACGAACACTCAAATTTGTGTTAATTGAAAAATTTGAACAATAACAAAAAAAATCGTCAAAAAACATAAAAATCGAATGATTTTTTGTTGTTTTTTTTCTTACTCAAACCATCATCATCTGATCATTCTGACCATTATCATTATCATTTCAAAGAATGAAAATAAAAAACGAAACTTCTATGGGCCATTGGGATTGTCCCGCACATACACACACACACAAAACCGATTTGATTTTTGTTTTGTTTGTTAGTTTTTTTTTGAACATAAAATTCCTTTTGCACAAATATTTGAAAATCTGATTGAACTGGAAAAAAATCGTATTTTTCATAATCATTTATCGATAATCTTGAAATATTTATTTGTTTATTGTTGTTGTTCCAATATAGCTAAACTCTTTTTTTCGATCATAACATTGATGATGATGATGATGATCAAAATGAATGAAAACGATGATGGACAGAGAAAATAAAAATCATAAACAATACAATGGGAAGAAAATAAAACTAAATGATTTACAGTGATGATGATTATTATGGTGATGATGTGTATGAGAATGAGAGATAAGAAAAAAAACGAAAACTTTCGATTTCGAATAGCAGGAAAAAAAATGTCCGCATTATTATGATTAAGGATAAAGGATATTATAAAACGGTAGGTTACAATAAATAATGGTTTTGTGGTCTTTTTCTCTCAATTTCATTTTTCTTTCCAGGTCAATCATCGCTCAATCAATCAATAACACATAATAAATTTGCTAACAATTTATTCATTTTTTCACCATACTTTTTTTTGCAGATTATTATTAATCGATTGAATACAAATAACAACATACCTAAGAAATTTTGCATAATTAAATGTCTTATTTGATGGTAAACGACAAGCATAAATGGTTATAATTTTTCTAGCAAATTTATCATCACCAGCAACGCCAACAATTCCATGTTTAGTTATGTCATCAAAATTTTCATCACAATCGCCGCCGGAAAGGGCAAGATCAAATGCCGGATCTAATGGCGGTAATGATGTATATTGTTCACGTAATGCTTCTTCAAAATTTTCTTCCAACAATTCATCCGGTGAATGAAGATAGATGGATGAAACATCAATCGGAACGATCGGTGTTGATAATGATGATTGATTTTTAAGATTATTTAAACATTGAAGATTTGTTGGTCTTGTTGCCTGAATGGTCGATTGATTTTGTATCGAATGATCATCATTATCGTCATTGTAATTGTTCATATTCGATTGTTGTTGGTCATTATGATTATCATTGGAATTTGTTGTCAATTTTTCAAGGAAGCCATTCGAAATGGGAAGTTGAGATTTTGATGATGATTTATTATTATCACTATGATCCGAATCATTTTCATTATTATTATTGTTATTATTATTATCAGCATTATTTTCGTAGTATGAATCATCACGGATTTTATCACAATAAGGATGATCTTCATCATCATCATCAAAATGAGTGGTTGAATCGATACTGAACAATGGATTATCATCTAATATTAAAGATCCATCAACAATATCATCATCATGTACAATATGATGATGATAATTTATACAGGTACCGGAAACAATTGATGATGTAACAGGCACCACACCTGTACAAATATTATTCATTGTATCGTTAATATTATTATTATTATTATTATGATACATATAAAATGATTGAGTTGTTATTGATGTTGCTGCTGTTGTTGATATTGGTGTTGTAGTTGTTGCTAATTCAATCGTTGCTTTTGCTAATTCTGTATCATCAAACTCTAATGCTGGTTCATAATCAAGATCTTGTCCAGCTTCATTTCCTTGAAATGAATGGAGATTAGCTTCACTTTCATCGTCGATTAGATCGACACCAATACCATTAATTGTTGATGATGATGAAAATTGATGTGTCGATGTTGATGATTGTGATACTATATATTTTTGAAATAGAATAAATAAATAAAATTATAAAGGGTGTATAATACTAGACACTAAACAAAAAAATACAAACAAATAACAATAGAAAATGATGAAACCAGAAAAGAGAGGAAAAACACAACAAGGTATTATAGATAAACAAAAGGAAAAAGAGAAATATTTTTGGCAAAATAAAAACTGTAACAGCATGATGATAATCATCATCACATGATTATGGAAACACTTGGGTGATTATCATCAAGAAAAAAAAACAGATTACATTATGATTATGTTTTTTTTGGTTATTTTTTTTATTGGAAATCTTTGTATCCATAGTTAAAACAGCCCTTACCTCTTGGATCGAACGTTGTTGGTGTAGCTCTTTCCATTGTTGTCATTGTTGTTTGTTTGTCTTTTATTATTTGGGATTTTTCAACAATTTCAAAGTCGTTTATGCAGTGGTGATGAAAAAAAACAAAAGGAAGTAAATAAGAAATTATTGATAGATCGATCGATCGATGATTTCGATTCAAGCCATAAAGTGAGAAAAACTAACACATCATTTTTCTTTTTGATAATGTCAAAACAAAGCCGATTATTATTATTTTCCAATAAAATTTCAAGTCTTAATATTAATCATCATCATCATATCAATTGTTCGTTACATCACCAAGAAACAGTTGTTTTTTTATCGGCTTTTCGAAAACAGAAAACAAAAACAAAAAACATCGGGATCAATATTGAAGTGAGAAAAATGGACATGAAATGTTTTTTTTTCACAAAATATCTCTCTTGACTATTCGTATCATCAGTTGACCACTGTGAAGAAAATTCATATTGATAATTTAATGTTGTTGTGGTGGAGATGTTGGTGTCATAATTTAATAATAACAATCACTATCATCATCATTATAATTATATAATGTTTTTCCTATTTATGTATTCGCACTTCGTTGATTCAATTGATTATATACATTTGCATAACATAACGAAATTTCAAAAAAAACAAATTTGTAAATTTGAATATTTTAAAAAAAATAAAATTATTGAAATTGATCAAAGCAGAATTGAAAAAAAAATTAAATTTGTTGATTCATTTGTATGATGATTAATACTTTTTGGCTTTGGTGATAATGATTAATTTGGTGATGATGTTTCAATTTGTTGATTTAATTGAAAAATTGTTTGTTGTTTTTTTTTTTGGTAAACAAAACGGAGATCCATTCGGTGGTAAACATTAATTGAGAACAAAGTTTGGTGATGAAATAATGTAATCGTATTTGGATAAAATAAAGATTATGTTGTTGCAATGGAATTAGACAAAATTTTATCTTTCGTTGAATAAATGATTAGAGAAAAAAAATGATGTCAAATCTTTTCACCATTTCATATCAAACTGTCATTTAATACGATTTAAATATGAACACTTTTTTATCATTATCAAAATTCTTTTTAGGATATCATTAGAGTTGAGATTGCGGTAAATTGTAAAAATGTTAATGATGATGATGAAAAATTGTCAATGTGAATTATGAAATGATTTAAAATTTCGAATGACGTTTAATGCTTGTTTTGGTTTGTTTTCCTTTTTATCTTCCTGTATCAAATAACGATGATGATAATCCTTTGTATCATATCGTCCCCGTGTACACTACGCGTTATAAGAAAAAAAATAGAGAAAAATGAGGTTAAAATTTAAATTTTTTTTGTTGAGAATATAAATTATATAAATAGACAAACAGATGAAAGAATTAAGAAAGCAAAAATCAATTTACATCTCAATTCAAATATTTAATTTCGGATTTATGATGATAATGATCTTATCATTTTGATTTATCAAGTAATCTAGGATAGAGAACAACAACAATAATAACGATGAATATGTATAGTAAACATTTTGGTTTACATTTTTTTATTTATTCAAAAAATCAGAATGGAAAAGTTTTTGTTTCGTTTTTTGAAAACTTTTCTTTTGTTGATGATTGGTTCAATTCCTGACCTACTCAATTTAGCAATGTGAATATTTTAGTATTTCAAGCAAAATCAATACTGATGACGAAAAACAAAGTTAAAGTTTGGAACAAATCAGAAAACAAGTGTGAAAATGAAATCATAATGTTTTTTTTTTGTACTATCGATGATACAAATTTCTATTTGAATGATTACAATTTCAAGAAACAAGCGTAAAAAAAACAATAACATGTGACAATGGGTGAATATTTTCTGGCTGTTTTGGTTTTTCACACATTCAAATCAACAACAAAAAAAATTGAATCATCGAACCATAAATTTTGGGAATTGTTTTTGTTGAAATGTATAGATTTCCGTCGTCGATGACGCTTGTATTTTTATTTGATTCTTTGAATATCAACATAGTGATTTTATATTGTGTAAACATTGATTTCTATTTTACTATGGTGACAAAATTTTTTTTTCGTTGTTGTTCTCTCTCAATCTCTATATCATTATTTCAAAAAAATTATTTTTCCGTTAACATTTTATTGTCACCATGATGATTTCTTTTTGGTTGACTGTTGTTTGGAAAAAGTTTCTGTATATCAGTAAGTCAGTTAATTTGTAACTACCACCACCACCAACAACAACACTACTACCCAATGTTTAAAACAGGATAAAGATATTGCCAATTGTCAATTTAATGAATATTTGTAATGGGCGTCTGTATTGTATCATTTCGCCAAACGTTATTAATAACGACAATAGCCAATGTCTATTTGTAATGACAAACCAAAGTAACATTGGATATAGCAACAACAAAAATTCAAAGTAAATTGTCATTGGATATCAAAAAAAGAAAAGGAAATAAAATCAATGTGAATAAGCATGTTTTTTTTGGTTACATCATCAATGATCAATTTAAAAATGGACGATTTGACCATGATTTGATAATTGATTTTCATTCGTTTTTCTTATTATTGTTGTTTAGCTTTGTTAAACTTCTTTTTTTTCAAAATAGAATTACCATTCATTCTTAAACCCCAGATTTTCTGACAATAAAACATGTCATTAAAATTTTCTAATGGTTTTTTCTCTCGATCAAACACGTTCACATCAATTGCAACAACAAGTTTAACTTTTTGAATTGACTAGATTCTAAGCCAGGCAACAAAATATGATGATATATTTACGTGTTTAAATCTGTTTTCACTATTACCATCATCAATATAATGATCATAATGAATTAATCAGAAAAAATAGAATATTTATGAAAATGTAAATGTCTGTTGAATAATTGAATCAAACTTAGCCACAAAAAAAACAAATTTCATGAACAATATTTTAATATAGCGAAATGAAATCATTATGATGAAAAAAAACATTACGAAAAACGATTGATGGATAAGGTTTCGTTGTTGAAAAAATAGCCCTAATAACTGGCACATAACAACAACAAAACATGATGATGATGATAATAAACAGTTATTCATCATTTGGCTACTATGTTAATGATGATGATGATGATGAAAAAAGAAATTTTCATTCAATTCAGCAATCATTGTGAATAATGTAAAAGAAAATGATGAGATTTTTTTTTATTTCACTTATATAATGATGAATACAATTGACAATATAAAATGTGTATAGATGTGATGCCAGTGGTATACTATATTATTATAATTGAAAAAAAAAATGTTTGTTTCATTATATGTGTGCTACTGGAAAAAGAAAAGAAAAGAAAAATTATCACCAAATGCAATACATTTTCACAGAATGAGGACAATGTTTTTTCGTTCTGATGCTTGATGATCATTTTGGTTGGTTGAATGGATGGATTTTTTTTGTTTTGACTGTTGTCACTGGAATTGAATTGAATTTCAACTGAATTGAATTGAAATGAATGGATATAAATCTTTCTCCACCAAATGTTTAGCCATTCGTAACAAAAAAAAAAGAAAAGAAAAAATGTTCAAAGTACATCGACCATATGATGATCATTAAAGAAAAAATGATGAAAATGAATAATAATCATTTGTCATTTGTATGGATATGACAATTTTTTTTTGTTTAGTTGCTTTACTCCCTCAGAAAAAAAGTTGGTGTTTTTTTCATTCAAATTTTGTGAGAAAAAATATTTTGTATCCATCATTTTTGAATATATGAAGGATTTGTTTTTCTTTTTTTTTTTTGTAAATCTAAACATCAACAAAAATGATCAAATCATTTTTTCAAATGTAATGTCTGGATATTTTTGATTATTGATTCTGTTAGTTAACAATTTCTGTTAATGATTGTTTGTTTGGTAATAGAAGAAAAACGAGAACGAATTTTTCATCATCATCATCATCATCATCATCATTGATGAATGATCATAAAAATAAATATTATTTCATGACAAACTAGCCAAATAAAAGGATTATTTTTATGGGTTTTTTTTCTGTTCATCAAATGCATTATGTAATGTTTTTCATATTTCAAATTATTCATATTATCATTCACTTTCTCTATATGATACAAAAAGATGATCCGATTGAAATGAAAGTAGTCGTTGTTGTCCAATAAGGATAAAATGATGATGATGATGCCATTCCATTAATGGATTGACAATGTTGACAATGAAAATAAAAATGATTTACAGGTCATTTTTGGCCCTTTAATTTTAATTAAATATTTTTTTTATAAAAAAACAAAAAAAAAATTTATAAACAATTTTCACTTTTTTTCGCGTTTCTTCAACCATTTATTAACATAATCATGATTATTATAATAATGATGTGATTCAATGAATCTTGTCTTATATCATAATGATCATGATTATAAATGTTGAAATATTTTTCAAATAAAACTAATTTGCCCTGTTTGGTGGGAATTGACATAAACTAAATTGTCCATAAATAGTCATTATGAAAATAATTTTTTAAGTTTTGTTTCACTTACTTTTCAAATTTTAAAAGTCGTCATTATTTCCTTTTTGTTTGGTCAATGTTTTTTTTTTTGGAAGAAAAACAAAACAAAACAAAAAACCTTGATAATAAGGATGATGTAAATGATGTTAATTTATTCACTCAATGATATCTAGGCCCAGAAAAAAAAACTATGACATAATGAATAAATAAAACGATGACGATAATAAAACCCACTAAAAAACAATTCACAAAACCAGGATTTTGTTGGAACTAGCAATTTGGGGAACCAAAAAAAAAAAACAAACAAACATCAAAACACAATTTTTTTTTTGATATATCAAAAAGACCCAATAGAGACCGGGCAAAGAATACAATTCATTCGAATGATAGAAGCATAACAGAAAGGAATCCCGTGCCAAAATGAAAATTTTTTTTGTTGTTGTTGTGCATGTTTCGAACGTTTGATACAAACAACAACACACCACAGAACAGAAATGTGTCGAATAGTAGACGAACAGACGATAAAATGGTAAAAGAAATTCCGCATTTTTTTTCGCCAATATCAAAAAAAAAATGAGAAAGTTATCCAATATTTTCTCTCTCTAACTTGGTCTATTTTTTTTCTTGAAACAAACTAATCATCATCATTTATATATACGAATTCAAGAAAAATAAAAGTAAGTAGAATTGTTTATAGTGTGTGTGTAGGACTTTTTCTATATGCTATCAATTGAAATAAAGAGAGCATTGAGCTTTATTGAAGAGTACAAAAAAAACAGAGAATATGATTGAGAGAAACATCAAAAGAGATGGAGATAGTGAGAAATATAAAAAAAATCTGACAATGAAATGAAAATTTTCCAAGATTATATAGCTGTTTATCAATATGTTTTAAGAAAAAAGATTCGAAATATAACACAGATAGTTTAGTTAGGTTAGGTTGATGATGATGACTAGGACTTAAAAAACGGTTTGGAAACTTGTTGCATTAAAAAAAATCCAAAAAGAAATATCACCAATATTTGGAAATAAAGACATTTTTATTATTATTCATTTTTTCCTGGGGAAAAAATTTCATATTTTTTCTATAAGAAAGATAAAAAACCTTTTTTTTTAAAAAAATACATATCCCGTTTTATGATAATGATGATAAAGGCAGCTATAAATTGATGGTAGATTTCGACAACAACAACAAAAAAAATCCTTTCACCGAAATATCCGGCTAACGTGTTTTATTTAGTTCATTTTCCTCAAAATGATATATGTAAACCACAATCAAAATTGAATGAATGGGTGTGTAAAAAAAAATTTTGTTGTATAAAAACGGAAAGGGAAATTTAAATTTAAAAAAAATGAAATACATGAATTGAGAATGGGAAAAGTGACAAATTTTTATATCGGAAAAAAATGATGACAATTGACAATAGATGGTTTTTTTTCAGTTTGAGTGTGCCATATGTACGATGTTTTTTTTCCCATTAGAATTTCTGTATAATCACCTTACGTTCCGGATCATAACGATAATTTTGCATCTTAAATGATCGACTTTCATAAAGATTTTTCAGATGATATATTTCCAATTGTCGTGCCTATGATTTTTTTTTTGAAGAAAGAAATTTTTAGTTATACAAAGGAAAAAAAATCTAAATAAAAATCACTTACTCTTTTAGAAAATTCGGGTTCACTAATTTCAACTTTTTGAATGAAATCATCATCAATAGGATCATCACCTTTATTACGACGTGATAGATTTCTTCGTAAAAGAATCTCTTCATGAATCATTTGTCGAAGTAAAGTAAATAATAGATCGGTATTTGAACGTGAAAAATATCGGCTAAAAGTCTATTAATTAATGTAAATTAATTGATTAAATTTTAATTTTGTTTAAAAAATTATCATTAAACATACCTTTGTCATTGTTTTTTGGACACTATTTTTTTGTGTTTCAATAAAGCTATCAATAATAGTTTGAATGGCCAAATTAACATCATTTTCACCGACAGCATCACGTAAATGCATACGAGCATGTGCTTCTGCACAACGAATTATACTTTCAATATGACGTACAGTAATTGGAATCGAACCGGTCAACATTGATTCACGACGTAATTCGGAATATAATTTTGTAATTTTATCTTTATCAATTTTAGCTAATCTTGGATGAATGCGTTGTCGAGCATAGATAATATATTTACGTAATAAATCCTGTGGTATTAATTCAAGATCAGATGATGTAACTTCATTCATCTGTTCTTGGGTGTTCATGTTTTCAATATTATCCACTAAATCGTTCATTTGATCTTGAAGATTAGCATCTTTAACTTTTTGTCGATCTTCTTCAGTAGCATGCGGATGATGACGAATGTGTGATCGTACAACAAATTTTGCCAATTGTTCATCAGCATATGGATCGACAACATCACGAACAGGACAGATAATATCAAAACGTGAAATGATCGGTTCGGTTAGGTCGACATTTTGTGCAAATGTTAGACCAACATCATAACGTCCACCATTTGGATTAGACGCAGCTATTACAGAACAACGAGCCTGTAATGAAGCTACTATGCCTGCTTTTGAAATTGATATCGATTGTTGTTCCATAGCTTCGTGAATCGAAGTTCGATCTTGATCACTCATTTTATCAAATTCATCGATTAGGCAAACACCTCGATCAGCCAAAACTAATGCTCCAGCTTCTAGAGTCCATTCTCTTGTCAATGGACTTTTATGTACCGAAGCAGTTAAACCAACAGCCGACGCACCTTGACCAGTCGTGAACACAGCACGTGGAGCAATTTTGGATAAATATTTTAGAAATTGTGATTTAGCCGTACCAGGATCACCACAAAGCAATACATTTATATCTCCTCTGATTCGATGTTTATCACCAGGATTTTTGGATTCTCCACCAAACAATGCTAATGCCAAAGCACGTTTAACTTTTTTGTGGCCATAAATAGATGGACCCATTGATGCAATAATACGATCAGCAATTCGATAATCTTTAGCCAATTTCAAAATCTCTGATATATCATCATCAGTAATGGAAATCGCTGCAGACCAATTATCTTTGCGAAGAACATGATTACCAAGAATAACAGTAGAAAAAACGGGAAATCCGTTTGCAATATTTAACGATCCATCATAGGAATTGGAATAAACACCAGTCACTTCTACTTCATCACCAGGACGGCATGAATCGCATATATCACCCAAAAGAATAACATCTTTAGATCGTGGAATACGACCAGCAGAAACTTTTCCTGGTGCTTCTTGAATGGTTATTCGCTGATAATTTTGATAAATAGTTTCTTCCATGTTCAAAGAAAATGGTCCGTTACTTTGACATTCTGGACAAGAACCGGGTCTCGTTTCGGATAATTGTGTCTGAACGAACGGTCCAAGAACATAATGACATTTAAGACAATCATATTTTGAAATAGATAATTGTGGTAAAATAGATGTAGCCGAAGTGATCACACCGTGTGTACGGACTAATTGATTAAGATGAAGTTGTCGCAATGAACGTATATCTTCAAGCAATGGTAAATGACTGATTCGTACATAAATCTCTTTAGCGATTCGACTATAAGCCGGATACATTTTCAATACAATTTCTTTGGCAGCAGCATTAAAAATTTCAAACATTTCAAGTGGTGCATCTGGTAAAAAATAAGCAAGAATTTGTTCTTTAGCGGCCAAAATATGATATTCTACTTCGAATGATTGACGATTATCTTCGACCATTGATTTAATTTTATCCCGATAAATAAAACGATTACGATCATCACAAGTATTAATGAGAAATTCTTTAAAACGATTGAAAATTTCACGTTTAGGAGCCATTTGTACGACCCAATCTCGAACGGAAAGTCCTCGAGTATCTTCAAGATTTTCGATCGATTCTACCATTCTATCATCATCTTCTAGCTCACCGAAAATTTCAGCCGTACGTCTTGAAAATCTTTTCTTCTTCGACGGTTGATCAGTAGCAGCCGTTTCAGAAATTTCCGATTCATCATCATAGATATCTAAACCACGTCTCATGCGGCCAACGACTCTACCTTCAACTTTATCACGTTGTCGTAATTCTTCTTCAGCAGCACGTCGACCATCGACTGATAATTCCGAATATGAAGCATCATCCAATTGATCACGCTCATATACATCCAATTCTGGCCTTGGTAAATAATCACGTTCAAAATCATTGCCAAATAATTCTTCGCCACTTTCTTCACCATCATCTTGATCACGAATATTACCATCACGAACAATGCGTTTTGATTGACGTTGTGAATCATCTACTTCGGATGTGGCATCATTAAATAATCGTTCCACTTCATCATGATATTCGGCATCCATTAATTCATCTTCAGTTCGTTCTTGAAATGGACGATCCGGCGATACTAATTGATCCAAAATATTATCCGTATCTTGACTGGATGAATCCATTTTATTTGATGTTTATGAAGGAAAAATTTATAAAAACAATTCTTTTGTTTTGAAGAAAAATTTAAAAGGAGACTAAATTTCAGGCAGCTGCAGCTTTAGCATAACAAAATCAGAGTCTTTGTCTGTGAAAAATTTGGCGCGATTTTATTCGCTCAACAAACACAGACCTTTTAATCGATCCCGTTCATATACAATGTTTTAATAATTTTTACGAACAAAAAAAAATTTAAAAATTTGAAAAATACTAAAATTTTATTTACAAATTATTCTTTACGATTATGCATTAGCATATTTTCGGCTAAAATAGCGAAATTCCTAAAAATTTATTTACAAATTCAATATACAAATAACAGCTAATTTTTCAATGAATTTTCATGACATATAACGATTTTTTATAAGATTTTACCTGTGCTAATTCAAGCACATTCGATATTGTTTTTTGCAATGGAAATCGTTTTCCATCATCTCTACATATACCTGTATGTTAGAGGAAAAAAATTTGATAAACTTTACGATAAAAATTGTTAGATTTTTTTTGGGTACAAACCTTTTGTATCATCAAAATTCAATGCAAATGTTACAATACCACCCATTCCTGTTTTTACTACCCATTGAGCTTTAGTTGCAACAGATAATTCATTTTCATAAGCTATCCAATCAAAACCATTGTATGCATATGGCACTTGGCTATGAAAATCAAAATGTTTGATCGTTCCGGGTAATCGTAAAAATTCGCAAACATGTGTATAGTTCATTTTGCCTTTACCGATACCTGGTCCACTAGCCGGTACATTGATCATATTCTGGCCAATCGGTACAACCAGATTATAAGTTCGTGCATATGTTGGAACACCGATCATTATTTTTCGTAATGGCATTCCACTATTTGCCCAATATGTTGCCGTCCATGCCTGAACAATTTTAAATCATCAAAATTTATTAAATGAATCTAATTTGATAATTTGTCCAAAAGAAAAACATACCACATTCAATGTACTAAAATATGCATTATCATTCGATCGAGGATATAGTGGAGAATGATGACCAGTATATGGTTTATCTGGTCGATAATAATGAAAATCATAGGACATTAAATTGACAAAATCGACAAATCTATTTGAATAGCAATTGATTAACAAGTAAAAAAAATTATAATAGAATAAATAAACAAATATAATGCACTTACTTTCCAATTTCTGGTATAATATATGAAGTGCTAGCAATCATTAATGGTGCACCGACAGCAAGTGAAACTATAAATGATCCTTGATTAATATCATTTTGCCAAACTAGTTTAGCCATCTTTCGAAGATCTTTTAGAAAAAGTACCAGATTCTGTTTGTCACTTGATAAACCTGGTGTACGAAAACCTGGAAATTCCCAATCAATATCGATACCATCGAAATTGAATTCCGTACAAATATCCAATATGGAAATAATAAAACGTTCACGTGTACGATTCGTACTTGTTACGATGGAAAACATTGCACCACCAAGATCACCAATCGAAAGCATTACTTTTAGTTTTGGATATTGAAGTTTCATCATTGTCGCTCGTCGATAACGTTCAGTATCTTCTAATGGTTTTTGTGCCACAACCAGACCATTAGTCGAAATTCTTGCATAACCAACAATCAAATGTGAACAAATATGTAATTCTAATTGATTCATTTCAATATGACCATCTTTACCGACATTCAATAATAGATAACAAACACGTTTAAATCGATGAGCGACAAGAATTTTTCCATCAATACGATTGTCATCTTTAATTTGATGAAGCAATTCTTCATTGATTTCTTCAGGAGCAGTTTTGTTATCATCGCTTTCATTATCATCATCTCCATCTTCGTCATTATTTTCATTATTTTTATTTAGATGTGTTTCAAACGATTCATCAGTAATCGATGTCGATTTAATAGCATTCAAATTATGATTATTTAGATTGTCCATCGGATTCACCTGATAATTGTCAATTTTGCTAGCATTAATCACTTTTAAGATATGCCAGAAAAATTCTTTAGGAATCTCATCGACAAGATTTTTGTTCCATGGTGACATTGTTGTCGTAGTCGTTGTTGTTGTTGATGGTGGTGATAATGATGATAAAAATAACGGCGGAATAGTTGTATTTGATTCTAGTGTTGCAAGAAACGAATTGAAATTGGCAAGAAAATCTGAATTTATTGGAAATGTTAGTTGAGTTGTTGTCGGCATATCATCATCGATATCTGATTCAGTTTTCATATCAGTTAATATCGATGTTGTTTCTTGTTCGTATTCTTCTGTTGTGGTTAATTCCAAATCCGAGGGTACATCATCTTCATCATTATCATTATTATCACTTTCTTCTTCTGTAACGGGTAAAGTTGATTCTTCTAAACCTTCTGGTGATGTAGTCGTTGTTGATAGATCAATCGGTGATTCAATATTGATAGCTGGAATAACGATTCCTTTGGATAAACGAAAATTTGGTGATTTTGGATGACATCTACTCCAGCCATTCTTTTTTGACCAAATTTCTCCAAATTTTTTATTAGTTTTAATTTTATTCAATGTTACATTGCAAAAATTAGCTTCGAATTCATCGATATCCGATGATACTTGAATTTTTTTCGGTGATAAACCTATTGTGGTTTTTGTTTTCATTTGTTTCTTTATCGGTTTTTCGATTCGCTTCTTGTTTTTTCTAGGTTTTTCATTCTTGATGGAATCCTTTTTTTCATCATTGCCATCGTCATCATTATCTTTATCATCAGCATCATTATCATTAGAAAGAATGGGCACTTTAGGTGTTGCAAATCGGAAATTATCTTTTTGTCGTTCAGTAGTACGACGCCATGATTGATTTGGTGATGGTCGACGATTCTGTGATGATGATGTTGAAATTTTTCGATCATCTCGAATTCTTTTTGGTTCGATTTTTATTTTATTTTTAATCACAGGTTTTCTATTACGAACTGTATCTGAATTTCTTCGCAAAAATGGAAAAGAATTTTTAAATTTTTCTTTCAATCTATTCTGTGCATATTGTAATGGAGTTAAATCGAATTTGATCATTCTTTTTGTTAATCGATGACGACTAATTGATTTTCGTCGTAGATTTTGAATTTTATTTTTTGTTGCTGCAAACATTCGTTTTGGTGATATTCGATTTCGTATACTTCCTTTTGAATTATCATCAATATCATTATCATCATAATCTTCTTCTAGTTCATCATTTTCCTCTTCATTAGCTTCATTTCCATTATCGACGCTATCATCATCATCATCTTCATCATAATCTACCTCTTCATAAAGATCACTATTTTTTCTTTTTTTCTCAATTTCTTCATCTTCTTCTGGTTCATCATCTTCCATTAAAGGTTCGGATGATTGTTTTAAAGGATTAAGATAATCATATTTAACAGTTTCTTTTAAATTATTATCATCACCATCCTTAACATAATGAATGTCATATGGTTGTTCATATTGAAGCCTTTGATCATCAATACCAGGTTGATGTTGTGATGAAACTTCATAATATTTTATGTTTGGATCATTTGGATCTATAATTGGTGTATATTGTTGTTGATGATGTTGTTGTTGTTGAATGTATTGATTGTTTTCCGGTGAATTTTGTAATAGCGATGGCAATAGATGATTTGGTTGCATTGTCGGTGATGTTGCGGCTGATCGCAACAATGTTGTCAATGAATTCAGAACATTCATTTGATCGATTGTCGATGATGGTAATGAAGTTGATTGCGATTGTTGTTGTGACTGTTGTGTTGGATTAACACTACCTACTTGACTAAGTAATTGAACAATTCTTGGATCAAGATTTGCTAATAATTGTAAACTATCCGTTATTGAATTGCTTTCTTTATTCATCATAACCGATGATGATGATGATGATGCTGATGTTGCATGTGATTGATCATTATTATTATTATTATTGTTGTTATTCATCAATAATGATAATTGATCAATTGATGATGGGGATTGATGAATCGAATTCAAAGAATTTGTCGGTAAAGATTGTGGCGGCATTATTTGCTGAAAACTTTTACGTAGTTTATCATTAGTTAAATTCGGTATCGCTTTATCTAGAAATGATCGCCACATTGTTAATGTAATTCCTTGCATAAATAATAATGATACAAGCATGGGCATTGAGCCCGTCAATAATCCTAGAACCATTTTAGCACTTTAGCTTTCATTTAACAGAATGAAAACAATACGAAACAATTAATTATGGCTGTTTTTTTCTTGGAACACACATTCACTAGATTTTTAAAATGACACTATGAATATCATAACATGATTATAATCAAGTTGATTCAAATCTAAATTTCTGGATACATTCATCAAAAGTATCACATCGAATCAATAATGTTGTTGTTGCTGTTGTTGCGTAAATCACAGTTTCAATTGAACTGCTTCGGATAAATAAATTTTTTTTTTGCTATCAAAAAATGGCTAAATTTCTGATTGATTCCCATTCACATGCATAAAATTTACTATAATTCAGCACTGAACCAATTTTACATAATCAAATATTGTGAACCAGTTTCTCAACATTATTTGGTATTTCAAAAAAAAAACCCCAACAAGTGATTGAAACGGTATTGTTGATTATGATGATAATTAATAATAATGATTGCGTGATCAGAAAATATTGAATCCTATACTATTTTTGATCATAATTTCAATTCGATCTTTTTTTTTGATCAACTTTATTTGTTTTTCATCTTTCATTAAGCAAAAAAAAAACGGACGAATGTTTGAATTTTCATGTCAGACACTTTACATTGATTTGATTTGATTCGATTCAATTCATTCACTAAAAGGTATTCTCCCACGGCATGAGTACAGTAATTATAATTATAACGATAACGAAGATGATGATGATTATTATTATTAAAATAATTAATTATGAAGAAATTTGGTTTCACTAAAAATAATAAAATTGGTCTCCACAAAACCGAAAAATCGATGTGCAACAAAGATGGGTCCATAATAATTAAATCTGATACACCAATCTATACCCACAATCAAACAATTACGGAAAACAAACCAGACATTTATGTTCAAGATAACAACAATCGCAATATTGATATCATTGAAATAGGAATTACAAACAAAAATATAATTTCCACGACCGAAATCACGAAACATCATAAGTATGATCTATTGGCAAATTCTCTTAAAGTCATGTATCCTACATTCACGACAAGCAACATTCCGGTAGTGCTATCATGGGATGGCTTAGTGACTAAATACAATAATAAATATATGCAAATGTTGGGCATTAACAAAAAAATTATGGCATTTATTCAATATAGTTCTTTGAAATCTACATTCGAGATTGTATGTAAGGATCGGGGAGTAAGAGGTACTCTCTGGGATGTAGATGAAGGACTCCCTGGTTTGGAAGAAGAACCAGGTGAATATTGATTTTTTATTTGTTTATTTATCTTTTGTAATAAATGCTAAATTTCCAGATTACATTGACCCAGACCTTTTGTAAATAAGAGATATGAAATAAAATAAAAGTTTTTTTTTTAAAATAATTAATTATCGGTGTAGAAAATTTTCCGAAAGTAAAAATAAATCATCAATTTTTTTTTTTTGAATCGAATACAATGTATTTCATTATAATGAGAAAAAATAGTTCCAAAATTTTCTATCCCTTTCCCCTTATACCATAAAAAGCTAAGATTTTATCATTATGCTGAAAAAAATTCAAAAAATTTCAACATTATTTAAAAAAAACTTGAAATTTTCAAAAAAAATCGTGAAAAACTTTCCAGAAAAATGATAGGATTTCTGGAAATTATTCTGCCACAAATTCGTATACACAAAATATTATTTCACGATGTTTTGTTTTTGTCCTTTTTTTCTTTCATCATCATTATCATCATCATCAACAAACTTGTTAGTTGAATTGAAAATGATTACGGTATTCAATTTATCCTTAATATATAATTTCATTATTTAATTCTATTCTTTTTTTTTCTTTTTTATTATTGTTTTTGTTCTTGATTCTATCTTTTGTTTTAATTCTGTGAAAAAAATAAAAGAAAATTTTTTCTTTGATTTAAAACTAGTGATTAAAATTGAAATTTTTTTTTCATTTATAAAAGAATCGATCGATCTTTTATTGATAAATTTTAAAAACAATAAGTAATTATTATTCTACAATAATGAGCAGTGTGGCTAAAGCTTGGAAGGTTTGTTTTGTTATTCTATTTTTCATTGAAAAAAAAGAATTCTAAAAACAATCAATAATTGATATTCAATATAGGTGATTAAACCTCATGTGCCTTTGATTCAATTCAAAAAAGGAGGTAATACAAAAAACTTAATATTTATTGATGTTATTGTATTTATTATTTAAAACTATAAAATAAAAAAAACTAGGTCGATTAACGAATAATCCAAAAACACATGGATCAACAGCATCGAATACAAAGATATTGATTGATGATACACAATTACCGGCACGATATCAACGTAAACCGATGACCGAATTGGAAATGCAATTGATTGAGGTTAGAATTATTGTCATTTTTTTGTCCAAATCAAATTTTCTAATTGAATATTTTTTTTCACACAGAATGGTGGTGTTCCTTTATGATGATAATCGAATCGAATTATTGTTGTTGTAGTTTGCCTTTGATCGAATGTTCAGAAAAATTAAACACTTATAGAAATTATTTAAATTGAAAAAAATATAATTTAATTTATAATGATATAAAAATTTTCACAAAAAAATAATCTATAAATCTCTTGCGTTTTAATATAAAAAAGTATTAGAATCAAAATAATGATTGTCAATTGCTATCACTTGAATCGAATTTAGATTTCGATCAAATATTTAATGTACCGATTGAAGCCATTTGAAATCCTTTTGCTACATGTGCCGGATATGTAGCTACGATTTTAATTGGAAAATCCCATGTCATTACTTGCACATTCAATTGTCTTGGTGCCAATGTTTGTATACCATCTTCAGTTTCTGTACAAAGATTAATCGTTGAATTCTGTTGTTTTTGATTATTTTCAATTACAAAGCTAAAATGTAGATTCCATTTAAGTGAAATTAGATTATTTGCAAATGATGGTGTTAGTGTAAATGGTATTGACAATATCATTGGCGATTGATCCATATTCAAACAACATTCATGAAAACGTGTATGATTTGCTAGATTAATTCTTGATTTCGTTGTCGTTGATGATGATGAAACAGAATAATGTTCGGCAATTGTTTCTTCACTTTGTAATACAACCGAATAACGGATACATTTTACTAAACCTTCAGTGAAATCAAATAAACCAATAATATCTTCACCAAGACGATAAACAGTTTTAAATATAAAAAATTTGGCCACTTTTCCAAACGTACTGGTTATGTTAAAATTATGAGGTATTCGATGTCCGGCAAGATATTCGATACGATGTAATGCAATATCGAATGGTGTTCCATGATCTTTTGATTCATCATCAAATGTCAGTGAATTATTCGTACTGGTACAACTTTTAATATCATCATCATTTTCATTCAACGAATTTTCTGTACCGTTTGATTGATCATTGTTTGTTGATAATGATGGAAATCCATCAACTGTCAATATACGAATCGGTATTTTTAATAGATAAATTGGTGAACCTATACGTTGAGCACCGATACTTAATTTGTAATAATATTTCAATCTATTACTGGAATATGAAGGGTTCAGATTGGAAGGCAATGTTTCAGTGTAAATAAATGTTTGACTTTGATGGGGTTCAAGTTGTAGATCGCAGAATAAAATTTTTGGTTTGGATGCATAAATGATGATGCCACGTTCGCCTCGAACTAATGATTCATGAAACGAAGTATCATTCGATGAATAGGTTTCGAAAGCAATTGAATTTCGCTTATTTTTCATATAATTTCCATTATGATTTATTAATTTACAATCAAGATTTTCGTCAATAATTCGTTGACAATCGATCTGCGATTCATCCACAGTACAGAAACAATGTAGCTGTACATTCGCCCAACAAATTCTTTCAACAGAATTATTGGCAACATTATTTTTTCGATTACTAATACTTCCATTAGGTATTGAACCATTCTCATTTGTTCGTGGAATATTTTTCAATGTGATTAGACATTGGACTGTTTCTTGGACAAAATATACAGGACCTCGTAAAAGTTTGGCTTGAATTTCAATCATTTTCGTTGAATGATAATTATGAATTTAATTACATTGAATTTGTAAAAATTTTCCATTAGATTTAAAATTAATAATGACCATTATTCATTCACAAAAAAAACTTGTTTACGTTGCGATATTCATTGAAATGTAAGAAAAAAACTCGGACTAAGAAACAATCACGGGAAAATTCGGTAACATTGTTTATGAAGAGTTTGGTCAACGTGAGATTTGACAATTTTCGCTGTTTTTTTACGAATTAAAGTTGATTTGAATTCGTAATTTGTTTGTTGGAAAAATGATGGACAAAGAAACAAGATGTCCCAATTGTGGTACGACCAAATATGCAAATGTCAATCTGCGTATGATGGTCAATGTTTGTGGCCATTCTTTATGTGAATCTTGTGTTGAACTATTGTTCGTCAAAGGAGCGGCTAAATGCCCCACTTGTCAGGTATTATTGAAACGAGTTCAATTTCGAATTCAACTTTATGATGATGAAACAGTGGAAAAAGATCTTGAAATTCGTCGTCGTTTGCTAAAAGATTTAAGTCTGAAAGAAGATGATTTCGATTCACTTAAAGAATACAATGATTATCTAGAATTATTCGAAACATTTGTTTATAATTTGGCTAATGATATCGATATTCTTGAAACGAATCGACAAATCGAACAATTTAAAATTGATAATGCAGACAGACTGGCTAAAAGTAGAAACAAAATCTCCAAAGACATGGAACTAATACAACAATTGCTTGAGGAAGAATTAACCGAACAAGGTAATCGTTCAATGATGGATATGGAAGATGATACGAATCTTGCTGCACAAAAAGTTGCAAAATATAAAGAAAATTTACTTGATGCATTAGTTCAATCCGATATGCCAGCTGAATTGATATTGAAAACACATCAAAAACAAGCTGAAAATGAATTGGCTGCTATTGATGAAATGGAACAAAAGCGTCAACAAGAAACTTTGCGAGTAAAACGTCAGCAAAAAGTGATCACATCAACTGGTGTTCGTTTGGGTCAGAATTCCAAAGCGTTGGCCAAAGAATTTGATGATGAAATTCAAGGTGAACGATTTATTTATGTACCACTTAAAATGCCAAATGTTGGTCCACCATGTCCAACACCACGAACAATTGAACAAAAACAATATCAACAACATGTACGTGCCGCTGGACCATCCGAATTGGCCGGTGGTTTTCTTTCCATCTATCCATGTCAACGTGCTCTACAAGAAGCTATTATGGATTTAACATTTGTACCTCGTATCATGGAATCTAATTAATAATTGTTCATTTTCCAAAAAAAACAATCAACCTGTGATCTTTATCAATCATTTTTTTAATTAATTTGAAAAAATATGTTAAATTAAATTATCTCATAATGTCTATAATGTATATTTTGAGTTTACAATTTTTTAATTTAAAAAAAATTTCTCTTCTCAAAAAAATTTGCTAGAAAGCATAGTGAATCGAGCATAGAAAATGATTATCTATAATTTTGAAAATAATTGAAATTAATTGTATTCCTGATAATCATTATTAATTTACCTTGAAAAAAACAAATTTTGTTAATACGATAGTTGGTCCAATACGCATACCCCATGGTATATTACTGACAATACGATGATAAAAATTCATTAAATTGAATTTAAATCTATTCATTTGATGGACTTTATTTGTTATTTGAATTGTTTGTTCTAATGATGGTCGAATTAGATTTATTTGTTGATTAAATTTTGATATAATGTACATTAACAATAGAATAACGAACAATTCTACCGCTAACATATAGTAGAACATCAACATCATTGACCAATGACCATTTGTCATACATTTTAAAGAATAAATCGTGAATTGACTGGATATAAATCCGGTGATCAATGCCAATAGAATTAATTTTGATGCATATTTTTGAATATCTTCGGTCAAAACAATTAAACGAGTATATAATGAAAATGATTTGATTAGATGAATTTCGACACGATGTTTCGTACGTGGAAAATTTTTACGAGATTTTAATCTTACGATCATTGATCGATAAATATTTAAATTTTTATTAATATTATTGATCAATTGTTTTGATATTTTCATCAACGACATGAATGTAAAACAACCCAAAAATGTTGGCATAAAGTAAAATATTAATGAATTAATACCGACACTCATAGCATGAAAACAAATTGCCCGACAAATTATTTGCCAAATGGGTCTAGTACGAAAACTTTCATCCAATTTAAAAAATTGAAGATAGATTGAAAACACAACTGTAATGAATTATGATATTGTATGTAGTGAAATAAATAAGGAACAAAACCAAATATAAAAATTCAATAAAACTTACGATGAAAAGGTTGTAAAAAACAATAAAATTTAATGAAAAATGACTTAAATTTAAAAAAATTTTTCCTGATCATTAAATGACCGTAATTTATTATTATTAAAGTTGATAAAGAATATTCGGAAAATTTTTGTGGAATTGTCAACAAAATTTGTTCATTTCGTTCAATCTCACTCCAACATTGAATCATTGTACAAAATCCTAGCGACAATCTTAAATTGTACGTATAATATAATGAAAACCATAACATTATTAGACAAAAAGTTATCAATAACGAAGCATTTATTATTATCGTTTTGTCAACATTATCAATGATAACGAATAGATCGCCAACAATAAAAGGAATCGTTTCATTAAAATCAATTAATTTGAAACCTTTTATAGAATAGTATAACACTGGAAATACCGAAATAGCGAAACGTATTCGTTCTTTTATTGGAATCGTAATTTTTGATGATTTTTGATTGGTTTTCAATGAATAAATCATAACATGATAGTCATATACGGTACCATATTTGTCCGGTGTATATGAACTTAAATAAAATGCGGATGCAAAATAATAAATACTTTGCATAAAATTATTGACTTTCATTTTTTTGGAATAGAAATCCAGTAGCAATGATAAAATCATTCGAATAAAAGTCATAAAAATGAAAAAAAAATTGTAACAAGAACAAAATATTGAATGCATTTTCATGTGACTTTAGTTGAAAAACGGAAACAAAATTTGCTCAAAATGAAAAAAAAATAATCAATACAATCTACTCATGAAACGAATGTATGCTTGTTATGTATCATTGATCATCTCCTAAGTGATTATTGAATAAAAAAACATTTTAATGAAATAACAAAAAAATACATTTTTTCATAGTTTTTCGATCGAATAATTTACCTTGATGAAATAAGATCAGATGAAATTCTTTTCTACTACTTCCAAAATCCCTATTATATAAGACAAAACTTTAAAAGAACGACAACAAACGAAATGAATGAAAATGATTGATTGCAACCAACAAAAAAAAACCTAATTGAATGACAATCCTTTTCATTCAGCAAATGAATCCATAATTATTCTGTCTTTAAATTAATTGAATAAATGTCATTAATTTTGTTGTTTAATTCTTCATTGAAACTATGGATACAACATATAAATTGAAAATGTTTTGTTTGTTTGTTTTATAAAAAAATAAAAATAAAATTATTTTAAAGGATAAAGTACAAATCTAAATTGATTACGAAATTTGAAATGTCCTTTTTTCAATTGCATTTTAACTTTCTAAAAACAAGTGTGTGTTTGTGTTTTACCCTTTTTTCTTTTAATGAATTTATTTAATCGAAAAATTTATCGATTTTTCGAAACTTTCCGTATGAAGGTTGAATGTTTTTTTCTCCATAATGTACCTTTTTGGATTCATTCCATTCTTATGATTGATGTTTGAATAATTTATGAGATAGAATTGTAATACGGAAATAATATATGATGAGCTAGTTATTCAATAATAATTAGTTTAAAAAAAATTACAATATTAATTAAATTATTATGAAAAATGAATGATGTTTTTTTATTTACCTTTACAAAGATGATTTTAGTTAATACATTGATAGGTCCAATTTTTAAACCGAATGGTTTGGTATTAATCATATTTTGATTGATAATCATCATTTTAAATTTAAAATATTTATTTGATGTTTGATTCGTTTGTATTAATGTATGACGTATATTAGTGTGTATTGAATTCAATCTTGTATTATATAATGAATTGGTATATGAAATTAAAATTATTATAACATGTTCAATAATGAGTAGATAATATAGTATAATGCCAACGGAAATTTTATCTCCTTTTATTTCTTTTATAGAATAAATAGTGAATTGACTGGTCATGAATGTAAAAATAATTGACCATAATATCATTCTTGATGCATATAATCCAACTTGTTCGGTAAAAATAATCAATCGTGCATACATTTCGAATAATTTCAATAATCGTAGTTCACTTAATCGTATACAAAAAATATATTTTTGTTTCATAATATAATATTTATATTTAGCAAGTATTACATCGATTTTCATCCGTATCTGATTAATTGTTTTGTAACCGGTCCAAACAGAATAAATTCCATATAATGATATACTGTAGAAAAATGTTACAAAGAAATTGATTGATACGCATAACAAGTACAGTGATATTGCTCTGATTATTAACTGCCATAATGGCATTGTTTCAATAAATTCTCCTAACCGAAAAAGATGCAGCAATAAATTGAGAAAAACTAAAATATCGACAAACGAAATGAAAGAAAATTTTTTTGTTTGTTCAATTATGATAATTGTAAATGATGAGACTTACAATGGAAAATTTGCATTATACAAAAGAAACGGTCAAAAAATTGTTTGAAATTTTCATGATTATATGACAATATTTTAGATATATATTTCAGGAAGTTGCTTGATGAATTTGTTAATTCATCGTATTTATCAATGAAACTTGGATCAATATCTTTTTCATTTACGAATATTATAAATATACGAAATGCATTTGAACGTTTAGTGTTAAACATATCGTATGCAACAATCAAGGCGACAACAAGAGTAAGCCATATAAATAATGACTTCATTCTACTTAATTCGTTCAAATGATCTGTCAAAATGATGGTAATATCGCCAAGTAAAAAGCGTTCAGTTTTGGTATAATGGATTAATTCAAGACCGGATGTCATATAAAATAATGAAAAAAATATGAGAAGTAGAAATCGAAACTGTTCTAATCGTGGTAATGATAACCATAAACATTTTGAATAATTAAGTAATAGAAATTTTGCATAAAAACTACTAATAGAATTATAATATTTAGATGAATATGAACTCAGAAAGAAATGTGATAGAATAGTATAAATTGATTTGAGAATTCGGTCAATCATTTTTTACTTGTTTCTTTGTGAATGTTCTTGTTGGAACAAAAATTCTGATGATAATGACATAATTTTTTTTCGTGTTCAATTTTAAAAGCACAAAAAATGAGTCAAGAAATAGCTTCAATAATATTATCATTATGTTTGTTTTAAATTAAACATAAAAAAAATTACAACCAAAACTTTAAAATGAATGGCAAAATATTTGAATTTATGAAATTAAAAAATGATTGATTGCAATAAAAAAAGCCAACCAAATTACTAATTTTTCTCATTTGGTATTATTGATTTTTATTTGAAAATATTTTGTTGTAGTTTTTTTAACATCGAAACTATGGATACTATATTTAAAGTATACTCATTTAACAAATATGTTTATATGATAAAATTATTATCAATTTATTTGGAATAATGAAAAAATATGAAAGAAGGGAGTGAGAGAATAAAGAACAAATCTACATTGATTACGAAATTTGGAATGCTTTTTCTTTTGACAATATTTTAACTTTCAAAAATAAATGAAAGTATATGTTTTACCCTTTTTTTTCTTGATAAATTTATTCATTTAGAAAATTTATCGATTTTTTCGTTTTTTCTTTCCATATGGCAAGGTTGAAAGTTATTTTCTTCTTTCTGTGACTTTTTTCGATTCATCAATTTTTATGATTGAAATTTGAAAAGTTCATGAGATAGAATCGTAATGCAGAAATAATATATGATGAGTTTTTATTCAATAATAATTCTATTAGATGATAAATAATTTTAATTATAAAAGTGTAAAAGTGTAAAACATGAATTTTAATGAAGAATTTCGCAAAGATTTAAATTAGATTTGTAATTAATTTTTAATCGATAATTTGAATGTTAACAATGTGAAACGTGCATAAATTATGATGAGCTTAGAAAATAAAATAAATGAATAAGTAAATAAAAACCAATGAATAATAAATTAATATTGTATGTTTAATTATCGACCTACTTTGAAAAACACCCATGTTGTCAATACAGTAATCGAACCAATTTTGATTCCCCATGGTTTAATATTGATCATACGTTGATAAATTGTAGCCATATATAAACGAAAATGAAAACTTGTTGAATGATTTGCATGGCTTATTGTATCTTCAATCAGGAAACGAAACGAATTAATTTTTGCATTAACTCTTGATATAAAATATGTCATCAGAATCATTATAGAATAATCTAATAGTAAACAATAATAAATAAAAACTTTAACAACATATTTATCTTCATTAATATTTTTTTGAAAAGCAATAACCATATTGCTGGCTAGAAATGCTGTCAACAATGCCCATAAAATTAATGTGGAAAAATAATTTTGAATATCTTCACTTAGTATGATGAAACGAACATACATATTAAACGAACAGATTAATTTACGTTCTACAATCGATATCAATCGCATTCTTTTTTTAGCCTTTTTATCACAATTATTATCTGTTAATAATCGTAATCGTTTTGTCCATTGAATAATATCTGAACGTAATTGTTTAATGAAATCAAATGCCAACATTACAAAATGACCACCAATCAACAATGGACAATGCATGAATGTAAAATAAAAATTAAATAAACAACAAATTAATTGTAATGAAATGGCTCGTATTATAATCTGCCATAATGGATGAGTATGATAAAATTTTTCCAAATTGACAAGATGCGCAAATATATTGATAAATACTATAACGAAATAATTTTTTGATAAAATCATTTAGCTAAAAAGAATAAAGCAAAACAAAAAAAATACTTACAATAGAATACAGCATTTTGAATGTAGAAACGATTAAAGAATTGTTTATATATAGCTACACTAATTGATGTTTTTTTACTAATATAATCAAGAAATATGATTGTATTGGAAGAGAAACGAGAATATTTTTGTCGAAATATATCCAATGTTGTTTTATTTGTTTCAGCTTCATATGAATAAAGTATGATTGTACGAAATGATAATGACGAATTCGTATTAAATGATATATAAACAATGAATATCAATGTACAAAAACTGAATAAAAGCATTATTGCAGCAATTTTTTCCGTTTTTCTTGCCTGATTACTCAAAAGTAACAATATATCACCAGCTATAAATCGAATATCATCAGGATATTCGATTAGATCGAAACCAAATGTTGTGTAATAAAAAATTATGATAAACGCTAGAAAAAATTGAAAACGTTCTTTGACAGATAAAGATATCAGAAAACATTTGGATGGTTTCAACAATAAAAATTTACTATGATGATCATAGATTGAACCACCTGAATAAGAACTTAAATAAAGAAATGATTGAATGCAATAGAATTGATTTAAATAATGGTCAAAATTAGCTTGCAGTAGTGATTTATTAAACATTTTTCTTATAATCTGAAATTGAACAACCATTTTGATCTTCGAACAACAACTAAATGATACAATGAAACTATTTGATAAAATTTTATTCAGAAAAAAATTGTTCAAATATTTTCTTCCGTAATCATATCGATTTTTACGAATTTTTAATTATGAATACGAGTTTTGTAACTATTCGTTTAGTAAATCGATTTCGTTAAGACAATAAGTTCACTTTTTTCAATATTATGAATGAAAAAAATGTTCTAGACTTTTTTTCTAGATTCTTTAGTTCTAGATTTTTGTTTCATCTCTCAAATCCATTCAAAAAAAACGTTTCATATTTCCAAAAAAAATCGATTCCATTTTTTTCATTACACAACATTAAGTAAATATTTAAATTTTAGTTTTAAAAAAAGGAATGAAAAGTTATTTATTTATGAATTAAATCAACAAAATGTGTTCTGCTGCTATATGGTCTTCAATTTTATTTTACTGTTATAATTCATTAATGATTTTGACTTTTTTTTTGTTCATTTAAACAATTTGTTGGTTAGCATAACAAAACGAATGTAGAAAATGATCATCTAGACAAAATAAAAACAAGAAAAAAATATCATAATTATAATCTTTGAATAGGAAAAACAAAATTCTACCTTTGCGAAAACGACTCGTGTCAATACGGTAAACGGGCCAAGTTTCATACCCCATTTATTTTTGCTAACCATTCGTTCATATATAAACAATAAATGTAATTTGAAACAACTATCCGATATAGAATTTGTATACCAAATTGTTTTTTGTAAAAAATAACCAAATGAATTAAGTTTAGTATTCAATTTCGAAATCCAATATGTCAATATTAAAAGATTTGAATAATTAAGTAATAGATAATAATAAAATAAAGCACGCAATAGATATTGATCAGAACGAACATTTTCAATACAACTCCAAACAAATTGATTGATTACAAAGGCAATGATTATTGCCATAAAAATTAATCGTGAATAATATGGTTCAATCTGTTCAACGAACAAGTGTAACCGTATATACATTAAATAACTATGTAGAATATGTTTTTCTTTCATTTTATTCAACATAGTGGTATGATTTTTTTTCGATATTCGATTGATTCTCAAATTTTTTAATGAATTAACGAAATCTGTGTGAAAAATATTGATGACACGAAATCCCAGCATAATAACATAGTAGCCAATCATAATTGGACAATATATAAATGTTAATAAGAAATCAATAGAAATACAGGTAATTTGAAATCCAAATACACGTCCAATAACTTGCCATAATGGTTTTGTTTGTATGAATTTGTCCAATTTAATCAGATGTCCTAAACAATTGACCTCAACTGTTTATAAAAATAAAAATAATTAAATATTAAACAAAATTTTAATCCAAATATGTAATTGAACTTACAATGAACTAATCTTGCCAAACAATAGAATTTATTGAATGATGATTTAAATTCAACAAATTTCGGATCAAATCTTTGCCGAAGATAATCAAAAAGTATGACTGTTGATCGTGAAAATTCTATTTCATTGGCCACAAATTTATCCAAAATTTTATTGTTTGTTTCATATTCATATGAATACATAATAAACGTTCGAAATGCTTTCGATATTTCGGTATTGAACGATTGATAAATAGTAAAACCAATGGTAATTAGAGCGAACATAACAAACGATGAATAAATACGTCGTAATGAACCATATTTAACCTCGGTAATTAGATTAAAATCACCAACTAAAAATTCAATCGTATCGCTATAATGAATAAGATCGAAGCCTGAAGTTGCATAATAAAATGTGACAAATATTAATAACAGAAAACAAATTTTTTCTTCGCGTGGTAAATTTGATTTAAAATATTTGTGTGGATGATTATCCAGTAGAAAAAAACTTGTATGATAGTTATAAATAGATCCATGTTTTGTCGATGAAAAAGATCGGATATAAAATGGTGATAATCGACAATACATACGAAATAAATAATCATCTATTAGTTTAGACATTCTGATTCGGATAAATGTCATCACTTTATTTTCTGGTTCTTAAATGATTGGATTGAAATTTCTATAAAGAAGAAAATGTTTTCAACTTGTCAACCCTTCAAAAAACAAGAATTTTTCTTATGTTGTTTTGGTAACGAATAAACTTTTTCTAGAAAAATGTATAATGATTTATGAATGTTTTTAAGATAGCCTACATCATTAATTGAATTCATTTCAAAAAAAAACAAAAACTAAAAATTCCAAATTGACATTTAACATTTCTAATTTTGTTTTCCTTCTATAACAACATGTGTGAAAGTATTAAAAATTGAAAAAAAAATTTCATGAACAATTTACTTTCAATAATTTTAATAATTAACGATGTAGTAAGTATGAAAGAAAATTGGTTGGCTAGCAAACGGATCGATTATAACAATTGCGTCATATTTTCGAATGACTAGAACGTTTTTTTCACCATAACATGAATGTCGATTTTTTTCCATTCTTAACTCATTATACATACAGATATTTTAAGAATTAAAAAAACTCAAATGAAAAAAAATTGTTTAATTAAATATTTTTTACCTTAAAAAAATTCATAATATAATTACAATATTTGTTTGTTTCTGGTAAGTAGTAATAAACTTTTTTGTGTAATTTTTGATGTTGATAATCATTAAATATTTAAAAAGGGAAGAAAAATTAACGATAAAGAATTTGAAACAAAAGTTTAAAAATTAATTTTTTTTTGTTAATTAAAATTATTGAAAAAATTATTGATTAAATGTTCCACCATGTAATATGAGAAATGAATCCCGTTTAATATTAAACAATGCATGACTTTTACCCATTTTATGGCTAAATTTTATTCTTGAACGTTTTTTTTCACGTTCAAAATCATGTAGATTAATACGGCCATCGGTAAAACGAAATATTTTTGGCCATGAAGCAATAGTCGGAAAATTGGCATCAAATTCATTACCAGTTGGTAAAATTTCATTGACAAAAATTGGCTTTGAAGATGGGGGCTGTACAACAGGTACTAATGGTTTACCACCATTTAATCGACGTTCCAATGGTGCATCTAAATCACCAATATCATTATCAATATGATTCGAATGTAATGGTGGTCCATTAGATAATTGTGCCATAAATTTGTCAAAAAATAATGGCATCATTTGATGTAATGTTGGTGGAAATCCTTGATTCGTTATTCCTGGATTGAAAATTACTTGATTTTGTGATTGTGGTGGTTGCTGTTGTTGTATTGATGGCTGATTATGATTATTATTATGATTATTGTTGTTGTTGTTGTTTATATTTTTTGGATGAAAATTATTCTGTCCACTACCGCCATTATTATTATTATTATTATTATTGTTCATATTATTATTGTTATTGTTATTATTTTTCAAACGTGAAGGTTTAAATTCATCATCCATTTCAAGATCATTGATCGATACATCTTCTGCAGATAAACCACGATTATTCATATTGTTATTATTATTCATTTTAAATGAATTAAAATTTCGACCACGAGATGATTCAATTATTTCCCCGAAACGACGTTTAAATTCATTTCGATTATTTGATATATTATTGTCATTATTGAATGAATCATCTCGTTTATTGATCATCGAATTATTTTCAATAATTTCTACCATATTAGCATCAGTAACATTTGGTTTAGTCAATATAAATCCTTCATCATTACTGAGCAATGGTAATCGTTTATGAAACATCATTAAACGTTGATGAGAATCCAGTTGATCACGTTGATTAGTATCAATTGGATGATTGGTAATCAATGGCGATGCAGTAGTCAATGTCATCATTCGTCCAGATGTAGATTGTTGTGTAACTGATTGATTTGTTGGTTTTGTTGATGTTTCTGTTCGTGTTAAACGTTTCAATTCGATCACCGGTACTGACCAGTGCAATTCATTGTCATTTTTATTGCGATGTTGAGTATCGGATTTTTGTGGATATCGAAGATGATTAAAATCATTATGATTGTTAGCAGATCGTGCAGTATTTGTTCGTCTCATAAAAGGTCGTAAAACATGATCGCCGGATTTCGATGTGTGATATGGGTTCTGTTCATCAACAAAAGTTTGTGTATTGGAATTGAATGGTGTATTTATCGATACGAGATCAGACGATTGATGATATTGATTTGGATGATATAGATTAGATCCATTATAATAATTAGTATAAATAATTTTATTTGTTTTTGGTTCGACAAGTTTAGTCATCATTAACATTTTCAAACGAGGATTTACTTCATTCGATTTGGCAATTGTTGAATGTTCTGGTTGATTATCATTGTTTGATTGTTGATTAAAAAATCTGTTATTATTGGTTTGATATGAATTTGGTGGCGGTAAAATGATCGATGTTGGACCATCATTTGATTCGCTAGAATCTAATGGCATAATAACAGTTCCTAAATTTTCACCCATATCATAATCATCACCATATGTTTCATTATAATGTGTTGTATTCACATCGAAACTATCCTCAAACATTAGATCAACGTTTAAATCACTGAATTGTTTAAGATTTGGTGACATTTTTGTTTTCTTTTTATTCTTTTTTACAAGTTGATAGGTTGTTGTTATGTTCATTGTTGGTGATTTATCATTCCAAACAGCTAATGTATCACTATTATTTTGTACGATTGATGGCAATAGATTTTTTGGCTTAACAATAAACGTAGCTAATGGCCGTATTGATCTAATATTGGAAATTTTTTTCATATGAAAATCTTTAATCATATTTTTCTGTTGATTTTGTTGTAAATTATTTGTTTTTGTTTGTAAAATTCTGACATTTTGATGATAAGGATGATGATGATTTGAGATTCGTTGCTGTCCAAAAACAACAACAAAATTATGACTAAACAAAGATATCATGATTGTCATTATGATTAGAATCAATATGGATGATGGTTGGTTTGATGATGATGATGATGATGATGGTGATATTAATGATGTAATAAATGATGGCCGTTTTTGGTGATATTGATGATGATGATGATGATGATAATTTGACAAAAATCCAGCTTTGACATTCAAATCATCACTATTATTATTAAATTTTTGTCGAATAAAATGTTTTAACATTTTGTTTTTATCAATAACATTATTATTTTGAATCCTAAACATTAAGGATTCTTTTTGATCCTGTAAATAAAAAGAAAATAAAATTGAAAATTAGTAAAAAAATGACAAAATACAAAATAAAAAGATTATAATATAATGTGATAATTGTCGTTAATTTAATTTTATATTTCGTTGACGATGATAATTGGTGAAGAAATTAGTGGCAATTTTTTTTGACCATTGAAAACATTCAAGGAAGATAGAAATAGTAAACAACGTACCACAATATTTTGTTGCAGAAAACAAAAAGATAAAGAGAGAAAAAAGAATGAAGAAGCTATTATATATTAATAGATTATATAGTCATTTTCAGCTATTTTAATGATGATGGTCATCATCAATAATCAACACAGGTAGTTTTTAAAGATAATTTTATATTCTAACACGAACAACAACAACAACTAATACAAAATACGGATGAAATTAAAAAAAAAACCACAAAACAAGGAATGAAAAAATATGATAATTTTTTTTTTTTGAAAACAAAAAAATATATCCATCATCATCATCATCATATCAACAACAATAATAATTTCATGAGAAATTATTTTTCATTTATAAAACTATCATCATTATATTCAGTTAACCAAACATTTTGACAATGATGATGATGATGATGGCAAAATCATGAAAAAAAATGTTTATAAATCTTTTTTTCTTTCATATTTGTTTCAGTACATGTATATATGTGTTGGATTAAAGCAAAAAATTTTAATTTTCAATTTGTTTCGAAAATAAAAAGGTAGATTGGAAACGTTGTTACTAAAATGAAACAGGAAAAAAAATGAATGAAGAGAAATTCATAAATAATGTGTGTGTGTGGACATCGAGGACAATGATGATTGGAAAAAAAAAGTTGGAACAGGATTCAAAATGTTCAACTATGACGATTATGATCAACAACAAAAAAATGATTCAATTATATGAACAGACCTTTCTTTACGAAAAAAAATGAATGATACTAATCTCACTGAGTGATGCATCATCATTTATTTGTTACAAGATTGAAATTTTATATTGAACATGTCATTTTTACTTAATTTGATCTGTTGTGGATTAAAATCCTTTTTTTCCCTATGTAATAAAATATTTTGTAGCGAATGTCAAATGTCCGTCAATTGGCCGTCAAATCAAATTGTACACATATACAGAAAAGATATTCAGGGACATTTTATTTTAGCTCTAAATTTTCTTGTTTGCTCCCAAATTTTTATTTTATTTCAATTTCGTAAAATATTTAAATTTTATTTTTCTTCTTTTCGTTTCTCTAATGGTCACAAATGAAAATGGAACAAAAACGAAAAAAAAACATGATGATGATTGTCGAAAAAACAATGTGAATTGTTTTCAAATTTTCACATCCTCTATATATTATATTCTCTATTGTCCATAATTAGTCAATCAACTTGACACTTATCATTATCATAATATAATTATTATGAAATTGAAAAAAAAGAAAACATTTTACCAAATTTGATGACATTTACACGTACACCAAAAAAAAGTGATGACTAATTTAAAAATTACCAAATGGAGCAAATTTTCAAATAGAAAACAAAAATCAAAAGAAAATAGATTCACGATGTGGATTTATTTGGTTTGAATCACGATAATGTTGATAATGTTGGATCGAATACGAAACAATAACTCATTTAGTCATCAAAACTTCTTTGTTCTTGTTTATTTTCATTCTTTTGTTGTCTGTTCAATTTCAATCTTAAACAGAGTTTATTTCGTCAATAAACACTGTAAATCGTGAATATGAACAAAACAAAACAAAACAAATCAAATTCAAAGAATCCATGGCCATGAATCAAGTTAATAAAAAAAGAAATAGAAAATCTACTCGAATGTCGAAGCTTATTTTATTGATGATGATGATAATCATGGCAATCGACTTTTATTTCTGAATTCATTTCGAATCCTCTTTAAATCTAATTAAATTTGTGGTGTGTGAAGAGAAACAAAAAAAAATTCCCTAAATCAATGATGATCAAAATGGATGATTTGGAAAAAAAATTTCACCTTGTGTGCTATATTGATTTACATATTGTATTTATTTAGTTTTGTTTTCAAGTATATTAAAACATCACATTATTTCATTGATGGTGATACTAAATTCAACAAGGATAAATATTGATTGATGTTTTCGATTGTCAAATATTTTTTCATTGAATTATGAATTTTGTAATTAAATTTTTAAATTTTAAATTTTTGTTTGTTTGTTAAATTTCAAAACAAAGTTCATGAACAGAATTAATCAATGATTTATGACTTTATTTTGGATTTTCTTTTTTTTTGAAAATTTGAAAAATCTTTCAAATTTCTTAATCATCGTTAATGATGATAATATGACGAAATGTAATGACAAACAAGTCTAGTTTTTTTTGGTTTATGTCAGATATATTTCTCAACTTTCATTATTCAATTAATCAATTTTTTTTTCTGTTGTTTGAAACAAAGAAAAAAAATCACAAATCTATTACGGAAATGAACAATAATAATGATAGTAATCATCATCATAATCTATAATAAAGAAAATAAAACATGCAAGAAGAAAATTTTATTTACGAAATAAACAACAACAAAAAAAACAAGAAGAGATGAATATCATCAATTAGTTAAGATGATGATGATTATATTGTGATTTCATCATAAGCATCATCATCAAATAATATAAATCCTTATCGAAACTGATCAGCATTATTTATGAATATTATATTATCCAATACTGAATGGAAAAAAAGGAAAAATCATAAACAAACAAACACGAATTTGATGAATGATAAACAAATAAATTCAAAATATACAATCATTGATACAAGGTGAATTGAAAGTGTATTGTTTTTTGAAAAAAAATGTTCAAACAAAGATACCACAATGTTTCAAACATTGTATGGCGAAACATGTGTGTTTGGGTTTTTCTTGATACTTTTACTTGATGGATTTTTGATTTCAAAGTTTTTGTTTTCTTTTCCATTTTTTTCAATCACATTTTGGTTCATTTTTTGTTTGTTTGTTTCGCTCATAGTTTTTTTTGTTATTGTACCATTTGTATTTTGGTCGGAAACTGACTATATTTAGTCATCAAATGTATTGATTGTATATATGACATCGACAATCATCAACATGGACAACAACAAAAGTGAACCATGAATGATGACGTTGAATAAAACATGCTGTGAAAAAAAATGGAATGGACAAAACAAAATTCGTGAGACTCGATTCATTTATGATGATGATGATAAATATTATTAAACAATGAGAGAAAAAAAACAATAATATTTTCAATTAGATCGAATCATTACTGAAATCAATGAAACAATTTAGCAAGGTTTTCGTACAGTTATCATCATCAACCCGAATAAATATAGTGAATGAAACATGTTATGATTGTTTGTTTTGTTGATTGATTTTGATTGATCGATAAATGAAAAAAAAGGTAAAAATTTTTTTTCCTATCGATATTGAGAAACTAAATAAGGAAATAGAAATGAAAATGGTTAAAAAATAAGCATGAAAATAATATTCATAATCAAATGATATGAATAAATATCAATATTTCAATCGAATTCATCGATAATAATAATTATTATTATTTGAACATAGACAATTTCGTGATTTTTTTTGGGAAAAAAATCGTTGACAAATGAAAAAAAAACAAACAAAATTTTAACAGATTGAAAAGACAAAATTGGCTAGATGAGAAAACTTTCTTGAATCGAAAAGAAAAGTATAAAACCGAATGAATGAATGGGGAAATGGAGAAATAAACATTTTCTATGCGTAGATCACATCTGTTTTATGTACAATTATTATGTTATCCAATGATTATTATGATGATGATGATCAATTTGTAACAATGTGGATAATGATAAATCCATTCAAGACATATGACCAAAAGCGAAAACGAAAACGAAGAAAAAAACTTTCTTTCAACTAAACGATGGATGATAATCTTTGTCCATTTTTGCCCGTTAAGCATTAGCAATAAAATAAAATGAGAATCATATAATCATATCATTATCTCTACTATATAATATCATCCTGATTATTGTTCGGGTAGAGCTTGGATAATATGGATTTTTTTTCACTTCGTTTTGTTACAAACAAACACGGCATACAGTTGAATAATGGAAAAAGGAAAATGCAAGTGGAAAAAAGAAAAGTGGCATATAAGTTTATGACATCCACAACAAGAACAACAAGCGGACAAGATTGTGTGATGTGTGTTTGTATACAATGAAATTATGGTTTGGTTTGTTTTGTTTGTACGTTAGAAAAAAAGTGTTAAATATTCACTTTTGAATAGTTGCCGTTTCAGAACGAAGTAAAAAAAACGATAAAGATGGAACCTTATCATCATCATCATCCCAAAAAATTGATAATTATATAATGATATAATGTGTAGAGAAAACTCCACTCCTTTCATATCAACGGAATGATGATTAATGTATCAAATTGAGTTGAATTATAACTGTCGATAAATGATGATGATGATGGTGGTGGTCATCATCGAAACAAGTTATCAACAAGTGTACCACTTGTTGATAGATGTTTTATGTGTATGTTTTTGGTTTGGAGAATGAAACAATTCAATAACCAAAAAAAAACAAACAAACAATTGTTCAGCAAAACAGACTGATGGATTATATTCGAACAAAATCAAGATAAAAAACGAGAGAAAAATGAAATCACTTTCTTCATAAATTTTGCGAATTGATGAGAAACGGATTTGTAATAATTAATTAAAGATGTTTTTCGACTTTGAATTTTTGGCCCCTTTTTTGAAATGTTTTTTCATTTTTTCACTAATTTGACCTAGACAATTATAATTTGTTAATTATTATCAACCATATTTGTTTTTCAAGTTTAGTTATGTTTGTTTTTTTAGCGGTCAAACATTCGACTTTTTTTCTATCATCAAATGATGTTCGACATGTTTTTGAGAATGGTGGTCAGAAATTTTGTTGGAAAAAAAATCAAGACCTACAATGATCGAAAAATATTGCTGAAATCATCGTGATCAATGAAGGCAAAATAAATTAAAGGACCTTACCATTTTTTTTCACTAATTGATGTGTGTCGACAATTAAATCGTCAAAATAACGAAATAAAAACAACAAGAAAAAAAAATTATCATTGAAAATTTTCTTTTCTTTAGTCTGATGTCAACAACAATCACAAGGTGATTATTGTGATTTATTGCAATTTTCAAATTCAATGAAAATTATATAAACAAAAGAAAAATGAAAAGTTTAAAACAAAACAAAACTTATGAAATCATTATTCGAATCAACAACAAAAAAAAAATTGTTAAAATCATCGATAATGTTTGATCAATATGATTTTAACGAGAAAAATAAAAACTTTCATTGTGAACAAAGAGTTGAACACAACGTTAAAAGAAAATTAATGGAATGCGGAAACATTGATAAAAATCGATACGAATTCGATTATTCAGTAAAGGATGTTGTGTAATTGTTTTTATGATTCAAAAAAAGGATCCTAAATTCAATGATAAAGGTTTCATTTCATTCCAAAAAAACAAAACAATGGAAACTGCTTTAGTCAATCGAATTCTGTCATAAAAAATAATCATCATTTGTAGCCGAAAATCTTCATTCGAACTAAAAAAAAAAAGAAAATTTACAATAGATTTGAATGAAATGTTTGATAATTGATAAATTTTGTAATAGTTTTTTTTTTCATTTGGTCTTTCCTGAACTTACCTGATGATTTGTCAATATAATTTTGGAATGATTTTCATGTTGTTGCTGTGATGACAACAATTTGGCCATATAATGGCCATCATCATTCTTTTTATTATTATTATTATGATCATTATGGCGATTTTTATGATTAGGATAACTTACATCAATATTCAAACAATTGGTAATCATTTTTTTATTAGGATTTATAAATTTTTTTCGTTTATCTTTATAGTTACGATATGTTACCGATGACATAATCGATGATGATGATGATGATGATTGTAATGTTGTGTTCATATTCAGATTATTCAATAGTTTTGTTTTGTTTTTCTTAAATTATCAATTTCATTCATTTATCATGACTATTGAAAAAAAAGAAATCATTAAAATTACATTTTTTTCTTCTTCTTCAACACAAAAAAATAAAACATTTGTTTTCACAATGAATGAAACAAAACATAAGTATTTCACAACAATTTTGATTGATCGGATTGAATCACCGATAATCATCGATTCATTTGTTGATCGTTATCAATGATGACATTATCATTTTTGAAAAATTTTCATTAGTTAAAACCATTGAATAATACACAAAACGAATTGAAAATGTCGTTGTGCGTGCGTATGTCATATCAACAAATGAATGAATGAAAGAATGAAAGAATGAAACGACATTGCTTAAGATGAAAACAATAAAGAGGAAAAGGGGCCAACTTTGAAGAAGAAAGAAAAAACAAGAAGAAAGGTGTGTTTTTGAAATGAAAAAAAAATTGTCTGTGTATAACTGTTATGTATATGATGATCTTGAGAATGAGAGAGAGAAAAAAAACAAAAAAGATGTTTATTTGGAACAGAAACATCAACACAGTGAAATGTAAAAGCTACAGCGATACGGACTTTTGGATATTTTCTTGTTCCAAACAAGAAAAAATAGAAAAATTAACAAAATAATCATGAATATCATCATCATCATCATTTGAAGAAATATTCAACAAACAAAACATCTTATTTATTTTCAAAATGATGATGTTAGATTCAATCGCTTCAAAAAGAATAAGAATAAGAAGAAGTAGAAGATGAAATCTAATCCGAACAAAATCATGATCATTATCATCGATTCACGAATATATTTCTCAATCATGATGTGGATGATGATAATTTGAAGCAGATGATGATGATCAATATCAATGACAGTATTAAGATTTGAAACAACAACAACAAAATTCACATGTCATTGATAGTGATGATAACATCTGTATCATTTTCATTTCATTCTGTTGTTTGATTTGATTGAAATGATCAACCAATTAAACTGCAAGAGAACCATTGTTTTTTTATTTTTGTTTTAATTGTAAATCACACAGGTGATTTAGATAATTTGAAAATTTATCCTAAAAAAACAAACAATAAACGTTTAATTAGGTAGCAAATAAATCATTCAAGAATATGTCATAGATGATAATTGGACAGGTTTTTTTTTGTCTATTTTCCGGTTGATAGTAAATGATGTCATCTATTTATGTTTCGGTTCCGACAATCTTTTTTTGTTGTTGTTGTTGTTGTTTCGTCCCGGTAATAAAATTATATCACTCAGTTGTTGATGATGATAATGATGGTGGATAAGAAAGAGAGATTATTAGAGATGTTTTAAAAGTGAAACATCTTTTCAAACAACAACAACAACAACAAACAGGACATGACAATTTATTTATTTATAAATGACTGAATGAAACATAACAATAGATTGTTTTTAAAATCCTAAAGGAAAAAAAAAGATATCCGAAAAAAATGAAAATAAATGGCAAAAAATAGGCAATTAGTGTAAAGATCATTGGGAAGAATTGCTTCAATGATATCAACTTATTATCTTATTTTTCAAATGAATGTTCGATCATAATCAAAATTAATTTTATATCCATCGAGATTCAATCGATTTTTGGATCGAAATTAAAATCGAATTAAATTCACCATACACAATGTGAAATAAATGATATCATGTTTGGTTTATACGTTGTTAGTTATACATGGATTGTATGAATTAGATATTCGAATTATATTTTGGCCACATTTTTGTTGCAAATTATGATTACGAAATAGGTATTGATTTTATCATTTTGATTAACCAAAATTTTCAACAAAATCTAGGTGCTAACCTATAGAAAGGTCTTAATTTGACCTAATAGGGCGACGCCGATGTATTTCAATTGGCTAGAATGTCCGGCTTTTATAAATCTTTATGAATGAGTAAATTAAGATACCGGAAGGTTCTGGGTTCGAGTCCCAGCATCGGCGAGGTCCATTTTTTTTTATTTTTTTCATTATTATTATCCCATTAATTTATGCTTTGAACGTGTTTCGAAAATTGCATGTTACATATCAAAACACTATCAAATTATAATGGTTTTCCAATTTTTGTTTTCCTCTCCATTCAACAACAACAACCGTGATTATCATTATTATTATCATGGATCGAATGGTTAGACAGAAAACATTGAACATTATTATGATAATATATATAATTTCAAATAAATCATATATATGAATGATAATGAAATATTTGACCATCATCATCATACAATATATGGAACATTGAAAACTCATTCTCATTGATTCAACAAAACAATGGAACAACAACAACAACAAACCACAAATCAAAACAAAAATTCAATGATATTGTTGAATGATTTTAAGATATTAATGTAAAATCAGTAATTTGCATATTAAAAAATAAAAGTAACGAGGATTTAGTAATTAATTAATTAATTTTTGTTTCTCTTTTTGTTTTCAAATTTCTATTTTCATTTTCTTAAATCATCATCATTGAAGGTGTGTCATTCATTGTAAACAACAACAGGAAAAAAAATCGTGATATGAATAAAAGGCGGTGAGCCACTCGGTTATGTCATGTTGTTTATAAACAAAAAAAAAAACCGAAAAAATTTCATTTCCCAAAGTTCCATATTTGATGAACAAAATCTCCATATCCAAAAATTCAAAATGATGATGATGATGATCATCATCATATAATCATCATCGATTTAGATTTGAAATTATAATTCATGATAATAATCATAACAACAACAACAAAACGAATGAAACATGTGATTTGAATTTGCTTTTTTTTGGGGATTCCTATGATCAAACCTATTTTTTTCCATTATCCAGTCTATTCAATGATTTTATTTCGAGATGATAATCATCATGTAAAAGGAATGATTCAAAAAGTAAAAGATTTACAAATTTCACAGACAAACGTTTACGTTTAGGGTTTTCGCACAAATAACAACCTTCAATGATGATTTTTTTGTTTTGAAAAAATGAAATTTTTTTTCTGCTATTCATGCCTGACATGAATGGATAATTCAACAATTATTTTCAACAATTCATTCACTTTTCAATGAGAATCTAATTATTAATTCAATGGATTTTTATCAATTTTTATCAATTGTTTTGTCCAAGTGAAGAAGAAGAAAAACTAATTGATAATCATTTTTTTTTTTTGATTTATATTTTTTGAATGGATTTCTTTTTTTAATTTTACTTCTGAAAGAAAATTCATAAGAAATGTGAAAAAAAATATTTAAATGAATAAATGAAAAAATCAAAACAAAACAATGACATATACATGTTTTGGATATGGAGATTCAATTTATGTTCGAATGAAAAGCAAAAAAAAAATCCGAATCATTTTTTTCCATCAGTAATGAATGATGGAAATATCGAAATCCGACGAGAAAAAAAAACTAACAAACAACCAAGCCAACAACCAAACCTATTTGAATATGGAATTTATTTATTCAAATGATGATAATTCTCTTAATATGGATACCGTTTATGTTTATGGATGCTTGTCAATCAAAAAGATTTTTTTTTTCTCTCTCTCTCCATAAATGTATACCAAATAGACAAATGAATTTTGTTGTTGTTGAAAATTGATGATGCTTATTCATTCCCATCAACATCATTATTAAAAATCGGTTATCAAACAAACAAACAAACAAACAGTGGATTGTTTTGGAAAAACTAGTCAAAACAGATTGATGACAGACAATAAGACAAACAAACGATGAATAAATCAATTTTTTTTTTCTTTCAAATGAAATCTTCGAATGATCCAAAATAATAATAATAATAATGATAAACTTCCAAACAACCAAAATCCAAATTGTTTCATTCATCATTTCGATGACATTTATCTGATAATAAAGATGATTCCTTCATAGATTGTTGATTAATGATTCTATTGTTTTCACCGAAAAAATCACTCAAAAAAATAGACAAAATTCTAAAAAAATTTTCAAAATAAAACCATATTGCTCATGTTATTCTTTCAAAGATGGGTAAATTATACAATTCAATAATGAAATATTTGTTTTATCTCATTGATGGCTACACCTTTCCTACCTTTGTTTAATTATGTTAATTTAATTTAGAACAAAAACAAACAAAAAGAGATTGAATATATTGAAGAAACAATTTATCATTCATTTGAATATAATGGAAGAAAGCCAGAAATTTTGTGTTCAATTTATTATTATCGGTGACCATCCTTTGAAGATGTTTGTTTTTTTTCGAATCTCATTTATCATCATTATATTATCATCACCATCAGGAATATAAAACAGAAACCAGAACAACAAAAAGTTTGATGATGATAAAAGATGATGATTACAATACTAACTAACTAACTAAATAATTATTATAATGAACAATTTCCATTGTTTTAATATGATCGTTTGTTGTTTTTTTAATAAGTTTTGTTTTCAACCCTTTTTTTCATTAATTTATTTTGTTTGTCTTAATTATTTTATTTTTTTTTTAAATACAATGTTCAGATGATCTTCATTTATTATCGTCATTTTCAGAATCAATTGAATAAAATGACAAACAAATATATTTGTATGAAGCTTTTTTTCGATGATTGTTTGACGAAAAAATAATCCGCCCATGATTTCAATATAAACATTATCGAAAATAATTTGATGATGATCAACTAGATCAAATTTTGATTGATAAAAGCGGATGTAATTTTACCATCATGATGATAAATTCAGGGTGAGATGATTTGTTTAATGACATCATCATCATCCTGTACAAAATTGGATAGATAGAAAAAAATGATGAATAGATAAAGTAAATTGAATGCATTTTCTTTCATGATTTTTATTCACAATTGTTTCCGTTGTTTGGTAGCATACAAACAAATTTGCTTCAACAGTTTTTTTTATTATTTTCAGTGATGAAAAAAAACTATCCCAAAATGATATATCATAATGATCATCAACCATTGTCGATGACAATAACAGATTTATGATGTGATCAAAATTGAAATGAATAGAGAAAATTAATGAATTTCTATAACCATTGTGATGTGTGTTGATCAAAAAAGAAAAAAATTTCCACTTTCTTTTTTTCCACAATTCACATTTCCGAGCTGTTTTTTTGATGCAATAATTTTTCGACTTTTTCACACATCATCATCATCATCATTATCATCAACAACAAACGTTGGAACTTTTTTTCGAACGAAGCAAAAATCGGTATTGTTCATTTGTTATTTCTTATTGATAATTATAATATCATATTGGTCATTGGCGTTATATAATTATTTATCAAGAAAATATTTCCTGATAAGCTGTCAATATTGTCATTTAAATCAATTTGCAAAAAAAAATATAATGATTGAGTGAACACAGGTTAATTACTTTGTGAGAAAAAATTTTACTGACCAAAACGAAACAAAACAAAACAAAAAAATATTGATCATAAGAACATAGTTTGTTGAATTGAGAATCATATTTCTTGTTATTAAAATTTGATTCAATTTATCGATAACAATCATTGATGGATCGATCAATCAATCAATCAATAATGATTGATAAAGTAATTTTGTTTGGTCGAAGAAAAAAAACAATTTTCTTCTTGCAAACAAATTGATTGAAAGAAAATAGAAAAAAAAATTTCGTGAATAAAACTTGTAATTTTAATGAATAATGGTGATCATCATTAATTCATCATTTAAACATCTTTTAAAATAATTTGTCGACTTAAATGACAATATAAAATAAAATAATAATGATGATGATGATCCATCAATCATAAATATGAAGTACAGCTAGGTCATGTATAATTTGATGTAGAATCTAATTGATTAGATTATCAATCAAAAAAAATGAAGCAAAAATTAACGCAATTATCATCGTACTTAGGTCAATTTTGTTTGTTGAATTCCTTTTTATTAATTTATTCATTCAATTCATGGTTATTTCTATTCAGATTTTGATAAAAATTGCAATATGTATTTAATCAGATCAGGATATGATAAAAATCATTTCGTTGTTGATGATGATGATGATGAAAACCTGATTTAAAATTCTTAGAAATAAGCAAAATAAAACAAAACAAACTGATACAAAAAAAACATGGATAAGGAAATATAGCAAAATGTGAATCATTAGTAAGAAAAATAGAAAGAAAAGTGAATCATTATGATCCATATGGATGCGGAAGACTATTTTCTATTTCTGATTTTTTTTTTGCATCCGTATAGGATCATTGTTGAAATTTCATTGCATTCATTCATTTTTATCAACATCGTTAACAAATGATGAGAACCAAATTATTCAATATGAATTTTTCCATATGATGTGTCCATCCACATCTATGATCTGTGTGTTTGTGATGTATGATTTTTAAGGTTGGACAATGATGTTGAATAATGACAGTGTTTATGAAAATACAAAAAAAAAGAAACCATTATCATTCAAAACACACACACGCACGTACATAGATATAGATTTAACGCCTTGTTCGATGATATCAACAAAATGAAAATATAGTGAATTAATGAAAAAACTGAAAGCGAATTAATGAAAGGAGAAAAAAATCAACATGATAACGATCCTTGATCTTTAATGAACAAAATCATTCTTTTTTCTCATGTTGAATACTTTTTTGGCTATTTATCCACATAATCAATTTGATGATGATAATTCTTAAAGATTAACAATCTGATCTTCCGATCATTATCATCATTGTTAAGAATTTAAATTGATAATTCAATTGAGAAAAAGAAAAGATGATAATTTTTTTCCGTACATGTTCCGGTTACAAGAAAAAAAAATTGAAACAGAAATGAATATCTCTGTAACAATGAAAAACAATCTTTTCATATTGTAGTCCAATGATACAATTATGAATTTGGATTAACTTTTGACAATAAAATAAAATTGTTACATTGAATTATTTCTACAACAACAGAAAAAAAAGTAAACTAGCAATCATCATTATCTTATCATTCAAAGAATTTTCTTTTTCCTACTTTTCTTTTGCATTTTCAACAAAATTTAATTGTATAATAGTTGTATACGTGTTTCTCAAAAATCATCATCATTATCCATTGATAGAATGGCCAAATGAATGAAAGAATGAAAATTGTAACGTTACGTGTTTCTTTTGAGTGAAACAATAAAACAAGAAAAAAAACAACAAGGATTGAATTGAATTGAGGAAATTCAAAATGATAATTATCGTTGATTATGATCATCATCATAATAATCATGATGATGAGTAGTTATCATGGTAAAAATAAAATAAAAATCACAATCAACCAACCAGCTTGGACATTATCTGTAATCAGGAATCAGCTAGTCATATTCAGAAATTTATTGAATTATCATCGACAAGGTGTGGTCTGTCAGCCGGTCGGTCGGTCGGTCCATTTCATAAGAGAGAAAGGAAATAATAATGATGATAATAATTACCGAATGATAATGTTTATTGTATTCTGACATTAGTGTCATTACATACATACAAACAAACATAATGACATAAAGTTCATCATGATTTTCACCATCATCATTCACCGAATTCATTTGTGACAATTTTTGTTTTTTTTTCAATTCAATTGTTGTTCAAAATGAATTTTTCAGCCATTTTTTCAGTTTTAATTTTGTTTTGTTTTGTTTTGTTCATCATGATCATCTCAAGACATTTTCATTCACAAATCCAGGAAAAAAACATTTCATTCATTTTAAACGGAACATAAAATGAATGTCATTAGCTTTTTATCATCATCATCATCATTATGATTTAATAATCAAAAAAAAATATGAAGCAGCAATGAAAGAATGAATTTCACTGAACTGTTCCTGAAACAACGAATTGATTGAATAGAAATGAATTCATAGAAAAAAAAGGGACAGATTTTCTTCATTTTTTCTTTCTTATAAAATAAATAAATAAATTTTCAGATTCGTATTAAAAACACTAGCACACAAACACACACACACGCACATTTCATAAAAACAAATAAAATTTTTTACCTGACCTGACCTTATGGATTATTATTATTATTATTTTGTTTTAAAAAAAAGAAAAGAAAAAATTCAATGTCGTAAATTGTGATCATCGTATCATCATATTTTTTTACCACGGTTATCCATAAAGTGTCAACATCAATATTAACGTATCCATTTGAATTTTACTGAATATATTTCGTGGATTGATAAATTGTCTAAATAAATATCATTTCATTCATCGGTTGATGTTAAAATTTTTTTGAATGAAATGTTTTTTTTTCATTTGGAGTCATATCGAGAGGAGAGAGAGTGAGTAAAACACATAATTTAAATTTGATATTTCAATGCCGAAACACTGAATTGATGAAATATTGGATATTTTTTCCCATCTTATTTGTGGAACAATCCTGTTTGCCTGTAGTTGGTTAACACACGAACCAATCGATGAATTGATGAACAAAAAAGAAATTCATCACCTATTCTAGCTGCAATCTCTCCATCCTTTTGTTTGTTTTTAATCGATCGATATTCAATGTGAAATATAAATGAAAAAATGTAAACCAAATGGAATTTATAAATAAATTTTCTTCTGAAAATTTCCAAATTTTTTTTGATGATCTGGTTGGTGCTGAAAAAAAGTAAACATGAACTGAATATTGATTGTAGCTTTGTTCAAACAATGAAATCGAATATGTTAAAATTCATTTTGGCATATTTTTAATAATAATAATAAAAAAATCAATACGAAAATTTTGGCGGTTTATGAATTATGAATTTGTTTTTTTTTTTGACACGTCGTATTTGAATGGATAATAGCGATGCAAGTTTTGTTTTCACACAATGCATTTTTTTAACGTCATCATTGTCGACAAGTTTTGTTGACATCGAAGTTTTTTTTTCTTTATTTTGTTCCATCAAAATTACCATTATGAACATCATTATTATCATCAATAATAAACGTTTCATATATCTAATTTATATCTAAATTTATGTTGCTTTTATAGTCATTTAATTTAAACGATCTTTACACAATAAATAATAATCATAAAGGTCAGAATAAGAAAGTAAGATTGACCTCTTTTCGATTTGATGTGAATTTTTTCTCTAATCGAATCATTCGTTTTTATTTTCTTTTACAAAAATCTATTCTCACAATAGGTAAAATATTGGCTTTAATCATTGTTAAAGCTTACGGTTGAATTTGTGTCAAATTATATTTATGAGAAAAATGAATGATTGGCGTCGAGCAATACGAACACCGATTTCATATTCGGTACCCGGTTCTAGTTCAAATCTTATTCGACAACAAACAAATTTTGTATCATTTGTAATATTGTCCGGTGCATTGGTTTTATTAATACTTTATGCATTCATGCCACCAAATAATAATGATACGATGCAAGCATTAAATGATGAACATGGCCATTGGCATGAAAAATTAGTTGCCTGTGATTGTCTTTCCTATATTAGTCAGGGACATGATAATAATTTATTTGTATTAAATCGAACCTATCCTATGACATCAATCGAAACAATGAATGATGGCCGTTTACGTTATCGTATTGCTGCTGTTGCTGATTTAGATAAAAAATCTAAATCAATGTCCAGGCCAAACACATATTTATCGTATATGCTAAACGGTGTACTTATATTTGATCCTCATTCCCAAACTGTTGAAGTGAATTTCGAGCCAAAAGAAATAGAATTAAGTTCTGAATTCTCTTCTGGTGGCCGTGGAATGGAATTATCTGAATTAGTCGTTTTTAATGGAAAACTCTACACCTGTGATGATCGAACTGGTATTGTTTTTGAAATTCGAAATTCTTTATTATTACCTTGGATTATTCTTCCTAATGGTAATGGTCAGAGCACCGGTAAAGGATTCAAATGTGAATGGATGACAGTCAAAGATGATCATCTTTATGTTGGTAGTCTAGGCAAAGAATGGACTTCACCTAATGGTGATAAAATCTATAATTATGATCCACAATATGTTAAAAGAATTTCCGCATTTGGTCATGTTGAACATTTGGATTGGAGGCTACGATATATTGAATTACGAAGAGCGGCTGGTATCGAAGCACCGGGATATCTAGTACATGAAGCAGCCGTATGGAGTAAGGAGAGAAAACAATGGTATTTTTTACCACGTCGTGCTTCACATCAATTATATGATGATTCATTGGATGAGAAACGTGGTACAAATATTCTTTTAGTAGCTAATGATAATTTTACAACGATCAACAAGACTGTGTCCATTGGTCCATTGATAAAGACGCATGGATTTTCTTCGTTAAAATTATTACCATTACCTGATGAAGTTAAACTTAGCCCATTGGGTTCAGAAATTGCCATTGCGATCAAATCAGAAGAGGATAATGAAGCTATTGCCACATACATAATGATTTTTCGTCTACCTGATGGACATATATTGTTACCTGAAACGAAAATTAGCTCAAAACATAAATACGAAGGAATTGAATTTGTTTGAATTTATTTTATTAGGAAAATTTTATTTTGTAATATGAATTTATCAATTTTGTCTATTCCATAAGTGCCTACACATTTGTATATTGATACTTTATTCATCTAGTCTCATTTTTTAAATTTCTTTCATACGAATGAATTTTATCACATTAATTCTATTTAATTCAATTTTTTTATATATCTGTTTACAGAAAATTCAGACAAACATCAACAAAAAAAATGTATAGCGAATTAAGTTGAATTTTGATGTTTCAAAAATTAAAGATGCATATAATTAATGGCAGTTTTTTTCTTGTTTACGAAAACAACTTCTTAAATGAATTTTATCAGGAAAAAATCTCAATCATGTGATTGGATAGATGTTTACTTGAAACTCAATGAAACTTCAAGAATTTTTTTCCAATCAAAATTTATGACTGCTAAAAGTCAGATCTCCGTTTATGTTCAAATCTTTCTTTGTTCGTTTTTTATCAACGTTAATGATCATTGGTACCCACATTGTTATTGATATAATTGAAACATAATGATATGGCTTCTTTTAGATAAACTAAAATTCGATTGATTTTTCTTTCGTCATTACTCGTTTGACTAGTTTAAAAAAATTATTATTTTTTCTTATTTTAATCATTTTTTCTTGAATTATTTTCTAAAAAATTCCAGGCGTGATTCCAATATCGAAAAAAAACAATGTCAATAATCGATGAATCTTATGAAAAATTTCATTCAATTGGTTCAAAATTGCCAATAAATTATGCGAAAAATGATGAAAATCATCTGCCACCTTGGATCAACATTAATCAAATTCAACGTATTCGATCATTGTATAAACAATATTCTTATAGTTTGTTTATGGCTCATATCGCTGGTCTATTAGTGTTAATTTTTAATCCATTCATATATAAAACATTGAACGCAACAGGCAAATCAAAAAATTTGGTCACATTATTTTATCGTTATTATTATACAGCAAAATTTGTTAGAGATTGGTATAAAAATAAAATCTGGGTGAAAGGTGATTGCAGTTATGAGACAATACAGTTGGTAAGTCTTTGTACGTCTTGGAATTAAATTAATTTTCGTTTAAATATTTTGTTTTATCATAAAAATAAGGTGAAGAATATGCACGCTAATGTATCGGATAAACAAAATGAAGGAAAAATTGTGAATAAAGATATAATGGAAATTTCCTGTGCAGATATGACAATTACACAATGGGCATTCATTGGATTATTGGTGCTTTATCCAGAAAAAGTAGGTTTTTCAACAAAAAGAGAAGATATTGAATTGGTCATACATTTTTGGGCAGTAATTGGTTATATGTTGGGCATTGAAGATGAATATAATCTTTGTATTGGTAATCTAGATACTGTTCGACAACGATGTCAGATAATAATGGAAAATGATCAACGACCATATGTAAAAAATTTTGATAAAGATTCGGCTAAAATGGTGGAAAAAATTCTCATATCATTAAATCAATTTGTGATTGGAGCAAAATTTAAACCATTTATTAAATATATTTTCGACATGATGAATATTGAAAAATCATTGCCCATCACAATGAATCGAATGGATATGTTTATCTATCGTGTATTGATGTATATATTACAAAATCTATATTTTAATTATGTAATTATTCGATTTTTAATTAATCAATACTATGAATTGGTTTGGTTTGTGTTGAAATCCAAAACTGTCCAACAATATATTGCAAATCGTTTAAGAAAAATGGATCAATCTATGAATTGATTGGCTTTTAAGAATTTCGCATAATTCTTTTGCATAAACTTTTTAAATTCATTTTTTTAAATTTATGATTTTAATAAAATTAAAATTACTAATTCTTTACATTGGATTATAAATACTGATGAATAAAATTATTATAAATGTTGCCATTGGTCACATTTGTTTCATCAGTGATTTGGAATTTAATTTTTTGTTGTTGTTTTTGATATTAAAATCAACTATCACCATCTGGTATCTATTTTTTACATTAATCATAAACTTTGACCATCATTCCGATTGTCAAAGCAAAAATGGTGAATAATACAAAATATGTTAGATAATGACCGCATGTTTTTAAAAGTATTTTTTTCGATGGTGATCGTAATCGATTGAGATCGAATTTTCGTAGTAAATCTGTGAATGCTAAATAGATAAATAAATAGGCTACAAACATCCATAAAAATTGTTTATTTTTCTTAATAGCCGCCATTAGTATATTGATCAATGCTAATGTATGAGCCATTGTACCAATAAACCAATGAACATAATTAAAAATAATCCGATAATCCGATTGATTATTTGGTTTCAAGAATCCAGTAGCTGCCTGTATGGTGATCAATATTGTTGCTGCATATCCAATCAATGCATGTGTATTGGTATTTAATTTACCGGCTTGTATTATAATAATAATGATCGATGAAGCATTACAAATGAAACCAATAATTGCTGTACATTGATGTAAACGATACCATAATGCAGCACCAAATAATTTTCTATCACGCCAAAGATCTCCAGTACATCGGGCACATAAAAATGATGAACTAATACAACCGATCCAACCTATTAATGCAAACCAAGCTTTTAATAAAAAAAATTCAATATTAAATATGAAATAATATTCGAAAGATAGAAAAAATTCTTTATAGCATACCATGTAATTTGATTTTAATCGGAACTTTATGTTTACCACCTGCATGTGGTTTTGTCGGAATAGTCGATGTTGATACAATGTCTGATCAGTTTCAAACATTAAAACATAAATAAATTGATGTTCGGTAAAGAATTTATCTAAAAATAAATCTAGATTGTACTTACCATTACGGTGAGAATGATCAATTTTTAATGATGAAACAAACGAAACAATAATACCAATCACAATAATCAAACTAAATAACCAGAATAATATTCGTTTCATTTTTTTATTATCTTTATTATCCGATTTTTCATCCAATAATTTGTTAGTATTCAAATCAAATTGCTGTCCAAACGATGATGATGATGATGATGATGGAGATGTGGATGATAATGGTTTGTACACTATTCTTATTGTCATTGTGGCTATAATTTTTTTAGATAATATTTATATAGGTAAAATAACCGGAATAAGAATAGATTTTTCAATCAAATTGATTAGATAATCCAAAATTGATTGAATTGTATTGATCCTATTTTAAAATTTACCCTCTAAACATACACGTGCACATCACACAAAAAAAAATTAGATTTTAAAACACTCAACAATTGATACGTGATGTACAACATGGAATTAGGGAGAAACAAAATTGACTTAACAATTTATGGCAATTTTTTTTAAATAATCAATTAATGTGATTGATTTTATTTCATTGAAAAGCTAATCATCATTTTTCATTATCATTCAATATTTATGTTTGATTTTTATTATTTATGATATCATTCATTGTTGAATTATTGTTATCATTATTGTTGTTGATGCAATCAACACTGTACATGGCAGGCGTTGTTGTTGTTGTCGAAATTGAATTTGATGCCATTGAACCAACACCATTGTTGTTGTTGTTGTTATTCACATCATTTTCCGTATGTAATTCATATTTTATCTGACATTGTAGATTCAATCGTTTTCTTAATTGTTTACCCAATTCAATTATCTGATCAAAATTTGTTGATGAACGTATCCATAATGATATACGATATTTGGATGGTTTTAAATTCAATATCATTCCAACGATATGATCATCATATTGATCTAATGAACCACTCATGATCAATTGTAAACATTCGGTCCAGAAATTTTTGCTTATAAAAAAATTTTCTTGTTGCTGATTAATTGATTGTTGTTGGTGTTGTTGTGATAACTGTTGATGATGATAATTTAATACCGATGATGACAATGATGATGATGATAATGATGATGGTGAATTGTAATTGATATCAAAAAACCATCTTCCACCACCAGCATTACATTTATCCTCCCATTTTGGTTCGATTGATTCACGAAATATCATTACAGTAGATAATGGATTCTCATTTGTTGGTAAACATTGTAATTCGGTATATGTAGACCAAAATTTTCTAGCCATTTTTGATGCGGATCCATATTTCTTTACATTCCAATCGCCAGAAAAATGTTCATTCGAATCATTTAAAAGCCAAATTTGCCATGCGGTTGTAAATTCAAAATCATCTAATGAATTATGTATCGATCTTTGTTTGTTTTGTTCACCTTTTTCGTCATCATTTTCATCTGTTAATGATAAATTTTTTACTTTATTTTTTTCACAACAAGCATCATCATTATTTCTGTTAGTTAAAGTGGTCGTCGTCGTAGTCATCTTGTTTGTTTCATCATTATTTTTTGTTGTTGTCATTAATATAGGCAATTTTTGTCTCAAAATTATTGTAAAATATGGATAGTTTTTTGTTTTACAAGAATTATTATTACGTTGATCTTTCATATGGTTCTGGTTATCATCATCATCATTCATATAGTTATGGTGATTATTATGATGATGTTGTTGATGATGATTAGGACGATCATTGATAGATCGCCATCCAACATCTATACCAACACCAACACCAACATCATCATCTTCTATTCGTTCTTTTTCCATTTCTTCTCCTTCTTCTACAATCATATTATTACATTGATCGTTCATCATTAAAGGAAAAAAATTAGTTGTAAATTGTATTTGTAATAATAACAGTAATACTGATTATTTAAAAAAAAGATGATCAAATATTTAAAAGTGAAAATAATAAAAGGAAAATAAATAATAATTTATATACAAAATAAATTCAACAAATTTTTTTTTCAATTAAATTTTTTTCCATGGAAAATTGAATTACAACCAACAACAACAAAAATAATAATAACAAACGAATTTATTTATTTTTCATCTGAACAAATAATTCTCTCTTCAAAATCTTCTCTATGTGGAGTTGCAGAAGAATGGAAAAAAATTCGAAAGGAAAAAATGAAAATTCGATTATCATTATCGTTCAAGCAGCAAATAAAAAAAACCGAATAAACAACAAACAAAAAAGCATTAACAAGTTGCCTATTGGCGATTTTGTTTTTGTTTTTTTTTGCACTCCCATTCTTCTCATTTATTCTTCTTCGTTCGTTGGATTTTTCGATTGACAATCATTGATATCAGACCAAAAAAAAACATTGCTAATTCTTCGTATACGAAATACACTACATAATAATAACATACATTTTTTCTTTCAAGCTTGGATAATTCATTTTTCATGTTCCATTCACTCTAATCAATTTGTTTTACTTTGTTGTTATGTATTTTGTATGCAAGATAGTACAAGAGATAAATAAAAATTGAATCATCGATTCTTTTTGATCATAATCATAATGTATTCTTTTTTTTCATCAATATTTTTTTTATCATAATTCCTATAATGGTGCAAACGAGAAAAAAACAACATTATTAAAATTGAACCAAATAATAATCTGGTTCATATCCTGATCATAAGATTTTTCTGAAAAAACAAATAAATAAAAAGATGATGATAGAAATTGAATTCAATTGTCCATTTTATTTCTTTTGACAAATGTTCATTTAAAACATATTTTCTGTATAGAATTATCAATCTCTTTCAATGTTTTTGGCCAATCAATTTTGACATATTGTATTTGAATCTGTATTATTATTAAATCATGTAATATGTTAACAAATTAACGGAGAGAACAAACAAAAAATGTCAATTAAAAATGTCATCATTCAAATTCGATTCAATTATATTCGAATGATTGTTGTATGTTTTATTTATTTATATACTTTTTAACCAAATTATAACAACAAGGGGAGAAAAAGATAAACATCACTGAAAATGAATTATAATGACAATTACATTTTGATCATGATTGATATGGTTGATAATTTTGGATTATTAAATTGAATTTTCCGCAATATCCAAACATTTCAAAAGAGAAAAATGATGATGATAAAGATTTTCATGTCAAATACATATGTGTTCATAGTATATTTGTCCAGTTGTTATTATAAACTTGCTTTGGTTGTGTGCTTCTTTCGATAAAACTAATGAATATTGAATTCCGAAATAAAAAGAAATAGAAAATCAATTAGCTAATTCAAAGGCAAAAAATAAAGGAATAGAATTTTTGGTGAGAAGGAAAAGCTAAGCTGATTAAATCTCATTTGTTGGTTTATTCGGGTTTTATTTAGCCTTGAAACCTTCAAAGAATTCTTAATAAAGTGAATTCATAGTGCAAAAAAAAGAAAACGAATTTTTCTTCTTTTCTTTTCATTTTGAATGGATCACTGATAAAACATGATCATAGTTTTTATTATTCGTTTCTTTTCTCTCTCTGCTTCAACGATTTCAATTAAAAATCAATCGACCAGAATCCAAATATTATATATCTGAATATTGACGCATGATCGTCAAACATACACAAACAAACACACCGCACACAACTTCATTTGCAGCTTTTTATTTTTCATGTTCTGTTGCGGAAAGATATTTTTGTTCATCATTCAAATATTTTATGTTAACTTAATTCGTTGATTTGTGTGTTTGTTTGTTATATCTGAATCGAATCATATCAACAAAAAATTTATTCATTTTTCATTTTTGAATTTCGAATAAAACAAACACAGCATAGATTCAAGAAAAGAAAATCAGCAATTTATTTTTATTTATGTTTTTTTAAGCTTGAAACCGGAATTATCATCAACACGAGTATCTTATTCATTAATTGATGATTGCATTGATTTTTTCCAATATTGAAAGAAATTATTTCCGTTGAAGGACGATGATGATCCATTCAATTGATTGATTCGATTTCAATTCGATCATCATCATCAAAATCAAATGATGCTGATATGATTTCCTTATCATTTTGTTAATAATCAGAAAAAAATCGATTTATACAAAGATTCGACAAGTGGTTCATAAACATAATTTTGATATAGAAATTTTTGTTTTGAAAAATTTTCTCCATTTTTATATAAGCATACATTCAAATATTCAACAATATTTCAATCAAAAATCAATCATACATGCAACATCACTTGAGAAAAATTTTATTCATCCACTTGTGTGACGTAAATTTTTTCGCTTTTTCGATTCATTCATTCATTCATTTTAATTAATTTTGTATCCGCCTTTTTGGAAATGTTGCAAACACTTCAACAGTAACATCATCAACAACAACAACAATCAAATAACCACAAAAACACTTGAATTACGACAACAACAACAACAACAACAGGAAAAATTCGGTATTTCTCATGACGATGATGATGGCCATATGATCGTGTTTGTTTGTTTGTTTGTTTGCTTCATCAATAAATCAAAAAATTTTCACACACAAAAAAAATTCGTTGTTGTGGTTATGGTTGCTGTTGATGATAATCATAAAAATACCATCATTATCACTATCATCAGCATACACACACAAAAACACTCGAAAAAACATTCAACGTAAATATTCGGGTTACCGAATTTTGAATAACAAAATTTTACATAAACAAAAATTTTGAATTCTTCGAAATTTTGGTGAAACATAATCATCATCAAATAATTCTATCGGCAAATGTATCTCAACTGTGGTAGAAACAGTATGTGTATTGAGAGTTTCTTAAAAAATTGTAATTGATTTTAATTATCATTTTGTTTTCATCTTTCATCAAAGTCTTCTTCTTACAAACAATCGATTTCGAAACATTCATCTGAATCAATAAATATTATTATTCCAAATCCTAAATTATTTATTTCTCTTTTTTTGATCATACGATTTTCTCTTGACGATTTGATTTATAACATTATTATCAACATCTTGTATATACATCAGTTGTTTGATTGTATTGATTAACATTGTTCAAGTGTTTTCCTAATACAACATTAAAATCAAATTATTTTCTCATTATTTAAATAGTGTTGTTGTTGATAAAGATAATGATAATTATCATTTGTGTTTTGAAAATAAATTGAGAATTTATCGCAATTGATCATCGAATCTGTTTAAATATCGTTGACAAATCAATAAATTTGTGAGAAATCAATAAAATTCTAGTTTTTTATATTTTCTGATATTCTTAAGTGTGAGTGTTATTTTTTTTGTCAGGAAAATTATTACCATCATCTTATTGTCAATATTTACAGCCAATTATCGATCAAAAATAATAATATCCATAAACAAACAAACAAACAAACCATCAAAGAGATATATCAACTAACTATCTTAATTATTATCAATTTTATTTGTACCTGGTAAGTTTTGATATACAGATAAACAATTTTATTAATAGCAGCATCATAATAATGATAGAGTAGACCTGTATATATGCCATTCTTTCTGTAATGAATAATGAAAAAGAAATGTTTGACATGATATCAAAAAAATAAAATTGAGATCAAATCCATAAATTTCTAATATATAATATTAGAATTGAATGAATGAATTTGAATCAACCGATGCGATAGTTTTTATTATATTCTGAAAATATGATGTGGTTTGTAATGGAAAATGAAATGGTATAATGGATAGAAAAACTTATTAAGAAAATTTGATTCTGTGTTTTTGTTTTCACTATTTTCCATTTGATTTTATATTTGACAGCCAGGAAAAAAGTGCTTGCGTATGTGTTCATATAACGATAATCATCATCAGTGTGTTTGAACGTTATTGAAAAAGAAATTGAAAAAAACAACTACATCAGCAATGACATTGACAGAAAAAGATAAGGAAATTATTCAAAAAACATGGGCATTAGTTCGTGTAGATTCTATACAAGCTGGAATCGAATTATTTCGAAGGTATGTATCTTTTTTTTGTACAATAAAAACTTAATATTTTTTCGGAATATTAATGTTTTATTCATTAGATTTTTCGAAGCAAATCCTGATTATGTAAAAGTATTTCCATTCGATGATCTTGAAGATCTGGAAGAAATATTGAAAAGTTCAAGCTTAAAAATGCATGCCGGTCGTGTAATGACAGCATTATCATCGATTGTGGACAATATTAATGATCCAATAATATTTCAGGAAAATTTACAAAAAATTATTTCCAGCCACGTTGAACGTAAAATTGAGCTTAAACAATTTGAAAATCTTAAAATGGCTTTAGTAAGATTATTAATCGATAAATTGGGCGATGATATTATGAATGATGAAGCAAAAGAAGCCTGGTCTAAAGCATATGATATTATTCTGGATACATATCAAAAAAGTAAAGAAAATTTTCAATCATCATGATTATCGGAAAACATGGAATAACAAAAAATAATTATAATTTAATTTGCTATATACCTTTTGTCTGTAAACATTCTGTGTTTCAAAAAAAAATTTTTTTGATTCATAACTAAATTGTAACCATAATTATTATCTAACAAAACACCAAAATCGTTTATTTAGAAATCATAATCATAATCATTTTTTTCAATTGTCAACATGAAACCAAAAAAACAAACAAAAATCAAAATAAACTTTTAAAATGAAACAAAATTTCAAAACTATTCAGCCAAAATCTAAATCATTTATAATCAAAAAATTTCAAAATGATAAATTAAATTTTTTCAAACAAAAAAAATTAATTTTAATTTCTTTTTTTTCAATCAACATTTTACATTTATGAATATATTTGTAATAAATGGACAATGATGATGAAATTTGGCCAAAAAAAAAAAAATTGCCATCGAATGATGAAATGAGTGAAACAAAAATAGAATCACACACACAGAAAAAGAAAAATGAAATTATCGGACAACAACAACGAAAAAATGTCTGTGAAATTGTAAAAGATGAATATATAATTGAATAATGAATGAATGACAAAATGTAAAATTTAAATTTCGCGCCAATCAAACAGAAAAACAAATAAAAAGTAAAAAGATATATAATCATTGTAAAGATGAATTAATCAATCAAAAAAAACGGTGAAAATATTTTTCACTGAATATTATGAAGGAAAAGGAAAGGAAAAAAAAATATCAATCAAAAGATGAAAATAAACAACAACAAAAAAAATGATGAATTTAAATGAATCTAAAATGGTTGTGGGTAAAATGATAGAATTTTTTTTTCATTTTGTTCGTTTTTTTTTGTATTATTTTTGATCAGTTTTTTTAGAAAGTTGATCATTGTTAACTTTTAAATGTAAATCATGCAATGTTTGTGTGTGAGAGTGTGTGTTTGTAAATTTGTAAGTAAGTATAGAATTCAAAATGAATGAATATAATTATGATGATGATGATGTCAAAGTAAATTCAGTAAATATTTTTAGTATAAAATTTAAAGATCAAATTATGAATTTTTCAACGTTTACATTCGTGTGTGTGTAAGTTAGTTAATCGTGTATTTTTTGTTTTGTTGTCCATATTTTGTAAATGGATATCAAAAAAAAAGAAGAAAGAAACCATCAAAGAACAAGAAAATAAGCATATCATTTAAGATCCAAACGGAAAAAATATGCAAATTTTTTTGAAGAGAAACGCTGCCGTCTTGTGTCCGGAATTGTAAACAATTTTTTTTTGTAAAAAATGTGGCATCAATAATTTTGGTTGTTTTTTTGAAAAAAGAGCCAAAAACAATTTTTATCATCATCATCATGAAATAATACAATTATTATTTTTGAATCCATTTCGAAGCCTATATTCAAATTCATCTGTATCACTGATTGAATTTTTTCTTGAATCATTAAGGCTATTACAACTTCCATAAAAATCATCACCAAAAAATAATTTTTCCGATGATATTGATGATCGTGATGGTGATATATCCGGATCGGATTCATTTCCTTTATCGATCGATACTGTAGTAAGATTGTTGTTGTTATTGTTACTGTTTGTCACAATATTATTGGTTTGAACATTTTTTTCTTTTTCCATTCGTCGTGCTTCATTAATCAATTTTTGTCGGAATAATTGGCTTAAAATACGTTTAATATTTTCATCATTTTTGGCTGAACATTCAACATGACCAAATTCCCAATCAATACTGATGATTGAATCGATAAGATTAACATCGATAACTCGAGATTCAGTTAAATCTAATAAATCAAAAAAAAAACAATCAATAAATATATCTCTAATGGATTAAATCCAAAAATCTGATTGTAATACTAACCAATTTTATTGGCAACCACTACTAATGGTGGAATATTTGGTCCTCTTAATTTTATAATATGTTCTTTAAGGCGGCATACTTCATCCAATGATTCTTGATCATCGACAGCATATACAAGTATAAATGCATCGGCTGTTTGTATGGCCAGATCACGCATTGCTTTAATTTAATAAATCAAAAAGAAAAAATATAGATGAATTATGGATTCAAAAAACATTCGAAAAAAATAGAGCAACAATAATAATTACCAGGAAATGGATAGGTACCCGATGTATCGAGTAAATCTAACATAATGGTCATATCTGAATTACGTGTTTTGAATTCAACTTGATGTAATTCTTCAACGGTTGGTATATGTTCTTCAACAAATGTTGATGTTGGTAGAATACGTCTTACGATTGATGTTTTTCCTGTTTCGAAAGAAATTCCGAAAAAAAAGAAAATATTTTAAAAATCTATATTTTTGAACTCAATTCAGTGATTAATGATTATGTAATACATAAAATGGTGAATGGAAAAAATTTTATTTTTTGTTTTGTATTTGTATTCGAAACTGTAATAATAATGAAAATAATTGATCAAAAACAAACAAACAAATGTTGCTAAAAATAGTAACATTATTGGCAGATTGGATAAACATCTCAAAATAATTCAAATAATGGAATTATTACGGGAAACAAAACAACAACAACAACAACAACCTCTAGAGAGATGTGAAAATCAGATCAATGATCCAGATATATGATCACGATGTACGGATTGTATCGTAATCGAATTGAATCAACAAAATAAATATTTCGAATAATAGACAGAAATAATAGGCGAGAAGAGAAAGAATAAAAGAAAAATATAATTTGTCATTTTGATTCTAATATGAATGTTGATCATTATTCATTTTATCCATTACTAGAATATGTTATATTGGAATAAGTAATCATTCGATAACCATTTGTTATGCATTTGGATTTTGTAGAAAAACAATCTGCCAAATAGTGATGACAACATTTTTTGTTTTGTTTTTATTTATTTATTCAAAAAAACTCATAGATTTATAACATTTTTTATACAGAAAACAAAATGGTAAATATTTTCGAAATTCTCAAACAAAATAGGAAAAAATTTCATTGTGATTATCGGTGGTTATCCATTTTCAAGTGATTTGTTTTTTCTTTTGTTCTCATGATTTGTTTTCGTTATTTTCCATTATTATTTTTAAAATCTATTGATTTTTGTTGGAAACAAATATCCTGATAATGTTGTTGTTGACAAAAACACCGATAAACATTTCTCCCATATATATTTTTTTTGCATTGGTTAAACATAAACATAGGAAGCAAGATCATGAAACCGTAATTTGATATATAACAATCAAACATCCAGAATACTGAAAAACTTTTAAAAGTTTATTGCACTCGACAAGAATTTTCAAACTAACAAAACAAAACAAAACAAAAAACAAAAAAACTCGATATATAATATATTAGTGTGTTTGTTTGTTACCATCAGGAACCCTTGAGCCTGCAAATCATCAAAATATAAACATCATTGATCAATAAATGGATTTTGAGATTTTGAAATGACAAATGGATTTTTGTTTTGTGAAATTGTAAACAAACAAACAAACAAATGAATTGAAAGCCATAGAAAAATAATATCAAGTTTTTTTTGGTTATAAAATAGAATTTAAAATATTTGATTGAATGTCATTTCAAGTTTATTGCCGAGAGATTCGTCTGAAAAACAATTTTTTTTCTATCTCCAACCAAACTATTTTATTCGTTGAAACAATGTATTTTTCGGTTTGTTTTGATTTGGTCTGGATGTTTTATTTGTTTTTCTAAATAAGCTTCTTCTCATGTTTTGTTTTGTAATATTTAAATTTTTAATAATCAAATTTTTTTCACAATGTATTTTTTAGGCTTCCTTTTTTTCTAGGTTTTTCTTCTTCAGGTGGATTCACATTCATTTATATTTCATTGTTTGACTGATCCTGAATGTAATGTTTGTTCGTGACATTTTTGTTTATTATTATCATTATGTAGTTTGAATTGAATGTTTTTTTTGAAAAGAATTTTTCTATTTATTTTTGGAGAATAACATTAACAATCAAAATTTAATTAACAAAACAAAAAAAAACAATGATGTCCTTGGCAATGAATTATTTATTGTTGAAATTTGAGTTGAAATTTGTTATTTTTTTATTCAAAACAATTTTTTTTGAATTATAGAGAATTTACTAGAGAAAGATTCTATTCATTTTCTCGATTTTTCTTTTTTTTAAAGACCCATCAAATGAAAATTTATGATTTTGAGTGAATTTTTTTTCGACAGATTTCGAGAATTTGAATTTTGATTTTGGAAATTCAAACCATACACCTTTTTTTCTTCCTTGTTTTCTAAATAACCAAAGATTACCCATTCTTTCGTTTGCAAGATATGCAAGAAAAAAATGTTATTTGCTCATTTTCAAGCTCTCAAATAACATACTGTGAGTGTTGATTTGAGCTGTTGCCCAAATATTTACTGTAATTGATTGACATTCATAAATGAATTTCAATTTATTATCATCAGGAAAAATATCCAGGTTCAGTAATCAGATTTCATTCATGGAATTGAAATCGAAATAAAAGAATTCCATCTCCCATTTGGGAAATCGAAGAAATATAAGAAATAAAGATTTACATTGTTTTTTTTTGGGAGAAAAATTCACATTTTTTCTTTCATATCAGACATTTCAAAAATTTATGAATTTATTAGCAAATATCAATGTCATTTTTTGTCTCTTATTTGAAATGAAATAAAAGAAGTAATAGAATGAACATTTAATTTGATCTAAACTTGATAATTCAATAAAGAAACAAAAATACGCTATGAAAATTATGACAAGATTTCAAATTATATTACATATTACATATCAATTTCACTCAAAAAAAAACAGGGAAATAAATATTCTTTCAAAAAAAAACTTTCACTCATCATTGTCATCGTTTGAATTTTTTCCTTGTTTTGTTTTGGTATCAATGAACTTTTAAATCATTTGAAACATTCAACTATTCTTATCTTTCAAGCATCATCATATTGATGGATCGATGCGGAAACGATTGAACAAAAAACCAAAACCAAAACATTTTATTGGATGAGTGGGAAAAGTTTTTGTTTCTTGTTTTTCTTGATTGTTCAGATCAACATATCAGTTTAACTAATCAATTTATTCAGTGTTATTCGATAACAAATATTGCTGTTGATCATGTGTTATTAGATTCTAGATTTTCCGGTTCGATAATATAGTGATGATTCCTGGATATACAATATATTGAAGCATCGTAGGAATTCAAACAAAAGAATTTCTCATATAACATAATGTTTAGGGATCATAAGTGTGAATCATATAATGTTTAATTCATTTAATAGTTTATATAGGAGCATGAACATACATAAAAAAATACACACACACATTATTCTTTGTATGAAGCTTAACTAAGCTGTTAAATTCCTGTTTGAATGATGATCAACAACAAAACAAATTCAATAAAAAGGTGAATGACATACGAATGGAGATAAAAAAAAGAGAAAGATAAAGAGAACCATAACCGAAACTGTTATCAGGACATCAAACTTTTACATACAATATGAATTAGATAAGAAAAAATTAATGTACCAGGATTTGTAATGAAGAAAAAACAAGAATTTTTATTTTTTGCTTGTCAGTTTGTTGCCGTTTTTTTTTGTACCAATTGAATGGGAAATTGATTCGGCTTCTTTTTTTTATTCGTTTTTACAGTTTCCATATAAAAGTTCGAGATAACAAAGGATCGATGAATGAAATAAAATGAGAATTTGACATAAAGAAGTGTGTTTGATCAAATTATTCTTTATTCTGTTTATTTTTTTTTTAAATCACAAACATGACTAAGCAATCAATGATTGACATTTGATTATTACATTTGAATATTTATTCATATTGTATCTAGCGCGTATTGTGTGCAATTCCAAAGAATTTTCTTCTTCTTTTTCAATCAAAAAATATTTCATCACCTATACATTTACATTTTAACACATATAGTTTATTCGCTTTAGTAATTTTATGGGTAATTTTTTTGGGAAAAGAAATTATCGAGAAAAAGAGACAGAAGAAATAAAGACGAAAGAAATAAAGGAAATTTTCTTTTTTCTTTACTAAATTCCAGTAACATTATCATTATGACAATAATGATGATGATAGATTGGAATGCGGTAGAAAATATTGCAAGAATTTTTTTCACAATCAAATTATTTTTGTTTGATAAAAGGGCTGTGAAAAAAAGAGTTGATTATTTACATAATTTGGTTTGTTGATTGATGAATCTTTATTTGGCAAATTTTTATTTTCATTTGAATAAATTTGATTCGAATATCTTTTGTTTTTTTTTGTTCACTCTAAAAATTAACATGTACAAATTATCAAGAATTAGACAAAAGAAAGATTTTTTTCTGTTGGTTTTCACAAGAAAACAACAACAACAAAAAATCAACTGACAAAAAATTCAAGTTCATTGTTCAGAATTGGTTTTCATTATTATTATTATTTGTTTTTCACTAAAATTCAATGAGAATCTAAAATTCTATATGACTTATGAATAAATTCAATTGTCAAAAAAAAAAGAAAAAGAAAATGATTAATCATTAAAAATTTCATAACTTTTTATTTACACACACACACACATTGATATTGAATCAATGATGATAAATTATATAATCACTATCATTATGATTTATCATTTCATTTCATTTTCAAAGAATAAATATTACTTATAATATTACTTATATTTTTCCTATCATCAATCTTTGATTATATCATGAATAAATTATCAATTACTTACTTATCATGTCATTCGAATAAGGGATTTAGTGTGTGTTTGTGTGAATGTAAATACGCCTACATAGAAAAACAAACTTTTTACAAAAATCTATTCATTTTCGAGTTCATTGATATGAAATCTATAATAATAATGACACTACCAAAAAAAAAACAAATTCTATGAATTCCAGAATTTATTTTTGGTCTTTTTGTTTTCTTATAAGAAACTAAATAGTTGTCGTTTTTTTTTGATAAAGCAATTGTAATCAGATATTATTGCCATTTGACTGAATATAACTAATCATTTGTAGCAACGTGTTTCAAGTAGAAGAGATGTTATTATTAATTAATTAAAAAATTCCTATCATTTTTGATTCAAATTTTAGGATTTGATGATCAGTATTAGGTATTATTTGTGTGTGTGTTTGAAAAGTTTTTGATCTTGAAATTTGATTCTGAATGAAAAATTTTTTTCATTATAATTATTATTAAATGATGATATCAACTTGAAAATAATGATAGCCAAAGAAAAAAAAATACTAAAAGGTTTATGACCTGACGTCGTATGATTGTAATTGAGAAAATATTAATGAGAAGAGTGTGTTGTTAAAAATTCTATTCTTCTGTTGCTTGTTATTATTAATTTTTAATTGAAACTTTTTTTCATTTTCGATAAACAAAATCATTATAATCATAAGAGTGATTGAAGAAACTGATAATAAAAAATTTAATAGAAATTTTCGAAAAACAATTTTCTTTTTTTCGATATTGATCGATGAAAATATTTATCAACAAAATCCTCGGTACATTGTCCAATTGACCATCGATTAATAAAATCACATTTCAGTATTTTTTGAAAAAATTAAATTGCATCAACAATCATAATAATTGAATCTAATTTAATTCAATACTATCAATTAAAATGCTAATGACGACAATAGAGAATCTAATTCCAGTATAAAATTATCATCGTTTCAGATACTAGGAAAAAAAATGTTGGCAAATTAGAAAATTGTTAAAGAAAAATTATATTCCATAATAGAAGTAAATAAACCAGGAAATAAATAAAAATCTCATCTAAATCTATTGAATCTAAGCATAAGGATTATTATTATTGTCTGGAATCTTCAAGAGGAATGACATTTATTAATTATAATGATATACTTTAATCATTGTCATCATTATTATCAATATTTTAACTGGAAAAGGAAAAAAAATCAAATAATATCATGCGTATGTACTTTATATAGTGAAATCATGTGATAGAAACTAATAAATAAAAAATTTCATATAAAATCTTCTTGGTAAGCTTTTCATGGTCAGTGATTTATTTGTTTCCCTCTTCAATCGTATTATTAAATAATACAAAAATTCAAACAAAAACCAAAAAAAAAAAGAAATCTTTTCATTTTGCTTTATATATTCTATTTCGCAATGAAATTTAGCATTGGCATTAAACTTCAAAATAAAAAAAAAACAAGAATAGAATATCAAAGAATTTTAGCAAAAAGAAATTTCTGATGGACATTGGTCAATTTTTTTCAAGTAAAGGCTTTGATNTTCATGGTCAGTGATTTATTTGTTTCCCCCTTCAATCGTATTATTAAAAAATACAAAAATTCAAACAAAAACCAAAAAAAAAAAAAAGAAATCTTTTCATTTTGCTTTATATATTCTATTTCGCAATGAAATTTAGCATTGGCATTAAACTTCAAAATAAAAAAAAACAAGAATAGAATATCAAAGAATTTTAGCAAAAAGAAATTTCTGATGGACATTGGTCAATTTTTTTCAAGTAAAGGCTTTGATCAACTATAGAGGTGAAGCTTTATATTTTCGTTTATTTTTCTAAAGAAAAGTTGATTGTATCATTGATTGAATGTAAAAAAAAGAACAATTATTTTCAATCCTAGAATCTAAATTTTTTGTTGCTGAAATAAATGTATTGGCTAAACATCAAAAAAAAAGAACAGCAATAGAATTTAATTTGCCATTGTTTTGTTTTTTCTTTGTTTCATCAATTTTCATCATCATCATCATCAGTATTAATTAATAGATTAAAAAAATTTTCAGTTACATTCAATGTTTATTAATAAAATTGATGTTAATAGAAAAAAATTGGCTATTTTTTTCGTAAGGGGTCGAAATTCAATGTACAATGCACATTACATCATAAGCCATGTTAATGTACGATCGTTTTATGCACTTTTTTTTACTTTAGTTGCTAAATTGATTCCCAAACTATTGATCTATATAAATCGGATCAACTGTGGTGATTATAGCATTAGTTTTTTTTCATTTTAAATCTATACAATAAATTAATTGACTGCTGTTGATGACCAATATTTAGATTCTCTATAAATTTCATCAGGATGGGGTTTATATTTTATTCATTTTGAAATCTTTGATTTTTGTAATTGGGTATTGATAATGATAGACAAAGTGTATATAAAGAAAGTACATTGATCGAATGATGTTTTTTCTTTTTGTTAATCCTAAATCCATAAACAAATTGATATTTGATTATATTGGGCAATTTTTGTTTAGAAAAAGTAGACGAGGATTGAAAAAATTTCCATTATTATAATCGGCCTTGTTTTAGCCGACATTGATCAAATTTGAAAGAATTCAATTACAACAGCAACAACAACAACAACAACAAAAACAAATCATAAATAATAATGATGAATCAATAGCAAATAAATAGGTACTCAACAATTGTTTCAACACAATGTATTCCAATGACCTTCATGAGATTAATTTTCAAGGCAAAAAAAAGGTTTTTTTTCATATTTTTTTTATTAGATAATTTCATTAGAAAGGAAAAAAAAGAGCTATATCGATATGAAAAACCATATGGCAAACTAATGAGAGAAAAAAACAGATAACATCAATAAAGACATTGAAGTTTTTTGCTTTTCGTGATCCCTTTTTTCATCGGATTCAACAACAATAGCAACAGAATTTGACATTGAAAATAACCAAATATAGATGAAAATATTATGTTTTTAGCTATAACTACTATATATTCTAACAAATGTCTGAAAATAAACCAAACAGGATAAACAACAAAAACAATAATAATAATAATAATTTTATCCAATAAATGCAAGGCCATTTTGAAAAATTCTTTATTAGATTCAATATAATGATGAAAACTTCAGTGAAAACTATCATCATCAATGACTAAAAAAAATACAAAACCCAAATATTGTAGTTGAAAATTTTTAATAGGAAAAACTTTTTTACGAAAATAAAAACAATAAGCAAACAATATTCAACTTACCAACACGAGAGCTACCGAATACGGCCACCTTGAATTGTAGATAGATTCGTTCTTTATTTTGCCAATGAAATCCTAGCCTTGGTAGTGACATTCTTGGCGCCATTTTTTTTCACTTTTGTTTGCAGAAGCCTTGGATCAAAATCGTTTTTTTTCTTCTTTGGTTTTGTTTTTGTTTGTGGGAAATTGAACAAAAGTTTTGAAATGTTATTTTTTCTAGATATAAAAATTTATTTGAAGAAAATTTCAAAATCATTATTTTTCAATGAAAACTTTTTGATAAAATTACCGAAATCAATACACGGACATGGACAAATAATTAAATGAGAGAATTTTTTTGAATAAATTAAAATCAGAAGCAAGTCTTTCAAAAAAAATCACAAATTTTAATCAATGATTCAATAGGAATTTAATTCTTTGAAGTAATTTCCAAAACAAATTTAAACATTAGCAAACATTTGTCTTTTTGTCGATTTGAAACTAATCAATGTTTCAAACGAATCGATTCGGTTTTTATACCAAAAAAAAAAAGAATTATCACAATCATTGATGAAACAAGTGGTTGAAAAAAAATATTTGTATGCGCACAAGAAAACATAAAAAAAATGTTTTTGTCTTTTGAATTCATATAAGGCCTTTATATCATATTTTTATCAGCAAAAAAAAAATCATTTGATTCAAATTGTATACCGAGGAGTCTGTTCATATTGTTCATTCGATGTACAATGATACACTGAAAAACAAAATGAATGAATGACCTAACAACACAGCCCAAAATTATTTTGCTATAGCCTTATTTTCATCATTGGTATACCAATGAATAAAAAAAAATATAAACAAACCAAAAACCTTGAACAGACAACCAGAATTACGTATTTGACGTATGTTTTTATATGCAGAGCGCATGTATATTATCAAACTTTCATATTGAATTCCATGCGATTCTTATCCAATGTACGTACACACATACATACATACATTTGGATTGATAAATGTATCATAATACAAAATACATATTGATGATGATGATAACAGAATTGAAAAGAATATTCTTTGAAAAAGTTTGATGTACTTTTGAAGTGGGAATTTTTTTTTAATCATCAGCAATATTCATCATGGATTTTACATTCATGTAAAATTTATTATAAAGCAAAGTAATTAGTTAGGTTGACCATGGTCATTGTTGAAAATTTATCCATTCACTTTTTTTTTAAAAAAAAAGAAAGAATATTCATTGAATTCATTCCGATGGAAATGTCTCCAGGTCAAGGTGTTGATCAACAATAATATGACGATGATGATAATAAAAATAGAAAATAAAAAATGATCGAACGATATGTTTCAATATCAAAGTTAATGACATCCATTTATGATGATGATGATGATGATGATTATGATTATCATCAACAATAACAACAACAATGTTGTTATTGTTATTGTCCATGGCCAAATTTTTAATATATAAAAAAACACAATTCAAAAAATAAATATTTATATTTTTTTCAAAAATTTTAAAATATATGTTTTGTGTGTTTTGTATAACCATATTTTTTTCAAATAAATGAATGCTGTTCCAAGCAATAAATTTATCATATTTTTTTTGTAATATGACCATATTATTATAGCTGTTGTTGTTATTTTGCTAATAAATGGGAATTCATCCATATTTTAATAACAAATAAAGCTGAATAATATTATGTATCTGGTTTCAGATTCTTCTTTTTTTTAATGTTGTTTGGCATTTTTAAAAAATTTATATGAAAATTTAATTATAAAATGACCATTTTTTCCGTGTGTAAAAAAACCTAATCGGTTTTTTTAAAAAATGGCTTTCGTTTTTATCTCCTACAACCATAATGTGTCTGCAACGATTATAATGATAATGGTGAACATGGCATCTAAAAGTAAATCAAATAAAAAAGTGAATAAAAAAAAGAGTAACAAGATATCCGTGTGTTTGTTTTTAATTATTATTTTATAATTCGATTATTTTTTTTTATTATCAATCATAAATCATTTGACTATTTTGGACTAGAATCTTTTTCATTTCATTCTTTTTAGTTTTCAAACAACAGCAAAAACTGAAGCAAAATCAACATTACCATGCAGAGATCTGTTCCCGATTCCGGATTCAAATAATTGTGAAGAAAAAAAACATCATTACTAAATGTAATATATTGAACGTACTAAATTTAGAGATTAAACTATTTGGGATTGAAATTGTTTAAAACTCACAGCAAAAGCAGTGAGTATAATTTTAGTCAACAAAATGAACAAAATCAGAAAAAAATCTACAATTCAAAATGATTTGACAAGAGAAATATATTCATGAATCAACTAATAGAAATAAAAGAAATTATTTGGTTAAAAACAAAAAAAAAATTGTATTCTGGTCATGCTTGATGTCCTGATGTGTTTTTGGACATGGAAAAAAATAACGATTCTAATGGATGGATGGATAACTGAATGAATGGTCGAAAAGTGTAACAAGGTCATCATTCACACAATGGTTATTTTCATGAGTACCAATTTTTTTGTTGACTTGATGACTTTATTCATCTTTCATTTTCTCTTTTCCGCATTACATTTCTCGATGTTTTTTTTTCTCTGCTTGTTCACTAGTCGTTTTTTCTTTTCTTATAATGTTTTTGTTGTTGGAACATCAATCGAACAACAACAACAACAACAAAATGATGACCAACAAACAAAACGAACCAAATATTCTATTTGACCCCATTATTTCTATGAAATATATAAAAATATATTATCTACAAGAAAAAATGGATGCATATTATTCTATTTTTGTTCATATTGAACAAAAAAAAATAAGTCAATTCTTTTTTTCAAGTAAATTATCACCAACAATGATGATAACTTAGATCCGTCGATGTTTAACAATACAGAATTAGTTGAAAGAAAAAACAAGAACGACCAGTGAACTAGTTGGTTTAAATGTACTAAAAGAAGAGAATAGAAAGCCAAAAAAAAAATGGGAACACAATCAATTTCGGTCACAAGTCTTAAGTTTAGATTGAATTATGATCACGACGAAAAAAAATATCAAGAATCTTCTTATATGCTTTCTTATAGTTTAATGGATCTATGGTTTGTTGGCCTCTGTGTTTCGCAAAGATCTATTAAAGAAATTCTATTTATTTGCCTTTTTTGTGTTTTTTCACCAAAACAATTTATTTGTTTGGGTACATACATATTGTAATAGAAATAGAAAAATTCAAACGAAAAAAAACATCCTCATACAAATTGTGATTAAGAAAAAAATAACAACCGGAAAATGAACATGAATCCTTTTGGATAAAAATCCGGAACTTCGTACGAATGATTACAATTTACGATTCATGAAAGAAAACAAAACAGAAAAAAATTCTTTGCAAAAAGTATCGATCGTTTTTCTGTTTTGCGAATTTCCTTCCGGATATTTTACTCAAAATCATCAATATGATTGATAAATATATTGATGATCATTCTAATGAATCTTGTGTTTATTTCAACCAGAAAAAAAAAACTAAAAACCAAAACAAAAGTGAAAGTTTTCCCAGATATTCAATGAATTGGAAACTTTCAATTCATTCATTCTGAATGAATTGTGTGATTGTCGTCATTCAATTGAATAAAAATATAAACAACGACAAAACAAAAACAAACCAAACCAACACTAACCATCATCATAAGAAACAAAAAGCTAATAAGTAAAATCCACTCATATTACTCATGTTATTGTTATGTCTATATGTTTTGGCGTATTTATTTGGTTTTGTTATTCCATTCGTTTGATATTGTAGAATTTTGAGAAAAATCGGTCAAATCAAATAGGGCCATCATTCGAATTTCATTTCAATTTTTTCGATTGTTTTTTTTTGTTTCAACAAATTTGACACATTTTCCCTTTCTCTTCTGATTGTTTGTTTTTTTTTCTCTTTTTTCGTTTTCTTAACACGACCGAAAAAACTAGAATATGACGATCAAATGGAAAGCAAATGAAAAAAAACATTAGGGTAAAATGTTTTGAAAAAAATTGAATTCCACACAATTCACAAAATGAAACTATCAAATACAAGGTTATCATTGTTTCGATGAGAAAAAATATTCTTCTTTTATTTATAAATAAAAATAATTTTCTGTTGAAAAAAATTGATTATACTAAGTTTGGCTTAAAATGAAAATAAAAAATAAATATTATAAATAATTTTCAGGTCAATGTAAAATCATTTACAATGTGTCTCACTTAATTATTATTATGAATAATAACTATAATAATAAGTCTGGCCTGAATGTCTTTATATTATATGATTATCGATGAATTGGTAATAAATAAATCCACAGATGTTTACAATTTTCTATGATCGATGTCAATTGCATTCATAATCATCATCATCATCATCAACATCATCCATAATAAGTAATTCGTTTGAATAGAAAATTATAGTTCATTTACAGCCTGATTTCACACACACACATGTAGGCAAATTAAGCTTGAAATTTTATTACAGGGGTTTTTTCAATGAAAAAATAAATAAATATTCATCGCCATAATCACACACACATGCTGCAAACAAATTGATCTAGAAATTTCAATTTTTTTTCTTTCAAGAATTCTTTTTTTTGGTGTCAAGTCCATGAACAATTGTTTGAGATAAATCACCATCATTATCAAGTTGTAATCGATTCTACTGATTTATTATCCTTTAACATACACACATATACACAAATATTCACGAATGAAATAATTTTTCAAGGTTAACAAACATCAACGACATGTTGCTGATTATTGTTTGTTTGAGGATTGTTAAATTGGTTTAGATTTTGAATAATTTAATCATTAATATTTAAATTTGCTTAGTGGATTAATGTTGTTGTTTTCTGTCTTTTTCAGTGATTTATTCTGTTCATTGAATTGTAATTCTAATTGCTAATCATTTGGATTGTTGGTTAAGAATTTACAATTGAAAAAAACAAGAAATTTAAATTATTTTTTGAAAAGCAAATTATCATTAAGTGAGTTTAGTGAATGACCAGGATTTTTTTGCTTTGTTTTAAATATTAATCAAGCTGACATTGTGATTCTAAACCAGCGAACATCATTTTCATCATCATCATCATCATCATGTGGACTGACGTCAATTTGCTTAATGTTTGCCAATCCTTTTCATTCGATTAAACACCCATCTTACTTAAACTTTTATTTTTTGAAAAGAATTTTAATGGTCATCAATTCTAAAATTCAACATTGAATGAATGAATAAACTTTTCATTATAAATTTTATCATTTATTAAAATTCTCCTAAACAATCATACAATGAAATGATCGATATTCTGTATTCTTTAGATTAAAAAAAACTAGAACAGATAATTTTTTTTGAAAAAAATTTGAATGAATTTATCCTTGTATACAAATGTCCACACACACACACACAATCAATTCGAAAAAAATAAAGTCAACAACAACAACAACAATGAAACGTGTTCCACATTTGTCCCAATAATGATAATAATAATAATAATAAAAACATTTAGGTCATTGAATATTTCAATCATCAATTTGATTCATTCGATTTTTATTTATCCGAAATGAATGAATAAATAAAAATTCATTGAAAGTTTTTTTTAAAAAAATATTCATCACATTTGATTAGAGTGATGTAAATCAATAAGATAACCAATATCCAAACGAATAGTAGATTAACATTAAATATGGGTGTGCGTGGGTGTGTGTTTGCATTTCATTATACGTAAGAATAAAAACAATGGTCAATCGTCAACTGGATAAACATACAAAAAAAATTCTGAATGTATTTCTATTTAAAGCTTGTGTATACATGTATGCAGAATAGGTAACCTAATTTTTTAAAACTTTTGTTGAAGATTTTTATTGAAAAATTTTCAAAACTTTAAGTCAATTTTTTCTTTAGTTTCTTCTTTATGAAGAAAAATTCCCATCTTTTCTCTGTTCGTTGCTAATACTTACCAGTATTATTACCTAATAGATTCCAAAATTTCGGACAGTGAACCTAGAAAATCTAATCAAAAGTCTGGAAAATAAAGACAGCAACTAAATTACGAAATATGCTTAAAAAACAAAAGAATTTTCATATGAAAAAGAAAGAATTTACCGAAAAAAAATTTAAATGAAATTTTTAATAGTCGAACAATATATGTTTGTTGTTTCTCATACGCATGCGAATCATGTATATTACAACTGCATGGAAAATTTACACGTGATTCTAATAGTTCTTATAAAAACAAATTCTTTTCAGACGAAAGTCAACTAGAATTTACTGATTTATATAATATGCGTAATGTAATGTGTGAATGATGAAAAGAATGTGTCATCAGGTCATACACACACTTAGTTAAAACACGACATACATCACATACGATTTGGACGTCATGATTCATTGGAATATGCAATACAGTGTTGGAACCGTCCAAAGAAAAAAAAATGAACAAGAAACTAAAATGAAACTAGGTCAAAGCGTAGGAGGATATATGGATGTAATGCTGTTGTTATTTGTTTGTGCATGTATGTATGTGTGTGGGTGTTCGACTTGTATATCCTTTCAATCTGTCTTTTTTTGGTATTGATAACCAAATGTAAACTTACTAAAACATACGTAGTAACTTTGCATCTTTTATTCTTTTTTTTTTTTTGCTATAATATATGATCCAATATTCAGCTTTAGTATGATTACTTTAGTTATTAGTTTGACATAGTAACCAAAGTATTATATTCATTATTTTTCAATGATAAACAAGTCTTTTTTTCATTTTTCATTTTTTTCAAATAAGATGAATGATGAATTTTGTCATCATTTGTCAATGGTTACAAGTGAATCAAACATCAGTAATAGAAGAAGAAGATAATAGAATATTTTCTGGGGGAAAAAATAAATTATGTGTAATTTTTTTCTTTTTTTTTGGCAAAAAAAATATCGACAAAATGACAATGAAGAATTTTCTTTGAAATTAATTTATTGTAACGAACAAAATCGATCAGATTTCAACGGAAGAAAAAAAAACCATTTTCATTTTAAAACTTTCATAATAAGCATTTTGGTAAACAAACGATTATGATGATCCTGATTTTCATAATAAAGATTCTCAAAAAAAAAATTCTTAAAAATCTTCATTGATTCTATAGTTTCTAGTTTCTATACCGGTAAGTTTAAAAATAAAATAAAAAAGATCATAAATTCTGTGGATGTTTGTTTTATTTTCCAAATAACTTACAACTATGTTTGACAAAGAATCAACTTTTTTCAAAATGTTATTAGGTTATGATTGCGTTTCGTTTTTTTTTCTCTTTCTACCTTTTTCTCTACTCTTTGTATGTCAACCAATGAAAACAAACATATCACGTTAATAAATATTATATGAATGATAATCATCAAAAAAAACAGAAGAATTATGACAACAACAAAAAAAACATTTGTCATTGACACCACCCACGATTTAAATTAAAAAAAAGAAATTTTCAGCTACTCTATTTAGTAACAATGATTACCTAATAACTAATATTCAAATTGTTTGCGATATTCATCAAACAACACATCAGACCCATTTGTGATATAAAAAAGCCTAGATTTTTATTTCTTTTGATTCTCTTGACTCATTATTGATCAGATAATAAATTATTTACATTGTTTGTCAAATAAATTATATGTAAAATTATTCATATTATATATGATATAATTTGATCTAATAAGTAATTTATTCAAATAAGATTAATTATCATCATCGTCGTCATCATTTGAATGAAAAGAAAAATGAAATAAACCATAGATTGTATGGCAAAAATAAAACAATGATTTTTATTCAAAATAAATGATTACGTAACATATGTAAAGAAATTCGAAACGAAAATTAAAGCGCGAATTAAATTTCAAATGAAAAATAAGTTTCACATAAATCAATGATAGATGGTAGCATTTGTCAACAACAAAAAAAACGGAATAAGGATTTTGATAGAAATTCTTTGTGTGTGTGTTTGTGTGCAATGAAATATCATCAAACATTGGACATTTAAATCTCTCAACACCATTCATTTTGATATATCGAATACGTGTTGTTGACATGTATAATCATCATTAAATTGATACAATCATAGTTACGAATCGAAAAAAAAATTGTAATCATCATCATTAATCTAATAATAAAACAAAACAAAACTATTGATTTTAATAAGCAATCATCATCATTATGATATTAGGTTAAACAAAACATTATTTCATTACCATTTCCATGTTGTTTTGTTTTTTTTAATCAATATTTTGACAATCATCATCATCATCATCATCATCATACTAATCCTAATAGTCAAATCGTTAATTGTGTTGTTTATAAAGAACCAAAGAAAAATTAATATTCATTGATTAGATTATCTTTCCAAATCCATTATACAATTAATAATCCATCAGTCCAAAAGAAAAAATATTTTTTCCAATATGAATTACATCAATATTCAAAATTAAAATGTTTATTTCCTAAATGTATTATAAACAAAATATCCTCTAAGCCACATAATGTATGTATGTTTTATCCGTATCCCAAATGTTTATTCGTATCCATTGCATACAATTACAAATTCAAACAACCGTCGTCGAATCAAACAAGCAACGACCAACAAAAAAATATGCCTGTAAAAACAGGCAAAAAAAATGAAAATGATTAATGTTGTTTTCCATAAATCAATGGATATTTTTATTATTTTAATTGTCGGCCTCTTCATCTTTTTCACAGACACGCAAACACATTCTCTCTCTGGTAACTAAACATCAACGATCATGACAGCAACCATCAAATCATATATCATCAGCATCATTCCAATCATAATCTCCATATCTACATCGCTTCATTTTACATTTCATTCAATTTTTTGATATCATCCATATCGATTGTCAATCATTCGCAAGTTTTTTTTGAAATTCATTTTTCAATTGTGATTTTTATTTATTGTTGTTTTCTGAAATTCAAACAAACCGGAAAAAAACATTGTTCAATTGAACCATAAAAATGTGGCCATCTTTTTTAGCGACATTTTCCTGGATTCTTTTATTTGGTTATATGATAATATTATCAAAATCCGAAGTAAATTATGATGAAATATTGCATGAAGAAAATGAAAAAATTCGTATTGAACGACAAAAATCTATCAAAGCACAATGGAATCTCGAATCAAACATTACAGATTATAATGAAGAATTAGTTGTAAGTTTGTTTTTAATATTCTAAATTTTTAAATGTGAAAAAAAATTCATTTATTTCGTTACATTCAGACTAAAGCTAGTAAAGAATATGATCATTTTCGTAAACAACAATATAATTCAATCAAACAATATCTAACCGATGAACATAAACAAAATATGACCAAAAATCAACGACGACAATTTGAACGATTAGGATTTCTAGGATTTTCCATATTAGATGAAAATGAAGGTATTGAATTTAAAAATATTCAAATTCAAATGGAAAAAATATATAGTGGTGCAACAATCAATACGGAATTACAAACAAATTTAACACTTGAACCAGATTTAACTGAAATATTTGCAACATCAACAAATGAATCATTGCTAAAAGATATTTGGATTAAATGGCGTGATGTAACCGGAAAAAAGATGCGAAAGCATTTTGTTGATTATGTTTATTTGGGTAATAAAGCGGCTAAAAGTTTAGGATATAATAGTATCGATGATGTTTGGATGTTTGATTGGGAAAAAGATTCAATTAAACAAGAAGTTGAACGTCTTCTCAATGATCTAATGAATCTTTATGAAAAAATACATGCATATGTAAGATTTCATTTAGCACAAAATTATAATCAATCAATGCCTAATGATGGAACAATACCGGCACATTTATTGGGAAATATGTGGGGACAAACATGGAGTAATTTATTATCGACAATACCAACAATGCAATTAAAACCAAATCTACCTTCGTTGGATAGTGAAATTAATGAAAAATTACAGGTTAATTATGGATAAATATTATTCAGAATATTTCTTAATTGTTATTGTTTTTTTTGTACAGAATTGGACTGTTAAACAAATGTTTCAAATGTCGGAAAAATTTTTCAATAGTCTTGGAATGGAAAATATGACCCGGCAATTCTGGGAACAATCAATAATTGAAAAAAGAAATGATGTTGAAATGGTTTGGTAAGTTTTGATGACGTCTTTTTTTTTGTTGCAATGATGTTATTTTTATTTTTATTTTTGAATTTCATCATTGCATAAAGTCATGCATCTGCTTGGGATATGTTTCAAATGCATGATTTTCGTATCAAACAATGTACGAGAAAAACTTTAGAAGATTTGGTCACTATTCATCATGAAATGGGACATATACAATATTATATGAATTATGAGAATAAACCGGCCGTTTATCGTGAAGGAGCTAATCCAGGATTCCATGAAGCTATTGGCGATTTAATGTCATTGTCCGTAATTACACCTGTACATTTAGCCAAAGTTGGATTATTGAATAGATCTCAAATTGAACAAAATCTTGATGATTTAAATCTTAATTATCAATTGCGTATGGCAATGGATAAAATTGCATTTTTACCGTTTTCATTCATCATTGACAAATGGCGTTGGGATGTATTTAATGATGATAAATTAACTAATCATATGAATCGTCATTGGTGGGAATTGCGATTAAAATATCAGGGAATTTCACCACCGATAAAACGATCGGAAAAAGATTTTGATCCCGGTTCTAAATATCATATACCAGCCGGTGTTGAATACGTACGATATTTCGTATCACATATATTACAATTTCAATTCTATAAACATTTATGCCAAAACGTGACCAAAATGGATAAACTTTATCAATGTGATTTTTATGAAAACAAAATGGCTGGTAAACAATTAATAGAAATGTTACAGAAAGGATCATCCGATCATTGGGAAAATATATTAAAAGATTTTATTGGAACATCAGAAATGAGTACGGACGCCATCTATGAATATTTTGCACCATTAAATCGAACATTATCGGATTTCATTATGAACAATAAGATTTCCGTTGGTTGGAATGCTAAAGGTAAATGATTTTTATTATAATTTTTGTTTTGTAAAATATTATCCATAATTAATATATTTTTGTCATTTAAACAGTTGATGATTATTTCATCGAAGAAGAAAATTCATCTGGTTCGACACCGTCGATAACAATGAACATTTTTATTCTAACATTAATTTCAATATTCATTATGATTTCATAATTTTTTTTATATAATGACAATAAATGAAATGTTTTTTTTTTGTATAAGTCATGACTAATTTTCTTGTTTCTTTGAAATAAAATAAATTTCAAAGCTGAACATAACATAAGTGTAAAACATGATTAAATAATCCAACGCAATCATATCAATTTTTACAATCGAGTGATTGAAAAAATTTTTTCGCTAAAACATGATATGATCAGGCCAGGATAGTTTTTGATATCAAATTTTGAAACTGTTTTTCTCTTGTATGATGTTGATATGGTGATCATCATTTTTGTTATCATCATGACATTTAAATGAAAACAAAAATTCTTCCAATATTATCATTCGATTTTTATTTAGTTGACATTGCCGTTTAACAAATTTTCCATTAAACGATTGTAATTTTATTAAGGTCAAAATGTTTTCTCCGGTTCCTTTCAAGATATCTAATTTCATTGATGGACAATTTTTTGATAAAGAGCATTCATTTGAATCATTTAATCCATCGAAAGGTAGTGTTAATGCTTGGATTCCGGATTCAAATGAGCAAGATGTTCAATTAGCTACCGATGCTGCATTGAAAGCGTTTAAAACGTAATTATTTTTTTCTACTTATTTGTCTTGGCAAACAATTAATTTATTTTTTCGGAAAAAAGATGGTCGAAAACATCTGAAATGTCTCGAATCAAAATTCTGAACAAAATTGCAGATCTTATTGAAGAAAATCTCGATGAATTGGCTAAGCTTGAAAGTGAAGATCAAGGTAAACCATTATTGGTTTCAAAGTCGGTTGATATTCCTCGATCGGTTTTGAATTTTCGTCATTTCGCCAATTGTTTATCATATCAATCAGATCATTCGATTGTTGATCATGAAGCTGGAATTATTAATTATGTTACAAGGCATCCAGTTGGTGTTGTTGGCATCATAACACCGTGGAATTTACCATTGTATTTGCTAACATTCAAACTAGCCCCTGCCATAGCGTTCGGAAATACTGTCGTAGCAAAACCAAGTGAACTAACTTCCATGACAGCATTTCGTTTATGTCAAATATTGAATGATGCTGGATTGCCAAAAGGTGTAATTAATATGGTGTTTGGTTATGGAAACAAAGTTGGTGAAGCTATCGTAAAGCATCCATCGATCAAATTGATTTCATTCACCGGATCTACAATAACAGGTCAAAAAATTGCACAACAAGCAGCACCATTATTTAAACGTCTTTCCTTGGAAATGGGAGGAAAGAATGCAGCCATTGTTTTTGATGATGTTAATCTTGAAAAAGAATTGATCCATATAGCGAGATCAGCATATTTTAATTCAGGACAAATATGTCTTGCATCAAGTCGAATTCTGGTCCACGAGAGTATTTATGCCGAATTTGTTGAAAAATTTATAAAAATATCACGAGAATTCATTATTGGCGATCCATTTGACAAAGAAACCAAACTGGGACCACTTGTGAGTGCACAACATCGAGACAAGGTATTGAGATATATCAATCTAGCACGTAATACAGATAAAGTCAAAATGACATATTTGGAACCAAATTATCTAAACAAAAATGGATATTTTTGTGGAATAGCTATTGTTTCGGATATCGAAATCGATTCACCATTAATGATGGAAGAAATTTTCGGTCCAGTTGTTTGTATTGTACAATTTAAAGATGAACAAGAAGCAATCGAAATTGCTAATAATACAAATTATGGTCTTTCAGCAACAGTTTGGACACAATCGTTAGATCGAATGCATCGCGTTAGTCATCAGATTGAAGCTGGAACTGTATGGGGTAATTGTTGGTTAGTTCGTAATTTGAACATGCCATTTGGTGGAATCAAACAATCAGGAATAGGTCATGAAAGTACCGAAGATTCAAGAGAATTTTATACAAACAAAAAAACAATTTGTATAAAAATTTAATGACAAATGTTAACAAATAATAAACAAATTCAATCGATTATCAATTTACAATAATAAATTGAATTAAAGATGTGCTTTAAATTTGTTACGTTGTTGTTGTAAAGCATCTTGAAGGCTTTCAATGGTTTGATTGATTTTTTTTCGATCTGCGTTAACGCCTAAATAACCGATACGCCAAAATTTCGGTACATTTGGATCGGAAGCTAACAATGATCCTCCGATTAGTATATCATGTTTTGTGTACATGAATTGTATTAACATATTTCCATCAATATCATCTGGTATTAAAACTGATGTAATACCTGCTAATCGATTTTCGGATTCTTGAATAAGAAGTTTCAGTCCAATATTTTGGATTTGTTTTTCAAGATAATGTTTTGCCTTCTGATGACGTTCAATTACTTTTGACAAATCTTCATTGATTATTTCACGGATTGCGGTATGTATTCCATATAATAAATTGATGGCCGGTGTGTAATGATATGTATGGACATTATTGTTATCCAAACCCCATGCTTTAGCTACCAAATTAATGTCCATATAAAAAGAAGATATAGGACACATATTTGAACGAGATTTAATTATTTGAACGGCTTTATCACTGAAACTTATTAATGATATGCCTGGTGGACCGGATAAAGCTTTTTGACAGCCAGAAAATAAAACATCAATTTCCATGTTATCCATTTCTAACTGTGTTGTACATAGTGATACAACAGCATCAACAATCAATAAACAATTATATCGATGACAAAGTTTTCCGATGCCGTTCAAATTTTGTACACAACCAAGACTTGAATCACCGTGGCATACATACATTACGCTTGGTCGATATTTTCGCAATGCATTTTCAATTTGTATCAAGGTAAAATTTTCACCAAATTTATTATTTTGAATAATATTTGTATTGTAGCCGAGCCTACTTCCCATCGTTGCAACACGATTACCCCAATATCCATGTACTAAGGACAATAATGTTTGTCCTGGTAGCAACAGATTACATATGGCTGTTTCCATTGCAATTGTTGCTGATCCAGTAATTGCAAATGTATATGGATTATTTGTTTGAAACAAATATCGTATACCATTTTGAATTTGATCTAATAGCTTTCAAAATATTGTTAATTTAATTAATCACAGCATGAGCAATATTGAAAAAAAACTAACCTCATAAAATTGTGGATCAGTATGTGATAATAATGGTTTGGATAATGATTGTAAAACATTTGGATTTAAATTTGTTGGACCAGGAATCATTAAAAGTTTTTCATGAGGCATAAAGTCCTCTTGAAATGTTTTAATCATCAAGCGATGGTCTGGTTCACTCTTCATCAAATTCATATTTCTATCAAAATGAAACAAACAAATGATAAAAATTTGAAAATATTGCCAATTTTTTTTTTGTAAGGAACAAAAAGATATGGAAATTGTGATTCAATGTTTATAAGTAGATAAATTTCGAAAGATAAACATATTTGATTGATATTTTCTAATGTTCACTGATATTTAGATATTAAAAATGAAGTTTTTTTCTGCATTTATTCAAAAAAAAACCGGATAAAATAAATGATAACAAATGAAAGAAAAAAATTTCTATCAAAATAACAGGATAGTGACACTTGTTTGTCGATATCAAACATTCATTTACATTTCGTATTGACTATCGATATTTATTTTTTAAAAAATTAAAGGAAACTGATTTTTTTTCAAATTTTATTATTTTATTGACGACACAAATCATTTTAAATGTTCGTATAGTGTCAACAAAATTAATTTTAAATAAAACATTCTTCAATAATTTAGACATTAATCATGGACAAAAATGTTGATGCCAAAAATAAAAAGAATGATATTGTTCCAAAAGGTGGGAAAATCATCCAATTTCAACTTCGTGAATCATTATTGACGTAAGATTTTTTTAATTTTTCAATTTCAAAATTATTTCAATCATCTTGAATTTCTTCAATATTTTTTTTTGTAAAGACAAATGCTTGAAAATAGTTCTCACATATCTACATTACATAATATTATCATGTCGTTTGTAGCAATATTTGTGATAGCAACAATTGGTGATTATATCCGACAACCATCCAAATTTAGTGATGAATTTGAAATGTTCGTATGGAATGCTAATGATATTGGACGATTCATTCAAATATGTATAATCATGCATCTATCTGTAATATGTTTACATTATCCATTGGTTTTGTTCAACAATTTTCTTCAATATCGATGGTTGTTAAATAATTCGGAGAAAAATTTGAATAATTTATTTGATATGTATCAAAAACGTCAATATTCTGGTCAAATTCCGCAAGCTTTTTTATACACAGCATATACAATGATTTCATTTTTTGGTATTTTTCTTTACGGTACTAATTCAGTAATAGTTCATGATATCAAATTATCCGGATCGTTTGCGGTTCTAATGGAAACGGTTAGTTAATCAAAAAAAAATCAGTGTTAATCTTATTATTTGACAAAATTAAAACAGGTACGACTTTTAATGAAATCACATTCTTTTTTTATCGAGAAAAAAGATCTACATATCGAAAAAGAAGAGATTGCTAAACTAATTGCCCAACGTCAGTCGAATATTGTTAAATCATTTTGGTCCCTACCTTCAAGAGCTAGATTAAGAAATTTAGCTTATTATCTATTTGCGCCTACTTTGATTTATTCGGATTATTATCCAAGAACAGATAAAATTCGCTGGTCACGAGTTTTGAAGTTTGGCATTCAATTTATAGTGGCCGCTATGATTGGATTTCTTATATTTTGTCGATTTGTAGTTGCAAACTTTTCTAAAACTGGTATCGAACCATTTCCATTGAATTTTAATTTTTTGTATAAAGTTTTCGCTTCCGGAGCAGCTATCTATTTGATAGGTTTTTATGGATTTTTACATACATGGCATAATTTTACAGCCGAATTGATGCGTTTCGGTGATCGTCATTATTATGAAGATTTTTGGAATGTTACATCATTGAAAGATTATTATCGTAAATGGAATCGAATTGTACAACTTTGGCTTTATGTATACATATTCTTACCAATTAATTATCGATTTCATAATCGTAATTTAGCTAATAATTTTGTTGTGCTGATTTCAGCTATAATGCATGAATATATTCTTGCCGTAACAATACGTTTTTTCTTTCCAGTAAATTTTATATTTTTTGCTGTTGTTGGTCGTAAGTATTGATATATGACATTGAATGAATGATCTTTCAAAATGAATTTTATTCTTATTTTTGTCACTAGAATTGATATATTTCTTAGAAAATCATGATAAGAATTCAAGTAAACAGCCAAGTATAAAAAGTATATTATTTCACACCAATATGTTTATTGGTTGGGGTTTATTAATTTTATTTTATTCATTGGAATGGCATTCAAAAATTAATTGTCCGTTACCAGTAAGTTTTTGATTATTTTGAATTTGAATTTTTCTACAAATTCTTTTATTTACATTTCAAACAGGAACAATCTACGATGTTGGAAAAAATGACACCGCGTTTTATAAAATGCATTAAATTCTGAGATTTTGAATGTTTTTGGGGAAAAATATAAAAAATATTCATGAAAATCTTTATTTTTAAGAAAAATCATCTAATATTTTATATATAATTTCGATTAATTCCAAGATTCCATTCAATAAATTATCTGGGTTAATATAAAGTTAAATATCTGTTTGTGTTAGTTTTGAAATTAAATGAATTGTCACCGTAGAAATCTGTATCATTTACGGATGAGCATTGCGGCATAAGATTGAAATTTTATTTGCAAAAATGTACATTTTAATTGACTGTGTAATCATTTTAATTTATGTGAGAAAAAATTGAAATCTTTATCAAAGTGTAATCGAATGTTTATTATATCAATTTTTCGTTCAGATAATTAAACATCAATAATAAGCTACAAAAATTTTCAATTACTAACTTAGATGTTTACCAAGTCAATATTTGTGAACATTTTCTCACGATTTCAGTTGAAAATATTAAATAAAATGAATAAATTCATTTTCAGTACATTTATTA